TTAGTATCAGAAACTGTGAATTTTAATACTCATAATATTTTAAGATAATTCACTTATTATAAGATACATCAAAAACAATATATTTATCATAAATATTTTGTTTTTGATATAAAATTCTCTTATTTAAATTACTTTTTATCAAGAAAAAAAATCCCATTCAATGACTTGCACAATGCTTTATCAATGTCCTGTGTAAAAATTCCATTCTCATCAAGTCCAATCAGATAACTTAATCGAAGGACAGAACATAGTGTAAAGTATAAATAGGACCGATTGAACTACAAACTAACTGGATGTATGAAAATGTAAATTTTAACAGCAGTATACAAATAAAAAAATTAAACTCACCTTCTTCTTTGACCCATGTCTTAAGCTCTAATTCTTCTAAAAATTTTGAAGCGACCTGTGCACGCGTGAGTTGCTCCTCGTAGAGCACGGACTCTTCGTCGTTGCCCTCGAGAACTGTAGGTTTTTCGTCGAGGAAGAGCCATTCTCCGTCATCAAATGGTGGTGGTGTCCCACTAGGGGACAATGGCTCCACCTTCCAAAACATTGGAATTTCCTGCGATGACATCTTGCGATTCATTTATCGAAAACCGATGTACGTATATATAATTGGGGTTTTCTTTGTTGTTGAAGGAAATTTGTGTCGGCAAAGCGACGTAGCTCGAAAGGAGCGCCATGGTGACACTGAAATTAGACAAAAAATAATACTGATGTTTAATAATTTTCAAATTTTCTTAAGTTTTATATTCAAAGTAAGAAAATATGTTCAGTCTGATTTTGCAAAATATCTAGAGTTAACCCAAGCATACTATGTAGAATTCATTGCTTATCTCCAACAGAAAAAAACATATAAACTGACAAACAATACTGAAACCCTTCGTGTCTGATTTTAAGTGAAAATTAATGTATAAATACCAGTAGTTACATAAAACGAGTGAAATAAAAAATAAATATAATTACATTCATTCGTTTTCAAAACTATATTGTATTTCCGTTTCATGAATAAAATTGTACACACCCGCGTTGATAATAAAAGAATCCAAATTGAATTTGATTATCACATGTTGACATTCGCTGTGTTTAGTATTTTCAATACGGAGCAGACGGTGAGAGCACGCGTCTGCTTTTGACAGTAACTAACAGCAGAATACATTGAGAAAGCATGCGACTTGCAGAATCGGCATAGTCAGTAAAAAAAGAACAAATTATGCAAAATTAAAAGCGTGCCAATACTACGTAACATAACCAATCGAGAAATGGAAAAAAGTGTTAGAAAACCGCCAAAATCGTGGATTAATCATGATGATGCAACAATTGCTCGTGACGTCACTGCCGACTACAATAGAGCTGAAGACTTGCGCGACCTACTGCAGGGTACAAGTTCCGAAATTAAGTATGAATTCAATATTTAGCCATTATACCGCCAAAAACATACGCATAAAAAATATCGCCTCCAAACAAAAAAGTTGGTGCTAGTGAATCATACAAAATGGCCGACCGCGAGCATGTTCACATACGTTTTATGAAAAGAACTCCTCACTGACCCGGTCGCACCTTTTAACGATTCGTCAAAGAGTTTCAGAGCGAATAAACGCACATTCTACTCACGTCATTACAATTAGTTGTATTGGCACACTTGCGTGTGCAAGAGAATGATGACTAATAACTCATCTTGATCGTCGTTGCTGCAGATACAAATTTGATGATGCTGCTTCGTCGACGTCCATGGAGAGAAAGCTGCCAGGGGGGATTTTGCTGCCGCGGCAGAGAGCGAGCGGCCGCTGGCACCACTTATGCGCGTGGTCACATCACGTGACCGTCTGTACAACGTGCCAATAGCCCACCCACGTGAGTCGTGATACAAACGTGCACACGAGAGAAACAAAGATAGATAGAATTTTCACAGGTATCTTGACGTCGCAATGTCACGATACCTGTGCGAATTTCATCTGGTGAGCCGTGAATGCCGCGTGATACAGAGTGACAGAGCGTTACGATTAATACGAATATATATATATATATATACATATATATATATATATTGTAAAAAAATACGCACACAAGTTAATATATAAATCACGAAATCCCGCTTTACGGATTACTCGGATACTTTATTATCTATCAGACTACAAATTTCAAATGAGACTCGCGGAGTATGAATATTGAGCGGCGAGTGCTAATCGAGAGCAATAAAAAAGCGCGACATGATTGCAATTACACTCGATGCATTTATCTAGAAACCTATATCGACTTCTTTTTTTTCTATCGAATGTCTTTTCATTACTTTCAAGCGAGAGACAATGTGTAATCATCGTTTATTATTGTGCATTACCGTGGAGATGTTATGAGATTTTTTTCTCTTTTCCTATTATATTTATAACCCTAATGCGCTCCGCTTTGACCTATTTCAAACTACTTTTTTTTCTTTTTTAGAGTGTATTGAACTTAAGTTCGTACACTTAATGTTTCTTTACGTCGTACCGATAAAGAGGCTGATTTATTGTGAGTTGGAAGATAAGGTTTTCACTTCATTTCATGTTTAGTCAGCCGATATACACTTTGTATCGGTGCCGCGTGTGGTGTTTGCAAATATGATCTTTCCGTCGAAAATTCAGAGTTGAATCCAAAGTGGCAATGACTCTTGTGAATCACACCACCTTATATGCGGCTAGAGGTTTGACGGTCAGCGCACGCGCACGAGAGAGAGAGAGAGAGAGAGAGAGAGAGAGAGAGAGAGAGAGAGAGAGAGAGAGAGAGCTCTAGAAAACGCTGCTGCGCGCGAGCTATTCTTTTCCATCAATTGGAAAGAGTTTACGCATCATGTTATGTCGATGATTGCTCGACACCGAAGCGCGCGACCAAATGTCAACTATGCTTGCCGAGCATATGTACATTTCGAGTACGACTTGCCGCGATATATAATTGTCATCGTTGAGCGCAGGCATTTATTTTGCTTGACACGCCGATCGCAAGCAGCTGCGCGTTTATTATCATTTTTTTTCGAAAAACAAGAGTGCATAATTAGCTGGCTTCGATCGGAGCTACAAGTGGAGCGTTAATTTTACACGCAGAAAAGTAGCCACGAGACGGATAGAAAACTGCTCGAGGACGAGGATTTTTCACACCCGCAGTCTCGTTGTTACCGATGTAGAATATATACGAGGCGATCGGCATGCGTGTGCGCGCATACATTTTCATGAATCAATCGCTTTGCCACGCTGTACCCGGAGAATACATTCGATTTTTTGTTTATTGCATTGTGTTGGAAGGCCAACGACGTCGTTAATTTTTGTGTCCTTATTTTGCGCGCTAAGAAAGACATGCCGCATGCTCTACTCAACTAGTATCGCGAAGAATCGTTGTTTTGAACTATAATTGCTATTGCGTTTCCTCCATCAAAAAATGAATTTCTTCGTTATCACTCTTCAATTTGGCGACGCGTCTTTCTGATAAAACATGTGCATTGATCGATGCAGATTAATGATGTCTAGACGTCTAATTTATATGTGCGTAAATATTTAAAGATATGTCGTGATCGTTACAATGATAATACTGTCATCTTTATTTTATTTGCTAAATTCTAGAATAATGTTAGTCTAGAAACATTCGAACTGTAAAGTTTTTTTGAATGAAAATGAGCATTTTTATAGAAAGAAATGTGTAACGCGTTTAATATAACATATCATTTTCCATCATTAACATGGCGTTTGACAAACAAACGGCAGAGCGATTTTATATCAACAAAATGGCTTCTACTGATGAAATATCACCAGAAAAATTTTCTTCTCTTAGACAGTTTTTCGAAATTCCAAAATTGTATTAAGTTGTTTAAATAACTTTATAAGCTATTTGAAAAAGAAAAAAACATGAATAATTTTTTTTTATTTACACAATGGAGCGCATACTTACTTAGGGGCTATCTAGCCTAGATTCGGTTTGGGTCTTAATGAAAACTTTCTTCATTATTTTTATTTATATATCGATTAACCCAGAGATTTTGTTCTGTTACTGTAAAATCCTATTTTTATAACATGTGAAATGTAAAAAAATCGTAGATCGCGATTTTTACAAGGTTTTTATTGAGCGTAAATGACGTATTGATGATGTAAGAACATATTGGACATGTCGCGGCTCGAATATTATATTCATTTTTGCTTAGATGTTCTTAATCAATAAAAATTTCAGCTAGTAACAAATTACGATGCACTATATGTGTTGTCTAGAATACATATTCGTTGACAGAAAGTATATATTCCTTTGACGTTGCTCGGAAAAATGAAGGGTTCACGTTCGCACCACTCTGTGCATTTAATTTGTGCAAAATGTCTACCAATACAAATAAGCAACAAATCGCGACAAATAACGGAACGTACGTTTTCCGTGTCTAGGCAGCCTATAAAATAATCACGTTTGAACGGTCCATTTGCATACGCCCTCATTTCCGTGCGATAGAAATTTAGTTTTGCAATTTGCGTATGTTACATTCATTGATGGATTTATCAACTTTTCAGGATGCCGTGCTTTTTATGCACTTTTTGAACCCTATTTTCACATTAAAGTGTTAATTATTATTTCAATAAGGTTTCTCCCACGGTATTAATAATCTTAGAAATATAAAAAAGGTAAAATTATGTAACATTCTGGGACTTGTATTATTGCATACAGATGGTTCATCATTAATTGAATTAAGCTAATTCATGATTGAAACAAAATATCTGTTTATAGTTGTAACTATTTTTGAAAATAACTGAAATTACATTCTTGTTATAATCGAATAGTATTTTATGTTGTTTATCTCCTCATTCCAAAAGAAATCCCGTTCCTATAAATAGTTTCTATTCCATTAGAAAGTTCTTTTTCGAGCAGCTGAGTAGAAACCAGTTTTCACATTGCAGCGCCTTGCAATCTTGACGCATGCGCAAAACAAGAGTCAACCTGCGCGCGCATTGATCGTACTCGACGACCTCCATTTTATAGCAAACTCCGCAGATTCATCGAGTCGTCGTGCACGTTCTTCTGCACTAACTTGAGAGTGCAGAGAAAGGCATTATTATTATTATTGTCGCGTGTTATTTTGTATCCTCTTATTACATTTGACGAATATTTGTCAATAATAGAATCTATTTTGCATGAAAGCATCGCGTTAGTGTAAAAACGTTTGTTTCTGTTTGTATCTTATTTTTTATATTTGCTTTCAATTGCGCGTCATCACAAACAAAGGAGGGAGAGACAGCACAAGCCAAAGGGTTGACAGTCCAGGATATTTTTCTCGTCATTGACGATTTTTTTTCCTTTGAGCAACGGCAGTAAATAATAGCTTGTAGGTATGTCTGAAAGCGAAGCATTGGCATCCACGCAACAACACAAGCAACACCAGCAGTTTCAGCACCAGCAGCAGGCCTCGATGGCGAACATGGCGTGGCAGCAGCAGTATTCACAGAACAACATGCATCTCTACTCCCACTATCAGTAAGCTTTTACTCACCGTTATATATATATATAAAGCGAAAATGCAGCTCGCATCGGATGTAGAATCGAATACATTTTCCCTATTTTCACACGTTAAAGATGGTGGATTTGATGCGAGAAGGGGGAGGTAGTCGATATTATTTCTGAGTCTTGCATTTGTAGATCGATTACATTTTTTAAAAAGAACTCCGTGGGAGCCATGTTGTTTCGTTACAAATTCATTCGTAAAAATAAGAATAGATGAAAAGTAATTACGAAACGTTGTTATATATTTTTTAAGACTAATTGACATGATTCTGTAATAGACTGCATTAAAATGTTAGTGACCCAGTTTTTTCATTGAAGTACTCTGTAATTTATTAAAACTATTCTTATTTGAAATTTATTGAGCATTATTAATTATAGTATTGAAATAAATAAAGTTAGATATGCATCACCTACGTTTTGCATGCATAATATGCAATTGTTTATTATAACTGTTCATAGTTTTATCTTTAATATATGAATGATGTTCTTCCACTGATTGGTAATAATTAATAATCGTAGAAAGTCATAATTGCATTGTAATGTCAAAATCACAATGATTTTTCTTAATTTTTTTATAAATTGTACGGTAGAATTTGCAAACATCAGAATATTTAAATAATGTTTCTCATTTTAAATTTGTGTGTATTTTAGACAAATGTATAATCAAGGCTACAACCATCAAAATCAAGCCATGTATTATCAGCACTACAATATGATGGGCTATGGGCAATATGGACAGATGTCAGGACAAGGGCAGCAACACTCAATGCAGCAGCAGCAGCAGCAAATGCAACAAAACCAACAGCAGAACCAACAACAAAAGCAGCAACAGCAATCTCAACAACAATCGCAACAGCAAGGCAACCAAGGAAAGAAACCGACAGAACAGACACCTCCAATTCCACCTACTCCAATGACCTTTGACGATGATTCTGACCTTCCACCTCTTCCTCCAGGACCTCCTCCCCCATCCTCCCAGGTGCAGAGTCCTATGCAAAAGACCCAGCAAATCTCCCAAAATCAGACTCAACACAACAACCAGCAGCACAATGTCCAACAACACAATGCCCAGCAACACAGCAACCAGCAGAACAATGCCCAGCAACACAACAACCAGCAGGCATCTCATATTCAACAATATGCCTATAACTCTTATCCTTATGGTGGCTGGAATCCAGTTCAACAAACTGAATCCAATAGTAAGTATTTCTATGAAAACAATAAATTTTCCTTTTTATTTATACAAATTAAATAAGGTATTTGAATTTTTTAATCAATGGTAACATTGAAGACTAGTGAAATTTGTGTTTACTTGTGAATTGTAGAGAATTAATAAGGTTTATTTTGGTAGTCCTGATGACTCGTCAATGTGACTCAAAATGTTATGAAAGTTTGAGGTATACCAAACACATCTAAACGTCGCTTTTAAGTATATTGAATCTTGAAAGTCGCATATAAAGTAAATTAGAAGGTATACAAAGGTTTTGAAATAACCAAGGATGTTATATGAAAGACGTGTGTTGTGTTTTAAGTTTTATCGGAGACGGAAAATCGATGAATATATTGTATTCGATTAAATGAAAGGATTGAGATGGTATAACCTAATTTTTTTGCAGATTTCAGCGGAATCCGTTTCAATCTGCCCAACCAGAAGGCAGGTCTCGGTTACAATCAGCAGCAGGGTCAGCAGGGTCAGTCGAGCAACAGCGGCGCGGCGAAGAAGAAGCGTAAGCGGAACAAAAATCTCGCGGCTCAATACAATCAATTTCAGGCGACGCAGCAGCAGCAACCACAATTACCTAATACTTCGATACCTCCTCCTAATATGCTGAACGCGTCGTCGGAATTGCCACCGCTACCGCCATTACCCGCGGAAAAGCCACCATCGCCACCGCCAATCGAAGAGATCACCATACCCCCGTCGCCTCAAGCGACTATACAAGCGAACGTACAACAACCGCCACCTCCGCTCCCAAAAGTACCGCCGATCGACACCTCGCAACCTCCACCGCCGTTGCCACCTCCGGCAATCGTTAAGCCCAGTCCCGCGAAACTAGCTGCTCCGGCACCATCGCCAATTAGCGACTGGCCGGACAGCTTGAAGAATTACGTGAACAGGTGCTATGAGAAGTGTAAGACGGCGGTGGACAAGGATCAGGTGGAGATCATACTCAAGGGCAAGATCACAAGGTCGGCAAACGATGGCTCATTGTGGCTGAAGGACTGGGACAACGAACCCTTACCCAGCATCCACAGCGAGCGCATGACCATGACGATCAAGCCCCTGCAGGTGACGGTCGGTCCAGCTGGACTACGCAAGCCTGGTATCTCAATGAACCTTGGTGCTCGACTTGGCACCAAATCATCACCTTTCCTCTCGTCGTCATCCTCTAAACTCAATAATACCAATAAGAGCCGCTCGAGGTCGCGTTCGAAATCCCCCTCGCAGCCGCGTAAATACCGACGTAGTACTTCGTCATCATCGTCGAGCGAACACGATTACAAGGTTCCAGTGACCCAGCAGCACAACAAGCAGCAGAAAAACAAGAAGGGCCAGCAGCAGCAGCAGCAGCAGCAGCAACATCATCACCACCAGCAAAATCTCAATCAGAAGCAGAATAAGAAGAACAAGAACAACAAGCAGAAGATGAACGTGAACAAGGCCAACTGCCATTTCTACTCGGAGCACGGTATTCAGGGCGGTAATATCGAGGAATTCGGTACGAAAGAGAAGTTACAACAGCGCGCCGCGAGATTCAGTAACTCGTTTACAAATAAGCAACACGCGCCACCGCCACCTTCAGCACCCCAACGACCTGCGCAACATGTCAAACCGTCGATGCGCATTAACAATATGATCGTCAGGGACGACCCTACAGCCGAGTTTGACTTTACAGGACTTCATATCGTGGGTACTTGTACCGACCTGGAGAAGCCGTACCTGCGACTCACCTCGGTTAGTATTAGATTTACCATCGATCGATTGTTTGCGAATATATTAGAGCCGAATTATTTTTAGCGAATTTCAAGTCGCGGTTACTGTGTTTGGATGCTTTCCAAAAATCTAAAGATAATATTGGTCGTTCGCGTCTTTGGCTCCTTTTTTTGGTATACATCACATGATAATACAATAAAATCTGTATATTTTAGGCTCCAGCTGCATCGGCGGTTCGCCCAGTTAGTGTGCTAAAGCATTCTTTGGATCACGTTAAAAAGCGTTGGGCGACTAAACAAGACTATCGTTACACGTGCGATCAGTTGAAATCGATTCGTCAAGACTTGACGGTTCAGGGTATAAGGGATTCATTCACTGTACACGTTTATGAAACTCACGCGCGAGTCGCGCTTGAACGTGGTGATCACGAGGAGTTCAATCAGTGCCAAACACAACTGCGTATGTTGTATTCGGAAGTTGGTGGTGAGAATCGCTGCGAGTTTGTCGCTTACCGTATACTCTACTACATCTTCACTAAGAATACTTCGGGTAAATTTTTTAAAGTTAATCGTATAAAAAATGAATAGACAAGAAGATTAATGTTCGTAATTTTATTTTCAGATTTAACGACAATACTCGCAGCGCTCTCGGACAATGACAAAAAAGATGAGTGCGTGGATCATGCGTTAAAAGTCCGTTCTGCGTGGTGGTTAGGCAATTACCATAGTTTCTTTAAGCTTTATAAACAAGCCCCGAGAATGGCGGGATTCCTCATGGACTGGTTTATTGCCAGAGAGAGGAAGCTTGCTCTTAAACAAATGATCAAAGTGTACGTATCATTACTTTTACCTTTTATCACCTTGGTACTATTTCTGGCAGACCATTTTTTTTTTTGGTTTTTTTTTCTTTTGCACTATTCACAGACGTTCATGTAAAGCGATTACAAAAGCCTCGACAACAAGCGTCTAAATGGCTTTTAACTTTATTTATATTTTGACTATGATAGATGGACAATGACTTTAATGTTTGTAATCGCATATTGGATATCCATCTCTTTTTTCTCTATCCCTTCCACCTTCTTTCTCTCTAATTCCTTTTCCTTCTTTCTTTCTCTTTTCTTGTGTTGGTAATAAGTGACTATAAAATGCGATTTTTAATCTCAGTGTTGGATTTAAAAGCGCTATCTGCTACGAATAAAAATGAAGTTGGAATATTTATTTTTAACTTTGTGGTTGTAAAATGACTAAGAATGCATATACTGCCATAATCTTATCTAAATTAGAAGGGCAAAAATTGGCGGAGGGTAATGTTTTAACAGTAGCGTTTTATTAAAAATTTCAAGGGCATTTCAACCACATTTATTTTGGTAGATAAATCAATGGATATTTTCTATCACTATTTTTGAATTTTTCTACTTACAAGGTTACAATAAGTATTCTATCTTTAGTTCTCATTGCAGAAAGTATTGACTTCCGTTTAAGAATACTGAATTGTTACTTCTACAATCTTAAATGGTATTTTAAGAATATTCATTTATACTGCTTTTCAAATCTAATAGGATCTGTATAAACTGGTTAAGATCATTATTCTTAAACCTATCACTGTGCTTATTGTAATCGCACATGTTTCTCCACATATTTGCCAAACTTTTCCTTAGCAACATCGCATGATACACGCTTGAAGTATCAATGATACTTCCTGAGCCAAGCAGTTAAAGGAGCTTTTTAAAAGTGAGGAGTGTCTCCTGTGGCGACTTGATCTTGGGGCGGGGAATCTAACAATTTTTTAGATTTTTCTGTTTCAGGAACTTCAACGAACAACTTCTCAAAAAAAAAAAAAAATAAACACAACAAAGCTTTAAAAATAAATATATAATGATGACACTTATAAATTAATAAAATATAAAACATCGTCGGACAATTATCGATTGAAGACGACTAATCTTATTCTTTCTTATTGTTTAGCTATCGACAAAATTTGGCGGTTGATTTCATCATTGCACAATTGGCATTCGAATCGACGGAGAAGTTTTACGAGTTTGTCGCTGAATTCAGTTTGGCTTACGGTGATGCCGAGCGCAAGCAGCTCGATTGCAAGACGAGCAGCTCTTCTATAGGTGCTTGGTAGACGCATAACAAATTAGCCTGGCTATCATCTCCTTCGTACATGAAAAGAGAATCTCCAATTCCCTTCTTCGGAGATTCCGTACGCCAAGACTATGGATTATATATATTTCTTTGTTTTGATATTCCCCCTATAAATGGGACTGGAAATCGAACAAGTATATACGACAAGAGAAATACTCTTCATTCCTTCGACGTGCGAATCCGGCGTCGAAAAAATTTTCTCTCTTGTACAAAGATACATTGCACGCAGGCGGAATGTAAATATTTCGACGACGTTGTTTCTTTTTCTTCAACGTTGTCGCTTGTACAGTCATGTATTTTTGGTGTTTGGCCCGACAAGAGCCACACCTCAATATGCTGTGTGGGCCACAGCTATGTGTAAATCCACCTCTCGCTTTCATCGTTTGTTTCTCCTGAATATTAGGCAAAATATCTCTCACATGTATACAATTTCCCCAGTTCGCAATTCACCTCCTTTCACGGCAAAGTGAAGAGAAAGAGCATCGTTATTTCATGAAACGAAGATAGACATTTGTAACATTATCATTTACCGGAGGCAAAAAAATTAACTAAAAATCAGCCGGGCTCAATTTTACTTCCCTACCAGACTTCTTAATGCTACCGACGCGCAGAATACACATAGATTAGATATCTTTTATTATATCATCGGCAAGAGAGGGACGAACGACAACATCAGCAGGTCAAATGAAGCGGCAGCAACGGTGGCAGAGGAAGAAGGTGAAGACAGCAGTAGATTGTTGCAACCAGTCAGTATGTTTTTATCGACTTGCACACGCACGCGAGTTAAAAAACACATACACGCCTGATGAGCTTTATGATAAAATTTGAAGCATCAATTTGTTGATCTATTTATCTATTAATTGTTAATTTTTTTGCATAAAAAAATTATTACTATTCTAGTTATCGTATATAATATATGTAATTTGTAATGAAAAGAGTGCGAGAATGATTTGATTTAATTAACGTGATGAATGAGCGAATGGTTCTCTCATTGTATAAAGAATAATAAAAAAGTGTTTAATACACTTTAAGATTTTAAAAACGACCGAAAGTCAGTTAATTTATTAGAAAGCAACATAGAATAACCAAGTGGAAAGCATTCGTCATCGCCAGAAGTCAGCTGGCCACATGTACATACACGCCCAACGCTTTATCCAGAGAAGAGGATTTGTACAGGATCTATGAATAAAATTGACAAGGATTATTTTGAAATTACATCGTGTTTTTGTTATTTCCTTGAATTTTTTTAATACAACGACAAAACCAATCTGGTTACTTCCTTGGTTTTCCTTTTTTCCATATATAATATACCTTCTTTGTTGTCCGAACTCCTCTCGTATACACAAGAAAAATTCTTTATAAACAGCGTCTGTTTCCTAATTACATAGTACAGTACTGCGTGTATTTGTGTGAGTGTATGTGTGTATATATATACACATACATGTGTGTGTATATATATATTAGCCGATGTAATACAATTCAGTATATATTAAAATATTAATTATCGTTTCCGAAAAATAAAAAAAGGTGTAACAAGTCGATTTGGTGAGTTTTTTTTTTCGTTTAGTTAGAGCGCGACAAGATGTAATCTGTATTATTGTTACGAATTGGATTTTTTTTTTCTTTATATTTTTGGTCAGTCGTGATTTGGAGAGAAAGAGAGAGAGAATAGATTGATGATTGTGGCAGCAGTATGCGAAGAATGACGATTGCACGAACAATCATTCTACACGGACAGCGAGACGAAGCTGTTATACTGGGTGATGTTGCGCTTGAGAATGTCGGCGCATGGACCTAATACTCGTTCGAAACGCGACCTGTCCAATTTTACGCATTTCAGAGGACCACGTGCCACCACTGTTGCTGCTCTTGGCCTATCCAGAAGTAGAGCTATTTCACCTGCAAACATTTTTCGGAGATTAGTCTATAAGTATACTTAAAGAATTCTAAGTATTTAGTCCTTTAGAGTCAAAATTCAAATCACTTTGTATGCGAAAATAAATGGTTTTCTTGTTTTGTGCACTTATAAATAGATAAATAAACTAATTGTTCAATCACTGGTTATTTAAATTTATTTTAAATATTCTTTTTGAATAATTAGCTTCAATTATTAATTTTTCTTGTGACTTTAATTTTCAATAATTATTATTTTTCATTCAAAATTCTATGAAAGAAATCAACAATTGTATAAAGATTTTCAAAAACCTTATTTGAATTAGCTCGAAACTGGAAGTGAAAGAAGAGAGAACAAACGCGATATTGGTAGTCTCGAAAACGAATGTAAATGTAAACACACACCGAAGTAATCCGAAGGGCCGAGACGACCGACTTCGGCTGGTTCCTCTGACTCGGAACGCTGTTGCAACACGACAGCTGTACCTTCGACGATGATGTAGAAATCTTCGCCCGGCTCGCCTTGACGTACTATCGTCTCGCCGTCTTCGAAGGCTACTGGCTCCAGAGCGTCCGCTACTGTTAGTCGTTCCCACTTTTCCAGAGATTCTGCAAGTGTTTGCGCTTGGTTAATGCTCGTCAGGCTTAACTTATCGGATTCCTCGAATGTCGAATAATTTGTCTTTCCAGTAACGAATTCTCAACGGTCAAAGAATGCAGAATCACCGATTGAACTGTAATAAGAACAAGCGGCGCCCAGAGTTCGGAGCGCTTGCAGGCAAGTGAACGAGCGTCCGCGCGCCCGCGAAAGCTCATTCCGTTCGATTGGGAGTCGCGCGCGCGCGCGCGCGCACGTCAATCGACTGCGCTTGCGATCGAACGAGCCGGCCGATAAGCAACGAATGCGTGGAGCACTGACCGAGAATGGAGACCCTGGAGAGGAATTCCTCGTACATCTTGCGCTTCCTGATGGTCGAACCCATGAGTATGCGCCGGTACGAGTCGCGGTCGATGCCCCAGAGTTTGACGTCTGTCTTGGCCCTGACAGTGGCCGCTCTCGGCGTGCCGTAAATCAGCGCCAGCTCGCCGAAGCTGCCTCCTTCGCCGATCGTCGTCACCAGCTCGCCGTTCACGAAGATTTCCACTTCGCCCTGGTCGATCACGTAGAAATTGTCGCCTTCGTCACCTGTTGCCCAAAGGTCGGAATAGGATTTAGACGTGGCTCCTGGAGCTTCTACTAGAACTCGGGAGGGAGAGGTTGCCCCGTGCGGAATACCGACGTACCTTGGCGTATGATGGTCTCACCAGGCAGAAAGGTGACGGGGAACATGGCATCGAAGATATCGGAGCGCTCGTTCTCGTCGAGATGGGCGAACAGCACGTTCTTGGCGATGGCCTTGCTTAGCGCCGCCATTGTCTTGTAGTCCTTGGGCACGACCTTCTTTACGTAGCTCGTGGCGTCTTCCTCGGTGACTGGCTCGGCGCTGATGCCGCCGCGGCGCCGAGGCACTTGGGGGCCCTGCTGGCCCGCCGGCAAGTCCTCCGTGTCCTCGGGACTCGCGGCTGTCTGCTGCTTGGCGTCTTGCGCCTGCTGCAAGCAGTCGCCCGCTTTAGAGTCGCCCGCGACAGCCGCGCAGGAATTGCCTCTCGCTTCTCTCTCTCTCTCTCTCTCTCTCACTCTCTCTCTCTCTCTCTCTCTCTCTCTCTCTCTCTCTCTCGCCGCGATAAGGCTGCGCATCGGCTCGCTCGGCAGCGGAAGCGACTCGCGTCGAGCTTCATCGGCGTTCGCGAGCCCGATCAGTCGGCCAGCCGTCTCGACCGCGACGCGTTGTCGCACGCGAGCGTGCGTGTCGAGGCCTGGCCTTGCGCCACGCGAAACCCCGTTTGAATGTTGTTCGCGCGAGCGATCTGACGGAGCGATGAGTCTCGGACGAGAGCGGCCCGGCCTGATTATTATCTCGTTTTCTTGTAACGCGGTGGCAAGATCGCCGGACAACTCGCCAATCCTTTGCCTTTGCCGGAAAGCGGCGAGACGATGCACCCCAGTCGCTTTCTAGTTTTCAAAGATGCCGATTACAGGCCTCGGTGGACTTCAGCGCGAAGGCGGACCGTTGTGTGCATTTATCGGTGCGCGAGAGCTGTAATTAACGCGATGAAAGAGACGGGGGGGGGGGCATTTTCAAGCTTGTCGACCCCAACTGAGACGAGCTCGCAGCGCGCGAACAGCAGTATCGCACTAGCCGTGGTGACGCGGGAAACGGGGTTGCGCGCGCGACTCCGCTCGACTCGCGGCAAGTGTCCGGAGACAACGGGAAAACGAGGTTAACTTGGGAAATCGCGAACACGGCACAGACGTCATCCACTCGCGGGAACATTCAAATTGGGCCAGATTTTGGGTTTGCGAAGAGGAGGAGACAGGCGAAAGCCGCAAATGCGAATCTGGTCGAATCCAGCTCAAAGAGAGGCAGCGACGTTCGAGGTATCGATCGTCATCGTCGGATCGCGCGGATGCAATTTTCGCTGTGCGACAGCGCTCGTCTGCTCTCGCCAAGCGTGAACGAGCGATCGATCGGGGCTTTGTAAAAAGCAAGGAGCGAGCGGCTGCAGCGAAGCCTCTATTTTTTATAAATATCGACTTTCGGGTGCAGCGATGGCATGCTCGAGCAAGACAATGCTTTCCTTTGCGCGAGTACGAAACAATTGTCGACAGAGACCGCGCGAAAGTCATCGTTAACGCGCAATCAATCGGAAGAACGCCGGAGAGTTGATTAGCGAATGGCGTCGATTGCGACCGAGCGAGAAAAAACGAAGAGCGAGAAGAGGCGCCCCCCCCTGCCCCCTGGCGCCTTGGTTTTATAAATAAAACGCGTAGCCTTGGCGAGGCTCTTTCTAATCTGCCGCAAGCTCGAGCGAGAGACAGCGAGTTAATATTAGGTGGCGTGGCAGATGACCTGTTTATTATTCGCGCGCAAAGAGCGAAGGGTTGCTCGTAATTGGGGCGGCCGCTCAGAAAGAAAGTTCGCTTTGATTACCGAGCGCAGTCGCACGTTTGTCTGCTTTAATTTCGTTCGAACGAGCTCTCTCTCTCTCTCTCTTTCTCTCTCACTCGTGGTTTTTCGCTCGATTAGCAGCTTCGAGAATTTACGCGCGCGTCGAATATTTCATCCCGACAACGACCTCTCTTAGTCTTTTGTTCGTACGTTTACTTTCTCCCAATCGATATATATATATATATATATATATATATATCCTACGCGCGTGCGGCAGAAATATAAAACTCACGAGTCTCCTTCTCGAGTGAAATACACCGGAAGAAAAGATACAAATCTTACTTGCGAAGTCGAAGCGATCAGGTTGTCAGTGGAGCACAATGCAGAAATTGATCGGAAAAGGGATCGGAAGCTCGGATTTCGCTGTTTGCCGAAAAAGGAAACTCCCTCCGGAACATAGTCCGGGGCCGCGCGCAAACACGCAGCCAATTCCTTTCAATTGCGAGCGTCGTCGTTATGCGGCTAACTTTTACCCTGCCCATTTCCACGTCGAAGCGGACGAATGCTCTCCCGAGGCGCTGCTGCTGATAACGCGCGAGCCGAAAGGAAATCGCGCGCGCAGAGGAAACGAAGCTTGCTATGGATAATGTCGCACGGCCGATTCTTCATGCGATTCGGACGAGTGTTTTTGATTTACGAAATACAATTTCGAGATGCCCGTGGGGCTCGCCAGTTATTTCGAAAGCCGCCGGTCGTAGTATTCTCGGCAAAAGCAAGAGAGAGAGAAAAAAAATAAATGAAGTAAGGAACTTGGCAGAAGATCAACGCGGTAGCTGTCCTTTCTTCTCCGACGAGAACTTTTTGACGCGCGGGCATCGTCGAACATCTGGTCGAAGCGGTCGAAGGATCGCCGCGAGCCGTGAAAGCCACCCTATGCGCGTCGCGCGCTCCCTCGGTGACCTTCGCACGTTGCAGAGCAGCGTGAGAGGCCCTTGCGACGTTTCGCTAGGCGGATACGCGGATGAGTGCCCAAGACCCTCGAGGAGACAAGACGAGGGGAAGGAGAGGCTGAACCGTTTGTGATACATCTCGCGGAATCCTTGGCATCGATCCTCCCTCTCTTGAGGAAAATGACGGCCTTGGACGCGACTGCGAGTACGAGATCGACGCGCGATATGGTAATTGTAGAGACGCGCAGAAAAGGAATGTGTTTGCGTCGAGGGGGAGGGGGAGAGAGAGAGCTCGTTCGAATTTTCCATTCGATATTAAACAGATGCTTTCCCCGGCATAGCTCGCGACTGCGCTGCCCTTTTATTGGATTCCTTGGGCGACGACGTAAGGCGCATTTTTCCACGCGCGTTCCTGGTCGTGATCGTGCACGAAACTCGTGCCGCGGAAATCAAACGGTGTTGTGCTATCCGTCTCACGAGCGTTGCGCTTGGCCGCAAGACGCGCGCAGACTTTGCCTAGGGTCAAGTCAACCAGGCCGGGTTCCGATCGGAAGTAGCCCCTTCCCGCGCACGAGTAAACCAGCTTCGCGCCTGGCTGCCGGAGTCGCGACGCCAAGATCGACGGCAAGCCGCTCGCTCGCCGGCGCGCTTTATTATTAGCTCCGCGCACGCGTCGCGACCGCCAACTTTTGCGGGCGCTAAGCGACAATGCCCTGTCGACGTCGGAAGCTTCGATTCGGGCCCCGCCGAGCGTCGATCGTCGGCTCGCGCGAAACTAGCGGTGGTCGCGCGCGGTCGACGCTCCGCGCTCGGTTTTAGCAGTCGGCGGCCCCGGCGAAGGCTGCGCCCGAGCCAAAAGCGCCCACGCGCGTCCGCCGATGTATTTCCGCCGCGGGCGGTCCGGTCGGCCGCGCCGATCGTCACAGATCGCGCGATTACCTCGTCGGCCATGCTGGCGTCGGTGGTTCACACTCTCGGCGGGGCTGCCCGCGCGCTCGGCTTCCGGGGCGCGTCGTCGTCGCACTGCCCGTCACAGGCACATTTCTTCGGCTTCCTCCGCTGGAATCCACTTAGCGGCACACGCGCGCGGCGCGCGCTCGGTCCTCGTGGGCGGCGGGCGCGTGCGAGCGGCGCGACTCCTCGGCGCACTCTGGAGCGACGGCGGCCCCGGCCGCCCGCTATATATTTCGGGCACGCGCGCGCGCGCGAGACGGAGCGTTGCCTCTGATCTATGTTTGGCAGCGCGCGCAGCGCCGCCGACGAGGAGGCTCGGAGGAGGGGCGCGCGCACGCTGCAATCGTGCTTCTGGATGCATCCCCTTCGCTCGTCGCCGCGGGTGTTTTCGTCGTCGCCGAAACGTCTTGCCGTTCCCTTCCGCCTCTGTGGTCTCCAGCGAGAGCGTCGTCGCGGTCCCCTTCCGTCGCGAAGGTGACAGCTTGCAATCGCCTGCCGGCCAAGTGCACGGGACGCGCGCAAGTCGGTCCCGCGCGAGAGGCCCCGGCGGCCAACGATCGACCTTGCGAGAGTTCATCCGGGAGGCGCGCGGAGTCGGTATCGGCGTCCGTTCGGCAGCGCCCGACACGCGCGATCGACAGATGCCTCGCTCGTCGGCGCTGTCGATGCTCGCCGTGAGTCCCCCGAGTCCACCGTCGAGCGCTGCCGTTGATCGTCGTGGCGAATCAATCGAGCCTCGCGCTCCGTCCCACATTCCCGAAATAAGCGGTCACGAGAGGACGGAACGCGCGATCGATAGGCGATGCAAGGGCGCCACGCAGTATCCGAAAGAGCGCGCCGAGCGGGCGCCTAGCGGATCGGCATGGTTGCCGCGTGCCTCCGCTCGCGGACGTCGCGCTCAGTTTTTTCAGACGCGCACCCTGCCAGACCCAATGGAGGTACGTGTGCTCATCTCTCTTTGAGGATCGGTCGTGTACACGGCTGGACGGCCTTCGTTTCGGTGCGAGAGGCGTATTGATTTTAGTCGCGCTCTCGCTCTCTCTCTCTCTCTCTCTCTCTCTCTTTCTCTCTGTTCTCTGGCTCACTGGACTAGACGATCGTCTCCTCCTCTCGCAAACGCTTCTTTTTTCCGAAAAAACAACAGGAAAACGAAGGGGGTCGACGCCTTCATATATAAATACTTCTTAGGTGGTAGATAGCTGACTTCTATTTCTGGAGGTGATGTTCTTTCTTTTTTTGTTTCGAATGAAAATCTGGCAGTTGGAAAAGCTTGCCGACGAGTTGTTTTCTATGGACGCGGACGAGGCGTCCAAACGCACGTTTGCTTTGAAAAATTCGACGGCGAGCGGTTCTTGAACGAACGCTCACGAAACTTTGCCTCTGGACGTTCGGTGCGACGAAGCCGTCGATCGCCGGAATAAAGTGCACCCGTCGACACTCGCAACTCGTCGAGCGACCAGCAAATAGAAAAATCATATACTAAACGGCCGTGCGCTGCTGGCAAGCTGGCACGTGTAAGTGCCGCGCGAGGTTTCGAAAGCGAGCTACGATATGAAAAGGCCGAGCAGTAGAGCAAGCCGCGCACTCGTCAGCCACTAGTCCGAGTGATTGGACGTCCGTCGAATATCGATGCGAAGTGCCTCTACGCCCATCATCGTTCCCCCGAACGACGCGACTTGCGGGAGTCGTGCTCCGGGTGGATTTCGTTAACGTCCGAGTCCTCGGCGATTCGCGAGACAGGAGGGAAACGCCCCGAGGTCGGATCGACGTGCGGAGCGGAGAACTAGCTTTTTGCGGTAATTGATGGACGTTTAACCGCCCGCCCATTTGCTCCGCGGCCGTTATCTGGCGGAGCGGAATTGGGACAGATTTGCGAAAGAAACGAGAAGAGCCAGGATCCAAGGTTCGGCTCGCGAAATCGATAACGAACGTTTCAATCGCGTCGGCGACAGCTGCCTCCCGACGAAGCGTCTAGGCGCGAGGCACCATCCGGAACCGGCATTGGCGCGAAGATAGGCGCCGTTGATTGGTGCAAAGATTGCCATCGATCGCCGCAATCGCGGAGTAAAGGGTCGCCCAGTTTCCGACGCGCACTCGCCTAGCAGTATGCCGCTATCTGTCACGGGCTTCGTTGCGTTGCAAAAAGAAATCGCGTCGCAGATGAAAAATCATGCGCGCGGAGGAGGGGGTCGCCCTGTGGAGCGCGAACGGCGAACAAGATCAAGTGCGAAGCGACGAGGGCAATTGTTCGCGGATCACTATGAGACTCCGTGGCGTGGCGATTGTCGAAAGCTGCGCCCGCGTCGCCGTAAGCAGATAACCGAGCTTTCGGGATGCACGTCTAAGGGACAACGCTCCCGCTTTTCGTCCCAGTTTTTCACGGTCCTTGTCCCAGTTCGTTTGTTCGCCCGCTCCCCGATCGGCCGTTGTGCTGGCGACGCCGACACTTTCCTTGGCCTTTCCGTTCCCTCCCCCCTCCCCTGCCCCTTTCTCCCGAGAGCACTGACTGAGGCTTCTACGCACTTTCGGTTTCGTTTGCTCTTCTTTCTTTTTCCGAGCTTCCGAGGACAAGCTTCATAGACACTCCGTTGAACACAAAAATAGCTACTTACGCGCATTTTTTACAAACTGAATTCGCGTACATCGTAAAATTTTACGTTCTTCGCAGACTTATATATGTACATTACGGAACAAATGGCATGTCCCTTGTCGTTTCTCTTGAAGTATGCGGAGATTTTCATACTTTCGATTTGTTTCTTCTTTCTTGAGTATTTCATCTCCGAAGTTATTGAAAGACTCGATCGAATGTGCATTAAGAGAAAAAATAAATGAAAAAGACTTCCCGATCAAGTTTGAGATAATGTTAAAAGTAAGTGAACAAATATCAGACGTATTCAATGAAGCTGAAAACGTAATATCGCGAGCATTCTTCTCAGCCTCGCATCTACATAATTGAAAAAATGTCGTTTCTCTTGACATTCTCGTAATGCCTTATCTACACGTACGTAACGCAGCCCGCAAAGCTTCCAAGCAAGTAGCTTATTCTATAATCCCGTCCAGTGTACTTGAACGAAAAAAAAAAAAAAAAAAAAATCGCGAGAAATGGCGATTGTAACGAACGCGATGACGGTGAATCGTTCGTTTCGAAGGAAAAAAGTACATCACCGAAGCTCTTAGCCGAAGAGACTCCTCGACCTCTCCAGCGGGCGGTTTTGCTAATTGAAAAGTCAAGGAGAATAATCGGTTTTACATGGGACCGAAAGTTTTTCAAACGTTTTACAAATTAGCCGCCAGTCAGTGGAAGCACTTGCGGCCTACGTGGCGTTCGGCCGTCAGTTTTGATCCCCAAGCTGCCGCTGTTTTTCAGTGGTTTTTTTTTCCTTGCCCCCGATGTTCTCGATTTGCCGAGCGCCTGCCCATGTCTGTCGGCCGTTCAAAATGTAATTGGCCAACGCTGCCTCCCGATCCCCGGCTGGAGCTCGCGACTGCCAACTTACCCGCCATCGGGACGAGGAAAGTGCGCGCGCGGTTTTTGCGACGATGACGCGTGGGGAGAGTGAGCGACGCCGTAATTTAAATTGAAGTCGCGATAGACACTTGATCTCGGCGCAGCGCAGCTTAATATTTGCCGCGATGCCAATTGCTAGGCTTCCACGAGGCGAGGAACGCTGTAATTCATTTTATGCGAAAATTCAACGTCCCCGCAGTCGAATCCGTTTCCGTATGCGAAACTTCAGCGCGGAGAGGCTAATTAACGAGCGAATTTGGTAGCGAAATAGTGATTTTTCGTGTTGGCGAGTGGCAGACGAGAAATAACTGGTCCCTCTCCCTCCCTTCAGTCGCGAAAAGCGCCGAGGCCATGAACTCTCTCACGGGCCGCCGCGAGAGCGAGCGTGTCGCACGTCAACCGCTGCGGGCCGCGACCCTCGAAAAACCAAGTAGCCGTAGCCGGCAATTAAAAACGAAAAGGGAGAGAAGTAGGATGAACGCGCACGCGACGCCCTTGAGCTTGACGATTCTCCTCTCGCGCATATGAATTTATTGTTGTCCCGCGGCTTCCTACCCGAAGGAAAGAAAGCGCTGAATTCTAAATGAGAGCTTGCGAGCGTCTCGTTAAAAGTAATTGACGCCAAACATGCGAGTGCCGCTTTTTCTTTTCAGTTTTCTTTTTGTTTTTTTCTTGGCTGTCGAAACCGTTACTTGTGATAATTTATGCGTCTAAGATGATTTTCGCTGGGAGAAAAACGCGTGTAGACCCTAGTCGAAAATTCACGAACTGTGCGCGTTAGGACGATTGCTGCCGAGAGAACAAACTGAGCTTTCAACGCGGGAAACCGTAAGATATTTTTCTTCTGTTTTCGTTTTTTTTTCAAAGGTGTCGATGCGCGAGAATCGGCGATTAGATGAAAAGAAGAGAGTCGATGTATACGCTATTGGGGAACGCTCATAAAAGCGGCGATCTGGTCGTTTAATGCGAAACGCATTTCCGACGATCTCACAGCCACGGCAAGGCAGCGAAAATTCGTTTTATTTATTTATTTATTTATTTTTTTCATTATGCGTATCCTTGCGGTACTCCCCAGTTATATTGGCCGAAGATAGTAGCCATGTGCGTCGTAAAAAGACAATTGAGCGAGGTATATTCCGTCTAATCAAGCGGACCGCGCCGCTCTAGATTGAACAATTTGGAGGAAACGTCATGAAATACGGCGGTTCTGCTGTCATAACAGGACTTTCGAGCCAATGAAACGTATCGTCAATTGAGTTCAGCGGACAAATCTGGCAGTTCAAAGATCTCGTTGCCAAAGAATCGCCGCGATTAATCCTGCCCGTCGAGGAAGTCTGAAAGAGCAAAGAACGACCAGCTCCTCGGGGAGAGTAAGTGTGCGAACATCTCGTGGAGAAGAGAGAGAGAACGGTAATCTCTCGCACGCGCTTACGAGATTACGAATCGTTGGGTGTTAGCTGTGCGACCTTAAAATAGTTAGGCATGACGTCACCGTGGTGATGGATGGCCGCAAGCCCACAGCGCTCGCCGTGACGTCAAAGCCATTGTCGCGTGACGTCACGCTATCTTCTCTCTCGTAACTTTATAGACACACATACATACGCACACACACGCGGGTCCATTTTTTATTTTACGTTAAGCTTTGCGTGCAAGACAGCCACGTGCTGCTCGGATCGAAATCGTTCGGCGCACAACTTCCGTCGTTGGCCTGTGACGCGCTGAGCTTTTTCAAGTTTTTTGGCAACTCGTGCCGGTTATATTTAGATCTGTCGAGAATTCTCTCCGGCGAGCTTGAGCAATCGAAACTGTCGAGGCGTCGAAAGTTTGATTAACAGTTTGAAAATGAATTTATTATTATTTTCTTCCTTTTTCTCCTTTTTTAAGCGTTTCGTATTTAAATTATACGTCAAAGAGCGCGCGAGCTTTATTAACGGCGGATCTTATCTTTAAATCGATAGAAGTTCTGTGCGCGGCGGTAGAGATGAGAGAGAGAGAGAGAGAGAGAGAGAGAGAGAGAGAGAGAAACCAGTGAATTTATCTTCAAGGATATGCTGGTTGTCATTATAGTTTTTACGGTACTTGCTTCAGAAAAGCTCGATACTATGAAAATCTATCGCTAGTTTTTCCCCCAAGAAAAATGAATGCAATTGAAAAACATAAACTATTAATTCGCAACGTTGGTTGTTTACGCGTGACAATATTATTCTCGGAGTGAATGGCAACCGTCGAAGTAAACACGATCGCGCGACAAATTGCGAAGGTGTATTCCTCGACGTCGCGCAGCCTGAAAAATTAATTTGCGAATCAAATTGCTATGCTCGACAAAAGCTCGCGTCCTCGTTCTGAAGCCAGCAACCAATGAGACCGTCTAAACGTACATGTGCTCTCTACTAAAACAAAGTGTGCTTAAACTCTGGTATATAACCGTGACGAACTCTCTCATCGGACGCTGCTCCACTTATCGAATTAACGATCGTCGTCGTAGAACTCCGGACACAACCACGTGACGCCTCTGTGCACACACACCCACACACCGCGCGCGCGCACACACACATATGAAAACATTCGTATACACCACGTCAACGATATTTTTTATTTATCCTCGTTTCTTCTACAAGACAAGCAAATAAAGCTTACCCTTTCTAGTTTCTGGAAGTACTCGCGCATGAAGGAGATTGGATTGTCCGGCTGTTCGACGCACAGTTGCACGAAAACATCTTTGATCACCGGCATGATCTTTGACCGTTGCATGTAATCTATACACTCGCGCATTCTTTGTTGCTCCTCAGGATTCGACGCCATTAGCTTTCTTTCTCTCTCTCTCTCTCTCTGTTTCTTAATATTATTATTAATTCGCTAACACACCTCTTTTCGTTCGTCAAGTAAACGACCTCTTTTGCTTCGTCGAGACTTTGAAGACGCGGCTTGTTCACTTATCGTTCTCAACGTCACATACCTTACCGAAAGAGCGGCCGACCGCCTTTTTTACGATTTATTTTTTTAGTATAAAAAAAAGGTTTGTTAGGCACTAGGAGATGCAGCCGATTGTTGACATGACAGCAATACACTGAAGCTCCGCTAGTCAATGCGCATGCGTTCGAGGATACGTCACACTTCTGTATTTTTTCAAGGTGTGTATCGCTAAATAACTGAGGTTGTGTGCGGTACATATATGTATGCATTGCGCAAGGGAATGTGCGTGCTTGCGTGTATGTATGTGCGCGCGTTGAGCAGACGCTGATCTCCACCGTCTCTGCAAGATCTGAAGACATTTGAAGGTGAACGCGGCGCTATGCGTGTGGAATTTATTGTTAACAAGTCTGAAAAAGGCAATAAAAATAATTAAATTAAGCTTTCCGGAAGATTTTATCACTTTTCAATGATGGTAAAATTTAATAATAAGTGAGCATGAAAAATATTACAAAAAAGATTATTTAAATTTATTCATTGAAAACCAACTGACGATTGCAAGTTAATGAAAAAAAATTGAATAGTACATACATACAAACTGACGACCCTTTTGTACCAAATTCGACTATTCAAAATTGATCGTTTTAGCTTATGGTATGGACGCACTGTCCAATCAGCAATGTTTCGTTTCGTTTTAATGGCCGTGGGGACCTGAGGACTTCGATGAGCCACAATTCACCAATCAGCAACGTTGATTCAGATGGTTGGATGATATCTCTTCTGCAGGCTGGCTGTCATGCATCAAATCTTCGGATTTTGTATAGGTTAAGTCGCACGTTATGTGTTGTGTAAACTGGTTTGCTGACATGGAGGGTTCCACACGTAAGTTCTCTTCATTGTTGTTATTTACTTTGTTAATATTTATTGAAATTTAGTGGTAACAAACGTTCAAATAAAAATTCTCTAAATTTTGATCATTAAATATGCTCTCTTTGACGATGGAAGCTAGAATAGTAAACAGCTCCAAAACTAAAATAAATTGGAATAAAAATTAGGATTTAAACATTTAAAGAAACAGAATAAATGATGAATTGTTATTAAAAAATTACAGATATTATTTTTATTGCTCAAATTTCTTTAAAATACGTAAAACTCTGAGAAATTAAATATGAAGTATTAAAACAAAATTTCAGTAGATACACTTTATGTTTATTCAAAATTAGTACTTTTTCATTGCTACTGTATATTACTATTCTGTAATAATTTTAATATATGTATAGATAAATATAAAATTTCTTTGCATCATATCTTTTAACTAAACATTTGCAACTTAATTTACAGAGAATATATGTATGCCACTACCAATAACACTTACTACCAAAGTAACTACGAAAGAACAGCGAGAGCAATATTTACTGAATTTTCTAAAAAATGTGTTGCCTTCAAGCGATGTTAGTGGAATTGGTAATGAGCTTAAAAAGGTGAATGATTCAATTCAGACAAAAAAAATATAGAATAAGGAAGTATACTATGAATCTATTACTTTTCTGCAGGTATTCATATTCAACAAACACAAAAACAAAGTTTATAAAAAGATGCCGCAAAAGTCTCCGTTCATGACAATGAGGAAAGGCATTCTTCTAGGTCTCAACAAATTTGGAAAGAAAAGTCTCCGTTATACAGAAATGTTGTCCCTGAATTCATTATGGCTTGGATACATGCATCATATGCTTGGTCTGCAGGATTTTAAAACATTGCCAATAAATCCTACAGACTCTCAATGGGAAAATGTTAATCAGCATTTGATCAAAGCAGACTTTCATGGTGCCATAGTGACAATTGTACAATCAAAGTGTCCAAGTACTGTTGGAATTAGAGGGATCATAATACAAGATACCAAAAACACATTTAGAATATTAAGTGAAGATGATGTAATTAGAAGTAAGCAATATAAATTGATTCATTGTTGATTCGATAATCTAAGAGTTCCTCGTCTTTTTTTTTTAGCGATAGCCAAAGAGTCATGTGTTTTTCGAATACACTTAGAAAACAGCATAAATATCGAAATTTTTGGAAAGGAACTTTGCATACGTCCAGCAGAACGATCTGTCAAGAAATTTAAAAATAATCATGTACCTAAGCTTTAGTGCCAAGTCGATTGTGAGAATTCACGACCTTTTTACTTTATTTCACACTATGTATATAGCATTCGGCACATCCATTGTACATTCAACAGCAAAAATAATACAAGTATATCATCAAAAAACCCCAATTACTTTCTCCATTCAGTTAACAAACATATCTAAATCATTTCAATATTTTTTCGTTTGTCACATTTCTTTATTATTCTTTCCAGTGTTTTCGTTAATACGTTTCATTTTTTCATACCATTATATTATGTATATCTACTAATTACATGTTATATCAATTACCAGTATAATATATAACATATTCATGTATTTATAATATATAATTATTAATCATTTTTTTCTCCTTTTTTTTTGTATTAATTTTTTTATCCCACTCGCTCTATCGTTCTCTCCCTCGTTCGCTCTTCATATTGATTTTTTCTTTTATTATCTCCAACATATGACGCAGTAATAATAATTATTATTATAATAATTCATAATATATATTCAAATAATTGTGATATCGATACAACAACTGATGGAGCGAACGACTTTAAAAACAGTATCAGATATCTCCTTCGCTCCAGGAAACTAATACAATTCATTCACGTAGTCCCGTGCTCGATAATTCACTATTTTCTTTTAAAAGATTTCATACAATGATAATCATTCGCAATTTCGATGAAGGGAATGTTTGAAATTTGTCTACAATTTGTTTGTTGCGTGTCTCAGTTATAATAATCTTCGGCTTACAATACTAATTTATTACTGATTTTATCTGCGACCAAGTGCCAAATCAACATCTGTTCTATCTAAAGGTGTGTGTGATATGCACCCTACAGTGTGAGTGATTTGTATAGATTTTATGATTCATCTAAGGAGTCTTCTTGCATAAATGGTGATCTTTATGCTTTTTTTAACGCTCAAATTTACTGGCAATAGTATATCGATGTTCATATTTAAGGCAAAAAGGGGAGGGGCGAGGAGGACATTATTACAATGTGATTTTTATGCAAGGCCGATCTTTAAAAAATAATAGATGCGGATACACTGGTACAACTACAAAAAACAAAGCAGCAGAAACACTCTTTTAAATTTAATTATAAAAAAGTGAAGGGAAAAAAGTTTATAGACGAGAGAACTACGTAAAAAAGAAAGCAAGACACTAATAATGGACATTCTTGTTCTAAAACAAGCGAAGTTCATGCTTTCTCCAAACTAGATTTATGCCCACGCAAAATACAATAATAATTTAAAAGTTAGACAAAGACGGATGAAAAAAGAACAATATTGTAATATTATTAATAATAATAATAATTAATACAAAATAATAGTAATAACTTGAACGAGACTACAGGTTATAAAATAAACCTCGTAGCAAGTGTCCTCACAGTTGAACGCAGAAAAAAGTCCATTTTACAGAAATATAGTCGACAGAGACAAGAGTATTAATTTATTTAGCTTTTATTTTTCAAAGAGGAGCTATATCTCGAGCTTAGTAAACGTATATTTAATTGAGGGAGCAGTCTTGCAAGTGGAACTGCGCATACTCAATAACATTTTATCTTTTGTTTATACATTTGTTTGTCATTTATAATTCGTCGATCGTCTTGCACTCTTTGCACGCGAAGAGCGCGCAGTCGTAAAACATGTCTCACGAATTCACGTTAAAATTCACAGAATTCCCGCACGACTGTCACTCTCTTCTAGTTTGCACAATGAGCCAGAAGTGTCGTTTCAAGAGCCGAATCGTTATTTGTTATTGTTTATCTACAAATTTGCAATTATATCGATATTTGGTACAATTGAATTGAGTAGCCATTCAAATATTGTATACACTCGGTTCTCTATCGTCACCTCTTATTTTCTTTCTCTCTTTCTCTCTTTCTCTCTTTCTCTCTTTCTCTCTCTCTCTCACTCTCATTCAACAGTAAGAATGAAATCTAAGCGTAAAGACGTCCTGTCAGCTAGTGACCGTATTTGTTTGCTTTTTTTTTATAATCCTCTTCCCGTCATGTACTTTTTATTATTCAGCAATAGATATTATGACCTATATGCACTACCACGTCACAATCTCTTTCTTATTTTTTCTTTTAATTCATTCTCTTCGAAGCTTATGCATAGTAAAATGTCGTCGCGATTAGGAGCGCGCTTACATAGAGGCGCCGTAGAGAGGCGAACTCGTATCTCACATGCCGTACGTTTGATAAGGCGCTGCTGCCGGTGGTGCGTAGACAGCCTGGGCTGGTGCTCCGTACACTGTTTGTGGCGCGTAACCTGGTGCCATCATGCCTGGTCCTGCTGTCAACATCAGTTGTGGTTCCGCTGTAATTTCGATTAAAATTTTTGTTAAATAAAGCAAAATCATTTGTTTGCTTGCATATACAAATTAAATTTTTTTCGATGTTGACGTTGAATAGCATTTGAATATAACGAAATTTTTAGGTTTACTAAAATTAAATGGAACCAAACTTTTACTATACAATGCTTATTAAATTAATTTTAATAAACTTAAAAATAAATGATATTGAGATAACTTGCGTAATTCTATGAGTCGTACATTTGGAAATTACGATAAAAGTTAGCATTTTTCCGATAAAAAGACTAAATAACGTTGTCACTTACGCATAATCATAGATTTATGTTCTTGGTGGTCAGTCTCTTCAGCTCGACGGCTCTCAGCTTCCTCCAATTTATCGAGCTGTAAAACGAAATAATTCTCTCGTTATATAAAGCATGAACAGATATGAATTGTTAAGAAAACAATGGATTATTTACCTTTGTAATATATTCCCGAGATACTTGAATAAGGTAAGGCATTGCAAAGTGCATGATTTGGTGTCTCCACGCGAGTTCCAGAATGACATCCGGATGAAGCAAGTCGTAGCAATGGAACAGACAAGCAGCAAAACAGTCCTTAGATCCTCTTTCCAAGAACCACTCAAGTAACTCTTCGGCTACCTCGTGCTGGCGAGATTCAGCTGCATACTCCATTGCATCTCTACGTTTTTAAATAAACATGTCGTTAATACTTTGTTTTTTATTTTATTCATAAATAACTATTGGGATATTAATAGAAAGAAGCTTCATACCTGAAGAGCCTGTCCTTTTTGCAAAGTTCAACCGACTGTTTCCACCTATTATTGCCCTTGTATAGATAGGCAGCAATTCTCCTAAACTCGATAAGCTCGTGCTTCTCCAACTGCTGCGCCAGCGCAATGTTGTCGAAGTTGTCGAATGCGTCGATCGATGTCCTCAGTCCCTGATAATCTTCCTCGTCGATCAGCAATCCATTCAAAGCCTCGTTTATCGCTTTATTGTTCAATGTCTGTACAGATCTGAGGTAGGGCTTAACTAATTGCAGATGGTTGGTGCGAGTGAAGTAAGCAACAGATCTCGTATGATCCATACGTGGTGCCAAAACCAACAAAATGTCATTAAGCAGAAGAGGCTTGTACTCAAGATAAAATTGAATAGCTTTGTAGTAAAGTTCGATATTAGCCACTTTGGTGATGATGTCCTTGAAGTGACCTTCACGCCATGCCTCGGATGGATGCTGCATCATTGCCAACACCGCGTTGTCATATTCTTCGTACTTGTCAAATAGGAAGACCAATTCAGCCCATAGATGAGCTGATTCTGCTGCGCGTAGTACCTGAAAATAAAAATATATGTTTAATTTTCGAAAACATTTTCCTTTTTGAAAACAAGTAATTGAATTATTTTCTCACCTTGGGAATGTTCACGCGAGACCAAAATAGCTCTAGATGTTCCTTCATTCTTTGCGGCTTGTACTTGCTGTAGAGAATAGCCAGCTCGGTGAACATGCCCATGTGTGCTCTCTCCAATCCGAGTGCAGCCTCGAGCAAATTGATAAGCTCTTCGAAGTGTCCCCTATCTTGATAATAATTAATAAGGTCCTCCAGTTCGTCAGCGTGAACGACGATATGCAGACCACACATCTGTGCAAGCCTGAATTCACCGCTATCCACACAGGCGAAACATACTTCTTTCCAAGTACGTGTGGAGTTGGCTTTTCTTGCGCTGTCAACAGCACCCTGATACTCCTTGAGATGAACCAATGTAATGGCTAATCGAGCAAAATTGGAGACGTTGTTGTAGAGCAATTTGGCTGCATCATACATCTTGTCATCGAAGCATCGGTCGCCTATCTTCTGGATGTCAGCGTGATTGGGACCGGAAATGAATTCCTCAAGGTCGGCCAAACGGTTGGTGCGCGCATACGCGTAGATCAATTCTGACTCGATGAACGACTCGCGTGCTTTCTTACGAGCCATCTGTAGGTAGCGTACCAAGTCATCCCAATGTCCTGTACGGTGGGCTGTTTCCACAACGTCGACGTAAGCAGATGGGTCGTCGGCCTTAATGAAACTGTCGATGGCTTCCTTCACCATACCCTTTTGTAGTTGGGCGCGAGCTGTTGAGATGCGTTGAAAATTTGTATTTAATTTAAAAATAAAAAATAATTTAAGCGATATACAAACTCAAAAGTAGATATTATTTACAAAGTTTAGAAAGAAGACTTAAAAAATGAATTGGTATTTACCTAACTGCGACCAGACGGCAGGCTCATTACATCTCTCAGCAAATTCGTAGGCTCTATCTAAATTCTGCACTTGTTCAATGAGCACCTGAATGGCCGAGGTATTAACATCGAATTTCTTGAAAATAGCAAAAGCTTCTTCGTAAAGCTCATTATTGATTGCAATGTTAGCAATATCAGGTGCGTCGTAGTTATCTAACCGATTGATGTACTCCATAACGCGAGTGCGATCAGCTTTGATAGCAGTGAGGATCAAAAGATTTTGCAAGTTGCGATGGTCACTAAATACGCTGCTGTCCAATACAATCTTTTCCAACAGTTCAATCAATTCGTTTGGCAAATCAGCTGTCATGAATGCTTTAACAGTGACAGAAATGTCTTCAGGATCTTGAGTCTCGGATAGAGCAGTTTGAACGACTTGATCAATGAGCGGACGTCTGAAGGGATTAGCCTCATTGAGTACCTCAGCCCAGAGTTCTGGATCACGTCTGCGAACTAAATATCTTGCCTCGCTCTTGAACAGACTGTTCTCATTGCACACGATGATAAGTTCGCGATCGCACGATCCTCTCTCATACGCGATGCAAGCGAGATGAGGGTCACGTTTCTCGCAATATTTGCCGACAACGCGACTGTCGTAGAATTGATTCTCCTTTAAGAATCTCTCAGGATTGTTATTCGAATCGATGTAGATTTTGGCTAAGGCATTGTGAGTTGCCGGCTCGATGCATCCTTCATGCACACGAGACTCGAGCCATGGAAGCAAAAGTTTCAAACGGTTACGCTTTTCAACTTCTTCGACGAGCTCATCAGTCGAGAATTGACCGCGAACAACGAGGATAAGATTTTTTATGATGTCTTCAGAGCAGTCAACATCAAGAAGACCTCCAATGACTACGGGCAAACGAGATGGATTAACCTTCTGCACGTAAATTTCGATGTACTTTTGCAAGTTGTTGCGGTACAAATAGAGCACAAGATCGTGCACAAAGTCGAAACGGTCGCAAACAATGATCAGCGGCAACTGGTCGGACAGTTTAGCTTCCTTCAAGAAGTTCTTCACGCGCTCGGGATTATAACAGTTGCTTTCGCGACAAATACGCTCAACTTCTTTGATCTGGCCGGTTTTACAAGCAGCTTGGATGTACTTGAAGTGCACCTCCTGGTCCTGGCTGAAGTTGACAATCGAGCCAAGGAAGTAAAAGAGTCCTTCGTATGACTTGAAACTTTCGAACAAGTCGATTAAGGCTTTCGTTGTCAGTTGTTCGTGATACTTCGTGGCAATCTGTACACAAATCTGCAAGTTCTGACGCATATTAGCGGTAAGCATAGCCTTAAGACATTCCAACGAGTCCTCCACAGACAAAGTGCCGAAGAATCCAACTAACCAGTCAGGCGAGAGCAAATGAGTGTGCACAACCGCGCGCTTGATGTCGTACAAATCGGTATAATGCTCGAGAGCACGTTGCAAGAGGCCTGCTTTCTCACAGAGTTGAGCGACATGAGCGCGATCATAATGCGTGAACATTTGGTTACCGAGGATGGCATCTGCAACTTGTGGAGCAGACATAAGGTTCATCTCTAAAAGTCTTGTTTGGAGTGCACCCTCGGTAGAACGATTATTTTTGAGAGCATCAAGGAGAAAAGCGGTACACTGCTGAACCATATTCTGTTCCATGAAAATGTCAACAATCTGATTGATATCAGCTAAAGGTTCATCATCCTGTACAAGCATCTGCGCGAAGAGTACTCCTTGATCTGGATTAATTCGCATAACATTTCGCAGAAGGAAAATGTAATCGGGAGTATAGGACACTTTCTTGGCATAGAGAACGATCTTTTGGAACTGGCTTGTCTCTGCAAAACACTGAATCACTTTATTAGGCACGTTTGCGCGTAGATACACACTCAAAGCCAACGTCGGATCGACTTGTTTAACCAAGTCGCCGAGTTCTTCGCTGCACTCGAGTTTATCCTCTTTCAACCATTTTTCCAGAAGTTGCTTTCGTCCTTGAACTAAAACTGGACGACAAAGCTCCAGAGATTCATATTTGTTCAACTGACCTTGATCCAACAAAATACCAAAGTATTGTAGAAGGGGCGACGTTTGACCCTGCGTCGTTGGAACTTGCTGGAATTGCTGGATTGTGCCGGGAGTTCGTAAAATTCCTTAAAACATGTAAGAGTATTATTTACTAATGAGGCTCGATCAATTTTAACTACAAAACAACTAATAATTATGATAGATTAAAGAAGATTCACACAGAGCTGAATTGTAAATCTAGGTGGAACTGTAATTTTTATCGAGTCACTAATAATTTCTGAAGGAAACAAGCGCTTATTATCTACGGCGTTCAGAACGAAAGCAAGAATGAAAAAATAAGGGTCTAATTTTTCGGTAAACAACAATACCTTTGGGTGCGTTAGCTGCGACTTTGGCGGCCTCGGCGTATTGTCCATTCTGGAAGAGCATTTTGAACTTGCGTACGAAAAGATCCTCGGCACCCGACAGATTGTTACGCACAGCCATACGCAGAGCTAGCTCAGGATTCTGCAGTACTCCATTGATATAAGGAATGATATTTTCCTCGTCGACAGATACCGACAATACTTGACCCTTGCGATTAACGCCGATTATACCACCTGATGACTCGTGTGGAGCGGTGACAAAAATTGTCTCGCCGGAGATGCGGTTCATGAAGATACACGTCGCTGACTCAATGTCGTACATGTGGATGTAACCGTACTTAGTAATCAAGTAGATTACGTCGTACTTTGAGCTCACCTATGGGGGATTAAAAGTTGTAATTAAGTATTGCTTTGAGTAAAGAAAATTGTAATTTTTATTGAAAAATTAATTACTCTATTATAACGTTTATTTAGGAAGTTCGAAAAACTTAATAAAGCAAAAGTTAATGAAGTTTTCAATAAATCAAATTCAATGGGTAAGTATCAAAGAAACTTTTTCCGAATGGTATATTTAATTTAAAAAATGTGGTCTGTGAAACAGAATGCACGAAAAATATGCCAGATACGTCTTATCGAACGCTACTTGCAGATAAATGCAAATGTTTCATGCCTGTAAAACGAGCCAGCTAAACCTTCGATTACAGGAAAAAATAAAAAATAGTCTACAAAAAACAATGAAGCTCTCACCTGCATAGCTACAGGAAAATCATTGCCAGCTTCAGGTGGAAAGAAAACATCAACAGCTTTCTTAGGAAAAGCTTGATTTTTAGCAGGTGGTTGTCCAACCTCGATAATATGAAGCTTAGCACCTTGAACAGTCCTCACGGCAAAGCAGAATAAATTACTAGGCTCAGCATTGCCTTCCATCTTGAACTGTGCGAAAGAAGCAGCATGGCCTTCGATCGGTTGCGAACATTTACGTTCAACCGAGTAGAGTTGCATAGCACCGACCACGCGATTATTTTGAGCTGAGATGCCGATGAGAAGTAGCCACGTGTGTTTGGCATCGGTACGGTAGTTAATAATCTGACAGCCGTGTAAAGATTGATGACGTTCGAATGCTTTCGATGGTTGAGAATCACCTTCCATCGACCAATGATATACTGATGTTTCTGTTACAAGGGCCAAAGTGTTGAGAGAAATCCATTTCCAAAATACTACATCCTCTGCCATTGTATGAGCCTTCATCTTTGACTTCATCTCAATATTAAAGATCTGCAACGTCTTCTGAGCTGCAGATTGATAACAAATTATGTAATTAATGTAACTTGTTTTTTTTGTACATTTAGCTCACGAATGATTTTTATTCTGCTGACGCGGCTTAGAAGTCCGGTTGTCAATGAATCCGTACAAGCGAGAATCAATTTTTTTGTATACCAGTGAAAAAATCGTTTATTTTTATCCAGTTATTCAAAAAAATATCAATATAGATTGACTCGATATAGATTGACTTAAGCACAAATAATTTCGATAATCTTAATTCAACAATATTATTGTTAATTGCAATATCTGGTGAAATGCTATATTATTATTAAAAATACAATTATCTCAAATATCAATTTTCTCTGGTTATTTAATGAGTAGTCTACTGTGAGTGAATAATTACAGAAAAAAAGTTTCTAGCTACACAATAGTCCATTGTAGTCAGGATATGGATCAATATATCTAATTGGAACTTGAGCTACATTGACATAAGTATTAGTATATATTTTTGTCACAAAACTATACCTCATTTCATCTTGTAACTTATGCATTACATTTAACTTTTTAATATAGAAAATATCTATGGCACTGTAAAAGTGTACTTAAAAAGTTTTCTACCTTTGAGTGCAATGACTTTGCTGGCAGGATTCATAATAGCTGAGTCGGCAGAGATGGGCCTCCTGATGGGATTGGAAGTGTCATTCATGTCAATGATGACCACCTGTGCGGTGTCACCCACCTTTTCCCGGACACAGATAAACTTGTCTGACTCCATGGTGACCGTGTTGAAGCTGACATTGTTGGCATTGATCCCTACCGCAGTGAGCTATTTTTGGCAGACAGAAAGAAAGAAAAACACAGTTAGAAAAAGCAATCTCTGCTTGCATAAACAAATAGCAAACTTGGGAAATTTGGAGCTTGAAAATTCTGGTAGTTGTTGACGAGAAAGAAAGACAAGTTTTTGAAAATTCTTTAGCATAAATAATGGGAATATGCTTGACTGTATAGTGAACTATAATATTCGACTAACCTATCCTTACAGCTTATCATCAGAAACAGAAAGTCTAAGCTTTAAACAATCGAGTAATAAAGAATTTTGTAGTTGAATGATAAAGTCAGATTTTCTAAAAGTACTTGGACTTAACAGAAACTCTGACTAATTTAATCATTGTACAGGGGCAGCTGATGTATAGCTCATCAGATCCATGAATAGATCAATCAAATCAGCTCAGAGTATAAAAGTCCAGACAAAATAAAAACAAACATTTAATCAATTAGGTTGTGTGCGAGTAGCATGTTTACCACTCACTTTGACAATGAAAGAGACATTAAAATCAGAAAGAGAGAGAGAGAGAGAGAGAGAGAGAGAGAGAAAGAGAGAGAGAGAGAGAGAGAGAGAGAGAGAAAGAGAGAGAGAGATAGACAGACAGAAAGAGCCAATCACGAGTAGAGAGCCAAATCATTGCAAAACCTCGGGCAAACTTAAGGAATGTCCTGAGCAATGAGTTTGGAGCAGTTATATCCTTGACCACTGACACTTAGCCAAGTAGTTCTTTCTTTCTCTCTCGATCTCTTTCTGATTGGTCCGAATGAAAAAGCAAATGAGAAGAAAAAATTTCGAGTATACGAAGTCGTAATCGGTGCGGAAGCAAGGGGCGTACAATGTACGACTGTATGTATGGGTGCAGACGTGGCGGCGGCGGTAGCGGCAGACACGCGCCAGTGAATCGATGTCCGATAACGAACCATTTATTGTATGAAGTAGTTTTCCCCGTATGTTACAATGAAGACGCATCCAGGCGATATAAAGCGTTACCTGGAGGTGCTCCTGGAACCTAATGGGTAGCAGCTGCGTCATGGCGACGACGACGTCGACTCCAAACTGTCGGTGTCGAAAGAGAGCGGCTTTTTCTCTCTGCGTGGGTTCGCACTTCGTACGCTGCTAGCCGAGACTACTGTTGCGAGAGAGCGGTTACAACGTACAAGACTCTCTTCGACGCAGACGGGAGGCACACTTTGTTATAGCACAATGTATCACTGCACACGGTGAGCCACACACGGACACTTGCAGCGCCGCGCCGCTGTTTCGTCGTTCTTCTTCTACTGATCGTTCGTCGCCCGCACGCCGCCAAGAAGCAGCGAAATTATTTTTTCCCTTATGCCTGTAGCGAGATGATATTACGGTGCGATATCAACGGGGAAGGGTTGAACGACGAAGAGACGAACGTCGCGAGTTCATTCATGTGCCAACGACGGTTATCGACTGTGTGTGTCCTGGCCTCTAACGCGCACGCATACACACTATATCAACTCTCTACTCGGCGAAAGGGGCGTACTATAACTCTCTAGTGCGCTAGAGCGCTGCTGCTGCTGCCGTTGAGGTGACACCCGCGGACGAGGCAGAGGCGCAAGCCGCCATTTACTCTACTACGCCCCCCTCTTTTCTTTGCATTCTCCCTTCCCATTTCAGTGACTCACGGTATAGAGTGCGCGCGCGCCTGCTAGCAAGTTTGCAAGAGAAAGAGAGAGAGAGAGAGTGAGAGAGGATTATTTAGGTATACGCTTCTATAGCAGAGGTGCTTACAGGGAATTCCGCCAAGTAGATGAGTGTGCGTGTGGCGCCCATCTGCACACAGTGCGCAGCGACGCGTCAGGTGAAAGTTGAAATAAGCATGTATATATAGGAATATGACCGGCACCAGAAAGCGTGACATGGTGTTGACGCAGCGCTCCGAAAATATTTTGTTTGATTTGTTTTGTTCAAGTCAGCTAACTATACTCGATAGAAAAAAACAGCTATTATCAGGACGATATAGAGACGTTGCGAGTAAATGTTCTAGAATTACATAGCTGTGGTTGCTAGCTTATAATCCGTTATCTCTACAATTGTATTCCAGACGATTTAATAGGTGTTCGTGCATGACATCGCGAATTATTCGGATTATTAAATTCTTTAGGGCCGGATCACCTGCTAGATTGAGCTTAAGCTCTCTTTGAATGCATGATTTACCAGTTTTTTGTTACTTTATGATATTCAGTTATATTAAAATCAAATGAAATTTAATTCAATTATGAAAATTTACGGAAATATGTCATTGAACAGTATAAAAGTATAATGACATTGAAAATTTATATTAAAAATATTATTTTATTGATATTTAAAATGTAAAAGCACGAGATGTCGCGAACACGTTATCAAAATTATCAAAGTATCGCAGAAGCAACGTTCACGTGTAGAAATATGAGAAAGGAGGAGGGAGAAAGAGAGAAAGAGATCATGTGCCGTTCGATACGGCTTTTCTTGCCACAGATGTAGGCCAGTCGAGTTATCTATCCTAGCTCTCTTTCACGCACGAGGAAGAACTATTGTATACTTCGCGGTCAGATCGTTGGATTGAATAATCTACATACGATTGGGGGGCTTTACGCGCTGACGTGCTCATCCCTCTCATTTATATCCCGATCGAACTTTGCGATGCGTGTATATGAATATGCATGCATTTGAAATTGCACAACCAGATGCAATTACGCAAAAAATTGAGAGATGCATAGCTTTCGTCTCGATGTGAGAACCAAGCTGTCCATAGCGAACAGATGACATCCGCAGACGCGTTCATCGTCAATTTCATATCATTATCAAGCAGCCTTCTTCGTTTCTCGCGTGTGCACGCGATCAATAAAGAAATATGCCGCCACGGAGTCACGGTCCATTGCCCTGTTCTTAACCATCGCCGGCGAGTCATTGATAACACCACGCACGCGCTGCATACATATATACACAGACACATTCGAGTTTAGATTTTCAGCTTGCCTTTCCTTGTTTGCTGAATGCAAGGAAACACTACGTCTCTCTCTCTCTCTCTCTCTCTCTCTCTCTCTCTCTCTCTCTCTCTCTCTCTCTCTCTCTCTCTCTCTCTCTCTCTCTCTCTCTCTCTCTCTCTCTCTCTCTCTCTCTCTCTCTTTCTCTCTCTTTCTCTCTCTTTGCGAATCATTTTCAATACGCGGGACAATCAATTCAACGTTTTTGGAACGAATAATGATATAAAAAGAATTGGTAATTTTGCATGCTTTGTGGTTCTACATATCTTTCCGTTCGCGTGTATAGGGTACACCGGAATGATGAGGAAATAGTGAGAGGCACGATCGGCAAGTGTACGCGCGCGCATCGACAGATTTTATGTGTTTGCATGATAATCGCTAAACTGTGTGTGCTAGAATGTGGAGATATTGAAATCCGTTGTCATTCATCGACGACGGATTGCCAATTGATCGTAAAGCAATTATTTTTAAATAACTCCAATACGATAAGATGTCTGCATTTACATTTTTAGCGTAAACATTTTTTACAGTCACGCGTGCTAAATAGAATTACTGCAAAAATTGCGCGGATGCACGTACGAGATATATTTCTTGTAAATTGGTTTTCTCGTCATAAGATAATTTTTTTAATATTTTTTATTTTCATAGTTTATCAATAAATCTATAAACGTTGCAAAATCGTCAAGTACAATGCAAAATATTTATATTCTTTATAAATTGAATTATTCAACATTGTTGTAAGAAAACATTGTCAATTAAAACTACTTGAATAACTCTTCCCCGGTAAATTTTCAAAACTCCACGAAAAAAATCAATATATACCCAGTCCAGTCGCAAAATATTCTAGGTAAAAAAAATAACTAGAATTTGTTGATTGGCAGCACTGAGGGTGAGCACAGCTAGTATGGTCGTCACATGACAGCGACGGGTGTCTGCTCTTCCTGGCGGTGTAGATAGTCTCCTCGAGATTTCTAGATTATCGTCGGTCCAGAAGGAGGTGTCTACATCGAGTGATATCCACTTGATATCATTTCTTTCTTTCGTCCGAGCACGCACACACACACACATCTCATAATCATGAACCTTAGATACATCGTCGGCTACACCTTTCTGGGCACCGCGACTGCAACGTCGATTATTCTGAGTTCGTATATGATTTCTAATTCCTTTTCACTTTGCCGCCCACTCAGATTTCTTTGCGGCAGTTCACCAAGACTTCGTTGAAAGTGAGACTGACAAAGCTTTTTTCTTCTCTTTCAGCTCTGTATCATGTGTTCACTGGTAAAGGAGAACGCGTTAGTGTAGCATGGTGAGTATATAAAACTTCTCTCAAGAGCAGTTAGACGCGATTTTACAATGTTCCGTTCTGATTCAAGGTTCCTGGAACATACTTCGCCTTACATGTGGTCTTGTGTCGGTATTGGTCTCACGGTAGCACTCTCAGTTGTTGGTGCTGCTATGTAAGTTTTACTCTGTTGGCTTTCTTATCATAGACAAGCTGAATTTCAAAACTTAACATGTGTTGTATTTCACAGGGGTATCCACACAACAGGAGTTTCCATTATTGGTGGTGGTGTGAAAGCACCTAGAATCAAGACCAAGAATTTAATTTCAGTTATCTTCTGTGAAGCTGTTGCTATTTATGGTTTAATCACAGCTATTGTGTTGTCCGGTATGCTGGAAGCTCCTCCAGCTGTGGAGATCAGCAAAACTGTTAGGGAACAGACTTGGATGGCTGGATATGTTATGTTTGGTGCAGGTTTGGCTGTGGGACTTGTGAATCTGTTTTGTGGTATTGCTGTAGGAATTGTTGGATCAGGAGCAGCTCTTTCTGATGCTGCCAACTCTGCTCTGTTTGTTAAGATACTTATCATTGAGATTTTTGGCTCTGCTATTGGTCTTTTCGGCCTAATTGTTGGCATTTATATGGTAAGTTTAGTTGTTGTTTTTTTTAATATTTTGAATTTTTTTTGAAAGTTAAGATTTAGTATTTTAGTTGTTATAAGGTTTAGTCTTTTATTAATTTTAAATATATTTAATTTTTGTATTACAGACTTCGAAAGTGAAGCAGAGTAGCAGCTCTTCATCTTAAAAAAGCATATTCTTGTGGATCATACAAAGGAAGAAATATTATAATATTCGTTCTTTTACAATTAAACTGTTCAATGTTTTTCTTCCTAAAAAACTGATATTTTGTCAAAGGAATACAGAAAAAAAGGGTAGATGAATCATTTACTTCAATTATCGTAAAGATGAGCAGTCTACAGACATATAAAAAATTGTAAGCAAAGGTTTGAATGATCCTTGGCGTGATTTGTGTGTAAAGAGACTAATTCGGTAGTTCCAAATAAAGCTATATTGCTTTACTTTGAGAAATACTCCATTCTGTATCTCAAAGTCAATCAATCTTGTTACAGTTATGATTGTTGTAAATATCATTTAAGTCGTTAGTTCAACATTCATTTCTGCCAATGATACTTGTTTTTCTTTTTAATATAAAGAATGTTAGAATTATATTGATAGTTTGAGTGTATTGTGAAAAAAATAACAGTTATTGTATCTGAAGAGAAAAATTGAGTTGCATTCCAAGTTAAAAAATCATCGTTTGTGCGTTTTAACAACTTTTAATTTTTCAACATTACGTAGGTACATTGTACAAAAGTAACAATTCATTTTATTTGATATAACATGCATGTATCATATAAGAAAATATATATCTATTATAAATGTAAATACATCATTATAAAAGAGAGGCAAAAGCCCACATAGCTTTTGGCAGCATTCAAATACAAATTTGCTTTCACCGATAACAAAGAGAAAAATTATAATTGTAATTTTTTGGACACTAATTACTATTATAATTGAAATGTAGCATAAAAAATAAAATTTCACTTTAAGACAATGTTATTTAATAACAGATTCATTTGTTCAGCAGAACTTTGTGAATATCCTTAAATGAGGCTTCCATGCTATTGACATATTCATTAGTACTTCTGTGATTGTGATAGCTTGTGACAACGACGCCGAGTTTTCTATCCTGAATCATGTATCCAATACCAAATCCATCATTCACAACGGGACCGAAACCTCCAGCTATTACTACAGGACTTGAGAGAGTCGAAGTTGATAAGATGTTATGATTAATCATTTCGTAAGCTGGATCTCGGAAAATATCGAGCTTTTTGCCGGATTTTTCGGCAAGTTTCCTCAAAGCGAAAAAATGACGATCGAAACCTTGACCTGAAATTAATTTATCAATTTGTAAATTGTCTTCTTTCATTATTTGAATTATTTTATTGGAATTCCATTATATACCCATTGCAGCTTCTTTCATTAACTGAGTATGAGCATCACTAGCATCAATAATCATCTTTTTAATCTTCTGTACAGACAAATCAGACGTATTTTTTGTCATGGTCGAGCATAGAGTTTTCGTTTGAACAGTGCATGGCCTTAAAGTTTCAGTTCTGCCATGTTTAAAAGCAGCTGTACTACAAGATTCGTAAGTAGCAACAGAATTTAATTCCTGCTTGAAGAGAGCTAATTGAAAAACTAATTGCATCACAGCATCGGGGCTTACTCCAAAGTCTTTGCATTCCTTTTTACCAAATCCTTCATAAATTAGAAAACCAATATCTAGACTGTTTGTCCACTTATTATATTGTATTTTTTTAGTAGAAATTAATTCCTTAACTTTCTCATCCAACTTGAAGTCGAGTTTTTCAACCGACAAAGAGTCTGAAGTCAGATTTTGTTCGTCTTCTGGATGAAAACGTGGATTTTCCGAAATATCTTTCTTGATGTCTTGGAAATAGCGGAGAATGGCTACACCATCACCCCAAGAATGTTCAAAGTTAATGCCAGCAAAACCGTCTTTACTGATAATTAAGGAAAATGATTTGTCAAACCACCTGTTTTCAGCTTCACCATGAAGATATCTTCTGAGAAGTTTTTTCTGGTCGGTACCAATTGGTTCATCGTCCAGAATGACGACGAAAGCGGCGGAATCTATTTTCTTCAGTACGTTGTTATTTCCTATTTGAACCAGATGGGATCTAGCACTGGCCCATATATCTCTCTCTGCAGCTGTTAAAATGCCAACAGGATTTGCAACATCTGGCCTCTGGTCTTCTAAGATATGCTGCAAGTTCTGAGCTATTTCACGTGCTGGTAGAATGCTTCCTTGTTTATTAAAGACATCAAAAGCATAAAAATGTCCTTTTCTCATTACAACTATATGCTTAGCTGATTTATCCATAACAATTTGGTCCTTTTCGATTTGAGGAATACGAGTTGAGTTGAATAGATTTGAGTACTGAGACATATCCAATGGGTAAGCCTGTGGATAAAAGGTGATATTGGTAATGTAGAGTTTGAATTTTTTAGTGAAATGATATTCTTTCTAGTGAATATACATACATTCATAAGATATGCTCCATACCATGATACAGACGAAGGCAATAAACCAGTGAAGGTTCTAAATAAGTTTGTGTCAGATTTTTTGGGATTCAAATGAAAAACTTCTGGCTCTAATAAATTAGCTCTCAAAGATTTTAAAAACCTCAAAGAAGAAACAACAAGGTTTGTTGCTTTGACTAGTTGTCTATTGTATTGTTCTTTATCTTCAGGACTAAATACTAAAAATGGATTATAATTTATTGGGAGCGGTTTACGATCACGCAGATACATATCAAACCATAGCTCGCTGATGTAACTAGTGTGCTTATTAGCAGCATCTGAACGTACCAATTCTGCATGTAAAGCTTGACCTTCACCTTTAAGAAATTTATTAACAATAGCTTCAGTTTTTTGCATCTGTTCATCTTGCAACAATGGTCTCTGAGCATTCAAGTAACGTTTACAACTGTCTTCAAGTTTGGGTATTGGTAAATGAGGGAGTGAAGGCTGAAAGTGCATTGTAGGCACTTTGCTTTTCTGAATATATTCATATTCATCATTTACAGAGGTGGATCTAAAATTTTAATAAGTTTTATTGAATGAATCTAATAAAAAATATATTTCCATTAAAACATAGAGAATTTAATATTACTTTTTACAGTAGATATAATTGATAGCAAACTCATTTGCAACCTGTAATATTATAATTTATTGTTTATTAGTAAAAGCATAGTCGAAAGAATGATAATGCAGAAATAAAAATTTAAATAACTTTCTCACAGTTTTTGAGTATATATGAAATTTCTAATAAACGTAATATAGCACTTACTGTAGATTGCGACAGTAGAGCTCGTCTAGCTACAAGTAATGACATTGTTCTGTAAATTGAAATTGATTAGTCTCCAAGCACTAATGACTATATTAATGTATTGCTAAGTAGTGTGTTCGTTCGATTCACAACATAAAGTCTTCGTAGTTTAAAAATATTTTAGTAAAAATAATTCTTGTACAAAATTTACATAATTGATCAAACTTCAAATTTCTGACTTTCACTCACGTATATCTGAGTAAATATATTAACGTGTTATTTGATTCTATATTATAATAAATCCTAATGTAACAATGTTATCGCCATAGATCTGACTACAGTAAATACAATCTCATTTGATTAGTTCATCGGCGACGTGGATTATCTAAACTATAGCAGATGATGACACGGTGGAAATCAAATCGAAATGCAGTAGATGGTAAATCATCTTTAATGTTTATAGATAATTTTATTAAAATTATCTATAAACATTCAATTAAATTGAAATCTAACTAGTAACAGGTAAATAGATTTTTTATATTAATAAACACGAATATTTATAGTTACTCTCAAAAAATTCATTGTCGAAATTTTCTTCCTTTTGGCAAATTGAAGATTTACGTAATTTAAAAGTAAAAGTATAACAAGAATTAGAAACACAACATTTGTTATTTACGTCTTATAATGCAATAAATAAAAAAAAAATTTATCATCAATCATTACAAAATAAAACATCATAATTATACTACAATTGGTCAACAAAAAATTTGTATATTCAGTGTGACGAACCGACGTCACATATCGTCGGGTACGCGAAGTAAAAGCAGTAAGCTACGTGCATAAGAAAATAGAATGCAAGCGCGAGCGTTCAAATAAATATTTAGCTTGAATAGACATAATAGGCTAGCATAACCGTAAAAAATGTAAATGGTCACTTGGGTGCTACGACACAGCGGGTCGTAAAGGATGGCTCAAAAAAATAAGAAAAAACAACTTTTTTTGACGACTTTCAAATCGTAAAAATTTAATGGGTTTTCAGCCGAAAGCCCATTAAATTTTGTTACCATTGCGAACAACTACGCCGCACGCGTGGACCATCAGCGAGGAGAGAAGAGAGGCCGAGACTGAGAGCCAGGGGAGGAGAAAATCAGCCTCCTCATTCGCCAGTGCCCAGAAAAGGGACGTTTTTTCCCTCCCCCGCACGCGCGAATGACAGCAAGCAGCATTAAGCGGAGCCGAGACCCCGCATCGCGAGTTCAGACTCGATTTCGCTACCGAACCGTTTAGTTGGCTCTGTTATTTTCACATAAATATATATAGAGGCTTACGGGTAGTTAAATCCTCTTCAAAGTAAATTTTGTCTTTTCTTTTCAAAAGTTATCTGAACCACGTTTTAATTCTTATTTAAATTCACGTGAGTTGCGCGCGCAAACCAAAAGTGTAGATATATAGAAGAGGAGATATTACATCAGCAATATATGAAACAACGTCCTAGCGATGGTCACTAAACCCGTCAACTCTAAAAAAGTTTGGTGACGGAAATCGCGCGCGCATCGCTTAGGCTTAGGCCTCTTCCAGTAATCTAAATCAGATCCCTACGCTAATATAGTTTGGTCGCAAATCTCTTGCAAAACATTATTTTTGTTCGTTAAAATCTAAATTACGCAAAAGTAACGTGTCAAGCAGCAAATTAATGAATATGGACGTGGATAAACAGCTATCAGCTTGTGATATGTAAAACAATTTAGTTCAATTATCGCAGGACACTATACACCCATTGTAGGTTAGAAACTACGCTTCTTTTTGGGCTTTGTCACCGGGACGCGATGCCTCGGCATCCGCGGTAAATACCTTGGCTGTGATTTCTACATTGACCTGTGGATACAATGAACTTGTTACTAGCTATATATCAACTTGTTCGTACGATAACACTGTTATAACTGCTTTGAAGCAGTTTGTTTTTGGTTGAACTTTCTTGAATTTTATATATAAAAGTATGTTTGTACAATGTCAATCTTCAATTCTTTATTTTGCTTACTGGTTTATGACATTACAGGTAAAAAAACAATGAGCCGGGATGAATCTAGACGCTCTAAACGTGGTAGAGCTGACCGTGATTTTGAGATGAACCGTGGTTCGGCTATTTTGATGAATGATTATGATGATGAGCGAACACTAGATGAGGAGGAAGCTTTGGAAGCTAGTGAAGACACTCACAATGAGTTGTCACACCTACAAAAGGTATGCGCAAGTTTTTCTTATGGTAATTTTTGCAATAAATCAAAAAATATTTATGAAATGTTTGTTTGAAGTTTATTTAATGCTTTGAATAGCAATTGTAATTTATTCTCAATTTTTTGAATCCATTTATATTTTTAATGCAAATTATGTTTTCATATAATATAAATCTTATTACTGCTATATATTGAATTTTGATAATAAGTTGTATTTCATAACATATTTAATTCGATTTACTAACAAAGTAAGATAAATTATTTTCCATCGTATAAAATATTACTTCCCAGGAAAGTGATATGCCATTGAAAGACCTGCTAGTCATGTACGGCTATGGTGATATGTCCTGCCAGGATCCAAAGGCAGAAGATGAAGATGATGATGAGGACGATGATGAAGATGATGACGAAGATGATGAGGATGAGGACGATGACGATCCAGCTACTTATGAACCAGATCTCAAGCAGTTTTATACCGACATGGTCAAAGCTGAAGAAAATGGTGCAAGTGTGACAAGGCCGTCGAACGAGAAACCTGAAACAGCTATAAACGCTGAAGCTACATCTCTTGGACCCAACGCTAATGCACAGTAAGGGCATTTTTTTTCTCTTTTTCTTTGACCATTTGTCAACTTTGATTGATAAATTCTTTTCTATCTAGCACAACATCAGGGAACGTTGAAGCGAAGGCAGAAGACGGTGTTACTCCAAGCACGGGGATTCTGCTGAACAATAGCCAGCCGGGAGAGGTCGGGTCTAGCAACGACAACCTGAACAGCAGTAGCACAGCTTTGGATCCTGTCGGCAGCGGGATCGGAGGAGGTGGTGGTCCCGGTGGTGGCGGTGGCGGGGGAGGCTCATCTAGACTATTGCGCAGTGTCTCTCGGCCTCAAAGCGAAGAAGAGGAGGATGACTGCGATTATAGCCCAGACGAGGAAGAGTGGAAGAAGACTATAATGGTTGGCAGCGATTACCAGGCTGCTATACCCGAAGGTCTTTGCAAATACGATGACGCGTTACCTTACGAAAACGTCGACAAAATGCTCTGGGATCCGTATCCTATTAGCGAGGAAGAAGTCGAGGAGTTTCTCGGTCGGGCTCAGCTTCCTGTTGTTAAAGGTGGTGCTGCTCTACCTGGTGGCCACCATATCAGAGATGATGAACAAGCCTTGTATTTGCTACTTCAGTGTGGTTATAATCTCGAGGAAGCGCTCAGGAGACGAAGGATGAATGTTTTGCCTTCTGGCGAGACTGTCAGTCTATGGTCTGAGGAGGAGTGTCACAATTTCGAGTCGGGCCTCAGGCATTACGGCAAAGATTTTCACCTTATTCAAAAGAATAAGGTAAACTTATCAATTGCTCGAGCATTAAAAAATAAGTAAAATCTTGATGTATTGTTTCAATTTGAATAGGTGAGAACGAGATCGGTTGGTGAACTCGTGCAATTTTATTACTTGTGGAAAAAGACCGAAAGACACGATATTTTCACTTGCAAGGCCCGCTTGGAAAAGAAAAAGTATGCTCTTCATCCAGGTGTCACGTGAGTTTTTATTTTATTCTATTGTTTCGCTTAAAAAAAATATTTACAAATAATTGAAGTAATTCGGAAAATTTTGCAGTAAAACTTTAAAGTCAAGTTAAAATAAAAATCGAAACTTTCATGAAAAAGAGGATTATACGAGTTATAAAGTATCAGATTCAAGATTGTGCGAAAATTGCATAATTCTAAAAATAGAAATGGTAATGATTACCTGCTGTCGTGAATAACACTAAACAAATTGAGCAAAAGTATTAAACATTAAATGACTTATCTAGGAGGTTTAGACAAGTTGGAAATGGAAATTCATGAGATGACAATTTAAAAGCATTATAGTACTAAGATAATATTTAAAAAATTAGCTATTATGAAGTTAAATATAAACTTTTTGCTGTCATCATCACAACACTGTTTAAATGTTGTACAGTTTAAATTGTTTTTTTCGTTCATAATTTTAGTCAAATGCCAATAGCTACTCTTTTTCTTTGAACAAATCGTATGCCAATCTTTAATAACATTGTGCACAAGGACATCTTATAATCAAGATTCCGACGAGCAATGTCAGAAACTTTAATTATTCAAGATTCTTCCTTAGTTATAGAGAGCGACAGGAACATTAAAGTAAATTTGTCTGTTATAAGCGAGTTTGAGTAGGAGCAATGATTTTCAATTTATTAACGAAATCAGCATTTATTCGGGAATAAATGAAAGTACAAATGAATGTTGAAGGCACGAATAAGCTTGTGACGAGTGATCATCGGCAGGTGATTCTCCCTTGCAGGCCTCCCCAACGCATGCGACATGTGAAAAATGAATACTACACTGGTCTATGAATTGACGCTCTAAATCTTTCGAATTCAGGGTAAAATGTTCCATATAACGAGTAACATTGGCTTTTGTCAACCGAAATATGCGTATTTCTATTGATGTTGATCGATGTCTTGCTCGGGTCAATGCTGAGAAACTTTAATTATGTTGCGGACCACTTCAATCAATTTCTAATATCGTCAACGAGGAACACGCAAGGAATTTGGAATTTTCTAAAAGCTTCATTATTTCTAGATAAATCACATTTACGTGGCCGTGGCAATAATCGATCAAATTACATTTATCACTGATTTCCGAATTCCAGCAAAAGCAGTGACGGTGACTGGGCTTGTCGTAAAACTCTAACGCCCGAATAATCGGCTACTGAAGAATCGCTGAATTCTATACAGCTATTGACTGTTACGCTCGGGGCGCAATAATTGGTAGCTCTCTACGAAGTAAATCTCTGTTATCTCGTTAGCATGTTGGTCAAGAAATATCGATTTTAGGAAGAAAATCCAGATTGGACAATTTGATTGAATTAGTTTGTTTGCTTCCGTTTGAGCAGCACTAACAGATCTGCCCTTCTATGTATCGTTTGAGCAAACATGATAATCGTTGCTTGTAGTCTCAAGTCCACCATCAGTAAATCCTTTACAAATTGAATATTACGAGCTCCCGGATCCGGGTACTTTGGTATTAGTAAAGCGAGAATTCCGCTTTCTGATGATTCGTCATTACAAGTCGGGCATTGCTCCTCAATCGCTACAAAGTCCAATTGCACAACCATCAAATAGTTTGGGGAAGTAATTTTTGTTCATTCTGAACGCCGAACGACCGCGTCAAGTAATCGCGAATCGCGAAGCTGCGTTACTTTGAAATTTGCCGTTTCGTATTGTTGGGCTTCTGCGTCGTCACTGACGCTAAAAATTACTTCTGGCTTAACCTTCATGAGATCGTAATTGATTCTGTTCGCGATCGGCTACTTAGCTCCATGATCTTTGACAATGTTCAATTCCTCACGGTGGCCACCTTACAACAATCTCGCGCGTTTGTTACCTGCTGTTTCTCACGCGAATATCCTGCTTGGTAGAGATCTACTTTAGTCAGACAATGAGATTGCTTTAGCATGCATTCAAATTTTCACAAAAGTTTGCATTGAATGATTATTTTCGTGGCAAATGGAATATGAGGACAATACTACATGTAGAAGAGGGAAATATTATCATGGGAATTGTACGCTGAATAAGTAAAGTTGAGATTATCGACGAGTTAAATGTCATCACCGTCAGCGAATGCATATTATCTCTTATCGTCATAACGCAAGTCGATTTATCATGGTTATATGTAAATGTATTGCAATCGACCTTGATGGAGGGACGATGCTTTCATGATACAAAAAATGATATGAAAGGGAGAAAAATTGAAAAAAGAGCCCGGTTTCGCGAAGGAACGCCAAGCGGCGAGCACGCAAGTTAATTGCCGGCAGTGGTATTGGAACTAGTGTCAGGACAGTGTACAGCTATCGTGAACTATGTCTCACTTGTCGCTGGTACGTGTAATCGTCGTTTGCTCACCAACCGTCGAGTGCTTTGGTGTTGATTCTCGAAAGCGCAAATGATCTTCGATTGATGCTTAACGAAGCATCACTGGACAACGACTTTTACGCGGCGCTCAATCATAAGTGAATATTAGCAAGGACAAAGTCATCTTGTGCTCGAGTGCTTGACCGGCATCTGCAAACGAAGCAGAAAGGGTTTGATTCGCGTGCAGTTTCGATCGGCGATTCTCGATTCGAGTGTGCCTCACCATGCGCACGGGAGTTGGTCCCGTAAAATACACTGCCGGGAATAACGTCGAATATGCCCGTGAACGGGATGCTCGGAAAAGCCTCCGTCACGGCTTTCATGAAATCTTCGGGGCTTCTGTGATAGTCCAAGGCGTTCGCTGCCGTCGACCTCTCGTCGTAAACGTCACCTGGGCCACACACCAGACCTACGGACCTTCGCCTGAGCCGCAATCGCTCCCGCAAGTTCAATAGCTTACTCACGAGTGCAGATTTGCTCTCACGACAGCTGATCACCGTCGACCACGAGTCCAGATTCGGCCCCGACACACTCACGGCGAACACGCCGTTCAGTTGATTAGAGTCCAAATCAGACAGGCATCTATCTTCGTCCATTCGCTGATTCTCGATTGATAGTAGACCGGAGTAGAAAGATCCACCCCATAACGCTAATTTTGCCATTGTCCGCTGGAATCTTATTCGACGAAAAATTAATCAGCGACTCAAGTTCAACGTGGAAAAAGGATTACCTGCTCTTGATGAGATTCGTCACATGAGAATTGTCCTCGTACGCCTGGGTGAACAAAATGATCGTCGCTCCGCTATCCGCGTCCTCCGGGAAAAAGTCGTCGAACAGCTTGTCGATGTCGCGCGCCCAGTGGAAGTCCGGGTGGCAACCGACTCGAATTTTCAAGTCTCGGCGGTCGGGCAGAATGAGGCCTAGCATCCTGTCGGACGGACTTGACAAATCAAAAGTCATCGTTACGTCCGTTCTGCCCATGAAAGCATAATGCACCCCGATGGCTGCCAAATAGCCCGGACAACAATTCTCGTACTTCCTTACGACTAATTGGATATGCGTGTGATTAGCGGGCGCTATTAGCGCGTGTGAATGGCTCGAAAGAAAAGAGATGCTTACTTGCGCGCACGTCGCGCTTGATGTCGCAAATATGTCTGGTTATAGGCGCGACAAACAACAGAGTTACGCGAGGCTTGCTGCTCATCAAATGACAAATCGAGTCGGTTTTCGAAAGTGGTATCAATAACCTGTCGGGTCCTCTTTTCGCGACTTCTCGTAACATTGCTTCGCGCCACAATCTGCCGCAAAACATCGTTATATCCATTTCGATCTTGGTCCTCAACCGCGAATCAAGTACTCACTTGCATACCAACGAGGCGCTGCTCAAGTCTTTCATATTTAGCTGATGAAAAATTATGTCTAGTGCGTCGGCTAGAGCGTATTCCACGTTTATTTCGTCGTCACCTTCGCCGGCCAATTGTTTTAACATCGTGCTGATATTTTTTTGCGTTCGCCTTCGATCTATTGTGATTCTTAACAGGACTCGTTAATCGATAATTGCGCCACTTTAAACTTGCGTAAAATTTCGAAGGTTCAACACTGCGCGTACGGATGGTATTTGATATTAGCCATTGGCGCGGATGAAGAGTGACGATAGGCTGCTATTTGTTAACTTCAAATGTGCAAGTAGGTCAGTAGCGCGTAGGTATCTGCGAGGCGCTTTGGATGTCAACATGTCTCTTGAAATTTGCGCGCGCAACTACAGATAGCTATTTGCTTTTGCAATCATTGGCGCGAAATTCCAAATTCATGTAGACGGAATCGAATTCGTGATAGACATCTGTTTCGTCGCCGACTTAATTAAATGAGAAATAGTTCGGTGTTTGTTGGTCTCACTTGTTTGGCTAATATTTGTTTACTTGATAGTGCCCATGGCAATTATGCTAATTCAACAAAGTATCAAATGATTTATAGAATATTTCGCATCAATTTTTGTGGTTCGCAAAAAAATCTGCAGTCCTGAATGAAAGTCGAAAACAATTGTGATGTTTGCAAAAGTCAGATAGTTAGGATTGGTTGTGTTTCAGTGACTACATGGATCGCTTCCTGGATGAGCAAGAAGGCGTACGCGACAGAAGTAGCTCGCCGAACGTTCACTGTTTGCTGTATGGCGACGCGAAGCGTCAAAGAACGAGCAACCCACCATCGTTGATGTTAGACGATGCTAAGCCTGACGATTTGTCATCACTGTCGAACACCGCGGCAACGACAGCAATCAGTGGTAGCACAACTACGTCTTCGTCGACGACGAGCTCAGAAACGACGACGACGACAACGAGCACACCGGTAAACATGAGTCTCCTACCGACGTCAGAATCGATTAGCATCGCACACCTCCACCACCATCACCACCATCAGCATCACCAAGCCCTCGATTTGGCTAAACCGGCTGAATCGTCATGGTCATCTCGTAATCATCTTCATTATCACGAGCAGGAGGACAGGCAGCAGCCGCCTCCTAACGAGCAACCTCCTTAGCGCTAAATTTCACAGTTTCTATCGCGTTTCCTTCGTCTTTCTCGCTCATAATCACACATACACGCGCGCGCGCGCTATTACACATGATTTCATTATTATACACTGTGTTTTGTAGGAGAGAATTTTTTACTCAACTATATTTTTCTTTTTTAAGTCGTGGAATCAAATTCCAACCTATTGTGGAGCTGATTTTGCTTTTTCTCTGTCGTTTAATCGTAGGGGATTAACACTTTTGTAACGCTTTTTTGTGGGACAAATCGTGAAGATAATACTATACGAAGCTGTACGTCAGTGGAATTTATATATTGTTATTATCTCGTGGACGTAATATTACTATTTTTTTCAATTTTACTCGGAAAGTTTTCTGACTATGAATCATTGAGGTGTTCTTGCCAACTAATTGTGTTTCCAGTAGTTATTGTAGACGTGGAAGTTGAGTGTAATTACAATAGAAAATTCTCTCTTAAGCATTTCAAGTTTTCACACGTGTATACACATGTATAAGAGGATAGAAAAAAAAAACAAAAGTGATCATAACCACTGCATTCGTTGAAACAACCATGAATTATATTTTTATACTGTATCATTGTAAGATTTTTCATTGTGTCTGTCAATGCTTGGATTGCGGTTGCAAAGAAGAAGCGAAGGATAAGCCCTGATAAGACTTTAATTTTCAATGTGAAAATTCTATTAAGGGAAATTACAGTCCAAAACGGCGACTGATATATATACATATATACATATATAGATTTATAAAAGACGAATATATTGAGCGACTAGTTTAGTAAGTGGAATTTAAAAGAGAAGTAAAATAAATATTAAAAATAAAAAATAATAAATTTCAGATAAAACCGTCTTTGTATACTAAAACGATTATGATTAAGATGGCATTATTTACGTAATATCTTTGTACAGGCGTGTTGTTAATCGTAACTGCAAATATTAAAAAAAGAATTTCTCCGAATATGTATATATATGTACATATGTATATGTATGTATAAATGCCTATATATATATATATATGTATATATATACACACACACGCGTGTGTGTCTGTTATTTGAAGGGGTTCTTCGAAGATTGATTGTGCTAATACTACTTAAGAGAATTTTGCAGTATCGTGTTTTAACTGTAGTTTCTTAGAGCAGAGTTCAGTTGCATATATATTTAGACAAAATAGTATAATCGGATAACCATGCGCGTGTCGGCGCTTTGATGGAATGTTTTTCTTTCCTTTTCGACAGACACCGTGATGTAAGATTCACTAAAAGTAAAGAAAAGTCACAAACATTCCTTTTTTCACTTGTTATTTTGTTGATCAACCCTTCATGCGTTATTTTTTTAGGATAGAAAGAATACTTTTATATGTGAAAAACATGATTTATTGGAAAAATATTACTTACATTATTGAATCAGTTATCAACAATAAATACAATTGACTTCAGAAGTTGTGGGAATATAAATAACATTGTCAGTTTCGTTACAAAAAAAAATTGTCTATAATCACATTCTTTTTCACTGATACATCAAATTAAAAAAAATACTATCAAACTTTACATTGCATTTTGAATGTTATCACGAAACATAGCTTGCGCTTGAATTCATTTTATTGTCATTCCATGAACTCATCAAAAACACGGTGCTCTCTCATATTGTTCTATACACTAACTACACTTGGGTAGATCAAGCAAACTGTGCTGAATCGAGTGACTCAACAACCGACTTAACAAGTTTCCCGAGCAATCCAAGGAATTGGCTAGTATCAATTTTAACGTTGAATACTCCAGTAGTCACAGTATCTTCTTTCGATCTTGTTTCTTTTCCTTCTTTGTCTCCTAATGAGCGAATAGGTACTTTGTGTATAGTGCTACCTTCCTTGAGTCTAACTGGTAACCTCTTATCAGCCTCTTCATCGGGATAAATCAACCTCGTATTTTTAGCCTCGGAATCAAGAAGAGTCGCGGCTATCGTCCAGTCGGGTACTTTTTGTTGTGCTCGATGCTCTAAAAATTCGAAGAACAAACCTAGCTCTGTCGCAGTCTCTCGTCCAATCAATTGTCGATCTCTGATCGCTAGTCTTGGACTTCTTACGCCTTCCAATGCTTGACAAAGTATCAGCACCAAATTTACTTCGAGCGCTAATCTTGTATTATTCTCTTCCATCGAATCGAACCACGGGTCGGTACCATTAGTCATATCTCTCATAGGACTTTTAGATTTCCCGTCGTGCGTTGGTCCAGGACTACTGGCACTACTGACGTGCGAACGACCAGGTCGGGTACCTAATGTTGTAGCTCGCGATAGAATCATATTCTCACAAATCAACGGATCGAATGGTCGTTTTATTAACCTTGGACTACTTAATAATGGCACTGTGAGATCGTAACCAAGTCTCGACGACGAGGAGCTTGCCAGTACTGATGCACCCAAACCACTCGAGGAGCCGCTGTACAGCATCTTGCGCAAATCCTTTGCGTGCATTCGACGTAAATTCTCCGGGGTCGCCAGTTCCCATTCCCTACGCGCCGAATCGATTTTGTCGTCTTTGCCTTTCAACGTTGTATTCAAAGAACTGCTGTTTTGATTGATGTCATTTTGATCCGGTTGGTCTCTGCGGAAAGATTGACTGGGTCCACATGTAGCGGTGTTGCCGGAGAACAATGCGTGCCACTGAGCTTGCGTGAAGAGTTGAGCTGAACTGATGATCGTTCCATATGTCAGACTAGGACCCGAAGTCATCGACATCTGCGGTGGTCCGAAATTCATTTCGGCCATAGGAGCGTACCTGAAATCATGATTGGCAAATAAATGTTACTGTATAATGTACGTTAATTAATTATTTAGTAACTTTTTCTAAGGTAACTTACCAAAAGTCCTCTTGAGCGTTGATAGTATCGACTAAAGCATTAATCCTCGGAGAGAATCTGATGAAACTCTGAGCACAACAGGTGTTAATGTGTATCAGTTTGTTGACGAGAAGTCTCAATTCAGCGCTCAGCTGTCGCTCGTCACAACTCTGTAATTCTTCGGCACTCTCCACGCTTATGCCGTCGATTATGAACTTCAGGATACGTGGACGCAGGAGTAGATTGACTGTACTGTCGTACGAAAAGTACATGCATTTCTAAAACAAGTTTCAGTTAATTCGTACAAATCTTTGTAAACATAAATTCATGATCATCTACAATTAGCATGATCATACAATTAGCATTGTTTCACTGCTTGAAAAACACTCAGCTCGTTTAAATAATCCACACGCTGTTCAAGTTACAAAATCATGCTTTAGTTATTTCTACCAGAATCAAAGGTAACATACAAATATTCATATAGCATCATGTTAAAAAAAGTCTGTCATAGTGATTGCATGTAATTTATAAACTTTCAGTGCCTATCGTTGCTTTTTCTTTTATCGATAAACATTTATATGCCAACAATGAGAACGAGAATGAAAAAAGCAAAACAAATCGAAATTCCTTGCAGCAACGATCGAGTTCACCATCAAGGAAATCGCATCGATGAAAGCTAAAGGTGTACTCACGATGAGAGTTTCTCTGATGCTCGGATGAACGGACAGCCAGAAGATAGGCTTCAAACTTAAGGCGGCGATTAGAGAAACGAGTGACTGGATCAGATCGGCAGCAACTGGATCGGCCGTGTGTCTTGACAGTGTCGACGCTTCCATCAGAAGGTGTTCGTGTGAGCCGAGATATAAAACTGTTGGGCGTACGTAAGATGATGGTTCGCGTGATGACACTAAACTCGTGATGAACTCTAAACCACAGGTGTAAAGTGGCCACCAGTCTTGACAGCGCCATTGACTTGTATTACTTGGACAGTCCTACAAATCATTAATCATGTAAAGTAACTGCACGATTTTTTTTTGCTTAATGTATATCGAGACTTCAATTTTTTATTTTAGTAAGTAGTTTCTCTATGTATCCGATCTACGGCATATAATTCTAATTTTCTTTTTCGTATATTTACGACTTGATGAAAATTGAATTATATCTTGATAAATTTCGTATTTCAATGACAAATCATGATTGCTATTCAGTGACTAACTGATAATCATTAGAAAAAGCAACTTGATTCTTTAAAGTTAGAAATGATCTGCAAGTCAAATTAGTTGGCGGATGATCAATCTGAACGGTAATTTTTACGACTTAGCGACTTATATTAAACTATATTAATATCTACTTGTTCGATTTTATAAAAAAAGTTTATAGCATTATGGGACTTGAATCGGCACTTAAGTAACGCCTAACTGTGAATTAAGTAGTTTATTTTTACACTGTGCTTCGAGCATTCGTTAACGCTCGTGCCTTAACCTCACGGTGCCAAGCTTCTTAACCATCTTAAGTTACCGATAGACGAACCGTAAGTGTTGATTTTAAATCGGTAGTACTACAAAATGTACGGTACTTGTGATTTAAGTATCTCATCATTGCACGGAGTGTAATAATAAGCTATTTAAGTTATATGTATCATAGTATATTATTGTTTAATGATGAACTTGTCAACGAATGTTGATTTTGATGAATCTTCTGCTTAAGAGTATTAATTGTGCGTTGAGATATATATGTGTGTACAAAAAGTTTTCAATTACGCTTCTTGACAAAAAATACAATCAATTTTAAACGAGGGATGAAAATGTTTTGAAAACAATCGATATAATAAGTTTAGCTAGTAGATGACTATTTTTCTAAATATTATAACATTAAAGGATTGATCTACAAAGAATATTTTTCATATAGTTATTATTGAAGGATTAATTTTAGTCGGTGTTAAATGCAATTTTGAAAATCCATACAATAAGCATTATCGACTGTCTATCGCAATATCAACAAGTCTCAGTGTTATTATAATAACTTGATAAACAAATGTATCTACATGAACCACTTATGTGCTATGAAAAAGATAAAATTAAAAAACTTATTCAAATTCCATTATACGTGTCTGTTTAACCAAATTAATTCTGTCACTCATGTAGTTGTGCTTCAAATTTTGTATAATTAGAACTACTGTTCAATAAACACATATGTAATGGTTAGACAACGAACATACCTCGTATAAACAATCTTGCAGACTACCCTTTATATCCTTAGGAGGTATGAGTGCCAGCCAAAGTTTGGCGATTGCCTCTTCATCCAATGGCATCGATACGTGAAAGGACCTAACGATAGCACTCAACAATGTCAAAGCAGCTTTGCTGAATTTGATATAAGGATGTTTCTGCAGAGTCATGCCCACAGTTATTAACAATTCCGGCATCAACTGCCTTAATTGCAAAGGTGGTGATTTTGAGCGCTTTTTGACTTTCAGTTCCATCTTGAATTTTAACAATTTCGTCACAAGACACACGGTCAACGTAGCAGGGATACATTCACAAACAGCAGTAGCTTCTTCAGCCTCTCTCTTCAACTCTTCTTCTTTGAAGTTATCCGGTTTCTTTCTTTTTTCTCGATTCCTTGCGTTTTCTCTCAGTTCATCCACGTCGCCACCAGCCAAAGTACACGCTTGACTCAATAGATATTCCAGTAATTCACTCTTCATGCGTAGATGTTTTTCGTCTAAGTCGATCCAACAGAGTAAAAGTGCCACGAGGGTTTGTCTTAGCGGTCTTCCATAACCACGATATGACTGGCTGATCTCTTGCATCGCCTCGGATAATTTCTCGTTGAGCTCGCTTTCAGGATTAAAATCACCAATGCACATGTCATGCCAGGCAGTGAAGCAACGCAGTGAAATCGATGCGAGTAACATCGTAAGTTTGGCGTGAGCCAAACGATTGCGTTTTGAGTTAGATGGTAATTGTTTGAGACGCAAGAGTAAATGTTGAAGTGCAAGATTTGTTGTAATTTGAGCTTGCTTTGCGCCAATTGTATACTCGTGACCAGTGCGTTCGCCAGTTAGGACCATTAGCAGTTGATACCAGGACTCAAGGTTTGTCTCATACAATGGATGTACTCCGGCATCTTTTTCAGTTATCACCTAGGAATTAATAATTTACATATCAATCGCATTTTCGTCTCTGTCAAAGAAAATTTCTACCACACTACAAATATCATCAATAAAATTATAAAATATGAAAACTAATAACTTACTTGCTCTTCATCATCCTGAAAATTTTGCTGCATATCCTCCGTAGGCATGGGAATGCTCTCGAAAACGTATTCAGTCAAACTTTCCCAGTGTTGTTCTTTATCGTTCAACAACTTTTGCAAATTCATTGTAAAATCTTTCTCCAACACCAGACTTTTAAACAACTCTAAAGTAACGATGTCTAATAACTGCGAATAACCACGTACCCGGGGCACGAGTTTGCGAAAAATTGGTGCGAATAGTTTGCTCCAGAAATCGGGTCGCTTGCGGAAAAAGCTGACAAGAATCTCGTTACGATGATACCACATTGCTCGCAGTAAATTCATCGTACTATCGTATAGTCGATCGTAGATGATATCCTCCTCCTTCCGCACGCGATCTAAGTAGAGATCAAGAAAACGAGTGCATCCTTCAGTGAGGAATTCATCGGCTGGACGTGGGAAGATTCGTCTACGCTCGGCTTGGTGCATTATGTTAAATAGCGCCTCGGTAAGACCTACAAATCAGAGACAAGTCGCGATTGAAATTTTCTGAACGTACAATATTTTAGCCAGTACTGAGTAGCGAACAAACCTGGCTGCTTATCCAAGCAAACGGTAACCAGCTCCAAAATAGCAACCTTCACTTCGGCACCACAAGTCGGCGACATCAGTCTTGAGGCAAAAGTTTCACGTATGGCCGTACCGTCCATACCCATGCAAACGAGCAACGACATTGAGAAACCTTCCGCAAATTTTTTCAATAAACGTACAGCCATCGCTTGCAACGCTGGACTGAACCACACGTACAAATAGTCGACAATTGTTGGTACAATGAGTAATGCGTTTGGTAAGGATGGCGAGGCGTAGAGTGCAGCCTCCAACGGGGAATGTTCTTCTGTGTCAATACCCAAATTTTTGCGGTATAGCAGAAGACGATTTACTACTGATAGAGCTAATTGCACGCTTTTTATAACCTGAGAAAGTTGAAGTCGTGAGAAATAATTGATTCAGCCAAATTGTGGCGTTGCTAGACTAATGTTATTTGTTTCCATTTCTTTTTCTGACAACAGTTAAATATCGTAAGTTAAGAATAAGAAACCTACCTTGAAACCTTTGCCAGCAATCCAATCAGTCTCGCTCATCATCTTCACTCTCAAGGCTTTCTCTCCGGTTCTTACCAATTTCAACAAAGCATGCCTGGGTTCGAGATGCAAAAGATTGTACGTGACAATTCTTCTTAATTCACTCCTCGACTCGTCCTTCTTTCCGGGAGTAACGTCCAAGGCTCTATGCAGACAGTACACACTCTTAAGCCACAATTCAACTCGCTCTAACTCCGAAGCAAAGTACCAAGAGTCGAGCTTTGGTAAAACACTTTGCAGCAACATAATCATGCCAGGGATTTCCACGGCGTATAAGGCTTCTTTACTGTGTCTTATTGCAAGATAGTTGGACAAAGTGTCAAGATAGGCATCGAGAATTGGGTAACTATGTTGGATCGTCTCGATACTCGAAAGCCATGAAGCCACGAGACCACCATCGAAGGACACAGCTTGAGCGAATTCGTCGGTTTTCTGATAACGATCGTCAAAGCGAGGATAGACACCCGAACGCATCCGAGAAAGTACGTCTTCCGGATAACGTAGGACTAGCTTTGATGAGACTTTTATGCAAGCTGCTACGACTTTATAAATGTTGAGTGGTAGAACTGGATAAGAGAATCGATTAACAACCTCGAAGCTCAGTTCCGTAGGTATGACCATACTTGGTGATATATCAATATTCTTATCTAGAAATATTTCTAATAAACCGAAACTTTGAGATACTTGATCTGGCAATGCATTAGTATCCTCGCTCAGATTGATGATACCACCACTGGCTGCAAGCAAAAGCAGTTCGATCTTATGGTGAAATGCATCCCAGTAATTGGCTTTGATCTGGAATAAAATCACTTCGTATTCGTCTCTCGTTGTATTTCTTTGGTTGGCATTGATTTTCACGTAAGGGCAATTTGGTGGTATCAAGAAAGAATTATGATGAATCACACATTGTTGCTCGTACGGTCTTCTCTGCATCTCGACGTTGAACGTGTGACGAGATACCTCGAGCGTGATTGATGGTAGATTCTCTAGAATTTCAATAGTTTTCAAAGCACTGGATTTCGAAGCTATAGCTAGGCCATTAGCGATGTTTGTGAGAGGCTCGAATCGATAAGGGAACCACTGTATGGAGTAATGTACAATCGGCCATAAACCACGACTGTCTTTCCTTTCTTGCCAGAAACGTTCGGCTGTTTCGGGAAAACTTAAGACAGCTGCACATGCATCGAACACACCTAAAAATAAATCATTGGCACTAAGTGAATTGAATCAATTTTATAATTTGGAGTTGAATAGAAAAAAAGAATTACCTGGAAAAGTATCGAGTTTGTCTTCATCTACAAATGCACACAGCAAAGTCAGTAGATTATAAATACTGCCTCTCACAGTAATAGAATACTGAGTTTTCTCTTTGATCATTTCACTGTTCAACAGTCCTTGCAAATAGTAAAATACATTAAGTTGAATTGCTCTTATACCAAAAGATCTGTATTTAACAATAGTGTCATTATTGTCAGGCTCGATCACATAATTAGCCAACATCCAAGCCAAAAGCAATGGTCCATCTTGAGGAGTAGAATCTCTTGAATATTTATGTTCCATGATATCTTGCATACTACCTCTAACATCTCTGATCCAATCTTCCATGCCAGTATGTTTCATCATATCAAGCCCAACAACTAACAATGCAGTTTGACTGTATTGAATTTCTTGAATTTTTCTTGCCACGGCTTCCTTGTCTTCGTGGCTTTTCGAGCTGATAAGACGACGAGGCTCACCGCTGATACTGCCGTAAATATTTACAAATTCATTTTCGGCTACGTGTACTTCGTGCAATACCAATGTAAAAATATGCAAAAGTTCGCGCATCTCAATGAGACTACTGTTGTACAGTTGATGCAAATGCTCATCGGTAAATAGTTGAGATCTGACTGGTGGATTTATAAATTTCAATGCTTCTATTTGTTTCCTCATTGATTCTAGAAGATTGCCAAGAAGAATATCGTCAAAAAATTTGACAAAATGATTGCGATGGGGGTGTCTTTCATTCTCTCTGTACTCCACCATCAGTTTTAAACATTTAATCAGTGTAATGCGTTCTGTGTAATAAAAACTCCATATGTCTTCAATCAAAGCTCTCATAGAAGTCAAGTCTGCGAGTTGTGATGCAAATGTTTCTGCACAATTACGATACTCATATAACATAAAATTACATACCAAATCCCATGATATTGTAGCATCTAAGTTCTGTAATTGCAAAGAACATTGTATCATTATTAAGTGTTAAAATATAATCATATAAGTATCAAATAACTTACCAAAAGCGGTGCTAATTTGCTAATGAGATCATACATTTTTGGAGGTAACTTTGCTTTGCTAACAGCTTGCAGTGAAACCTCTGTGAAAGGTTTGAAATAAGACAAGCCATCTCTTAGTCCTACTGTTGCATTTTTTATTTCATCTTCGACGAGCTCCTTGTCACAACGGCATGTAGTTCCAGATATCACAGACCATAGTCCCTTGCAATAACTATTTAAAAATGAAGAAATAAATGTAAAAATATTTTTCATAATAGACAAACATTTATTTTATTTTCTTCTAAATACACGACTGCCATTAATTCATATTTGCTAATAAATAAATACTAGTAGGAATATAAAGTTGATTTATCAAATTTCGAAAGATGCTTTAAACGATATTTTATTGAAACTTTAATGAAGAAAAATGCGTCTGATATGTTTCAATTGTTCATTACAATAATAAGAAAATACAATATAAAAACAATAACAAATTAAGTTGTCATATTGCAAAACATCTCGGCCTTTAAAATCTACAAGTTTAAGTAAAAAAACTCACGGTAAATTTCCTATAGGTGCCATCGACATTCTGAATTTCTCATTCGTCAAAATCCTTTCACAAAATTATAATTTATCAGAAAAAATCAAGCCAAAAACTTCGCATCGCCTAAGATCTCTTAAATAAGTTTTCGGCGCGCTAATCGTACAAAAATAACATAACCTCATATAACATCATATTAAAAAAATAGTGTGTGCTTGATAAGAATACCGCAAGAGATCGCTGACATAGTGTTTCTCCTAAAGTCCTAAGTAATTTTGAGGAAATTTTCGTGGGATGCGCGAGCTGGCGCGAGTGCAGTGCAGCTGTTGATGGTGTTAGGGTGTCTACGTTTAGAGTCGGATCGACGACAATTGAGGAAGAAAACTCGTGTACAGTGCGTGAAACGACGCCGAGGACAGCGTCCAAATGCAGCTGCGATTTCCTTGATAGACAGATATTGCACGTGAGAGTGTGAGTGTGAGTGAGAGGTCAAAGTCTGTCTATTTAGCGACGATGGCAGAATTCGAGCTTGGTGATCTCATTGGCGACCAAATTGAAAAGGTCCTTCAGTTCCAGGTGAGCTTCGTTTCGTGTGTAGTTCTGTCTTTCTTTGTTCTTTCTCGTAAGCAACGTCAGCTCTTCTGCCAGTTGCATGTTGTTTTCACATAGAACGTGTATTTATTTTTCTTACTTTTCAGGATCTCACAGGAATTGTAGATCTGTCCGTTTGCAGAGATGTTTTGCAACGACACAACTGGAATTTGGAGGTGGCTGTGCAGGTATGAATATTCATATTTATGCCTCTAACGCTTTAGGTCACGATTTCTGAAACTAGAGTCATTTCCGAAACATGCGTGTTTCATCATTTCCCCTTACTGCTAAAATGACGCAAATTCATTAATCGCCCGAATTAAATGTTCTTTTTCTAGTCATTACAAATAAGTCTTATACTTTCTCAATTTTAATAAATATTTAGCAGTTTATGTAACAATCATTATGAATTTTGGTGCAATATGTTCAGGGTTCTAAAGAACTTCGTTGTTTCTAATAAACATTTGAGCTGTGTATTTTTATTATTTATATTTTTGTACAGGAACAACTTAACCTTGACGAAGGCAGACCATCAATGTATGCGCAAGATGCAAGAATCAGACCTCCACAAGTTGTTGACGATACTAGTTCTAGAATTTATTTTAGTCCAGCGGGCAGCTCAGGAAGCGGTGGATTTTTCTCTTACATAATGTCTCTCTGTTATAACGTTTTCACCAGTATTTTACAACTTATTTTTGCAATATTTAGGAGAAATGTTAGGCCTGGTAAGTAAAACTTTCAATAAATATCATTCATTGGCAATTAATTTAAATGGAGATCCTTAATAAGTATTTTTTTATAGTGTCTTTGGATCCTGTTCAAGATGTAATGAATTTTATACGAGCATACGAGGAACAGTGCGGGACAAGTCACCCTGTCTTTTATCAGGGCTCCTATAGTCAAGCGCTCTCAGATGCAAAACAAGAGTTAAGATTCCTTCTGGTGTACCTTCACAAAGATGAAAACCAAGAGATTGACCAATGGTGCAGGTAATGCATGCTGATTAATGTTAAATTTATATTTTTAATTGGAAAAGCTTTCAATTCTCATTGAACATTGGTTGCTTTAATCTTTTAGAAATACTCTTGGAAACTCTGAATTAGTACGATTTGTAAATACTCACACCCTCTTCTGGGCGTGCAATGTTAAGTCAGGCGAAGGCTATAAAGTAGCGGAAGCGCTCCGAGCCGGTACTTATCCGTTTTTGGCGGTTATTGTTTTAAAGGATAATAAAATGACAATAGTGGGACGGTAAGCTACAATTATTTTTAAAATAAATCCTAACGTTTTTTTCTATCAATTATAATTTCTACGCATAATAAATGTGTTAATAATTAAATCAGAATGGAGGGCACCCCGTCGCCAGGGGAACTGACGTTGCGACTGCGAACGATAATCGATCACAATGAGATCAACCTGATCCAGGCACGCCTGGAGCGTGCTGAGCGCAGCCTTACACAATCACTGAGGCAGCAGCAAGATCTTGCCTATGAGGAGTCGTTGCGCGCCGATCAAGAGAAAGATCGCAAACGTGCGGAAGAGCGACGTGCTCGTGAGGAAGAAGAGGCGCGTGAAAAAGAATTGCACAATGCTCAAGAACGTGAATTGGAGCGCATCAAGTTGGAGAAAGAATTGTCTATAGGAAAAGTCCCGAATGAGCCCGCACCTACAGATCCAAACGCGTGTCACCTGCAAATTAAATTAGGCGAGAGGACTGTTAAACGACGATTTTTGATGAGTCATACTATTCAAGTACGCTGACCTTTTGCATTTTTGAAGTTTTAGATAATTTATACACTTGAATTTGAACTTATGATTATTCCAGGACGTATATTTTTGGATCTTCAGTCAGCCAGATTCACCGGCAAAGTTTGAAATAACGACGAGTTATCCAAGAAGGATTTTATATCCGAGTATTGATATTCTTACCTTATTGAAAGCTGGACTAACCCACAGAGAAGTTCTTCACGTCAACGACTTAGACGATTAAATTAATATTTTCAATTCAAGAGACCACGTATCATTCCGTAAAGGGACGATAAATAATTGAGAGACAATTATAAAACAAAACAAAAAAATGAATAATATATATTATATATTTGATACATTCTTGTACTTTGCGCAGAGTACAAAGTTGAGATAAATTTGTTTAATGATATAATGTGCGCGTAAAAAACTTTTTCGTTTCCTGCTCGTTTGTAAAACTTTAATGTTTTCTTTTATGACGCCAAATGATGTGTTCTACAATTTTTGCATTTTTCATTATTCTTTCTTTATTTACTTTTGTGTGTCGAATAAGTAAAAAACGTATTTATAAATATCTTATTTAAAACAATCTTTTTGTAATCGATGTCAATGATAATTCAAACAATAAGTATTTTTGACACAAAAATAACGAAACGAAAGCAACGCTTATTTTTTATCATCAATACGTGAAACAAGTTTCTCATTTTTAAAATTATTCTCTCATTTCTTCGCGTCATGAAATAGGAAGTTTAAAATTTTGAAATCGTTGTATATGCATTTCGTCAGCCTGGTTAGTATATAAGTACTTCTTGATTTCTTGACTAGTGTCGCACCATATTTTTATTATTACGTTTTACCGCACGCGAAAGCCATTTACCAATTTTCTTTCGAATTTTCGAAACTGGATGTCAATTGTTGGAAATTGATTCAGATGGGAATCCCTAATAAGTATTCTTTTTATAGTCTCTTTGGATATTATCCAAAATGTGAATTTTATACGGGAGACCATAGTGAGAGAGCGTGGTTAAATAGTGAATCCTGTGGTACTTCTAGTCTTGTCGACTAAGTGGTTGTAATCATAACGAAGAAATTAAAATGTTATTATTTCGAATGAAATAAAGAAAGAAAATGCTTAATAGTTATTATCGTCCAGTACGCGAGGAGACTGAGACAAGAAATTTTAATAAATCTTTAATCATTGGGACATTTGTAAAGTTCAACCAATTACTATGGTACCACGATTCGTGGAATAAAAAACTGTTCTTTGATTACAAAAAACAAAAGTATACTCACATTCATTTCACGCTCAAACCTTCATAAACTTTTGTTTTTGTATTGCTTGAAAATGGTTTGCAATGACGCTCATCTGTCATCTGCAGACGTCAGATTCATGTGTCAAAAATTTGCGGCGCAACACGTTATTTCAAGAAGTAAGAAAAATTCAAGAAAATGTTTTTTTACTTTTTGGGCCTTGTGCTTGCGCTCGTAACTATTTTTGGAATTGTTCATTTGCAACCTGCGTAAGTCCCACATTTTTATTATAATTGCGAACGGAACTAATTAGCTTTCAAAAAAAATTATTTTTTAAATAAATAAAAACAGGAATGAATATCTGCATCTGCAGAACTTTTGCGTGTGGTCCTCATCGACTGTACGCCGACAACTACAAAAATACAATTTATTTGGCTTTCAAGAAAACAATGATGGCGCCAACGATATAGTGAATGTTATCGAAATTTCGTTGACACAAGTGGAGGTTCCAGAATATGAAAATGCAAGCGCGTTGGAAGAGCCGATCGAAGAAATACAAAACATCAAACTCGGCGATGAACGCGGTAATGTGTAATTCGTAATAGTTTTTAACGTTGCTTCACTTTCCACGTTACATTCGAGCGTGACGCGTTCAAATCAAAGAGGTCGACTAACGTGCAGTAAAAATTTATAAATCATAGCTTGATAAACACATTATCGTTTACGAAAAAGTTCTTAGGTCGAGTTATGTTAGTTATTTATTCCTTTTAATTCTATTATAGTTTTCATCATTGTGTAAATATTTTTTAGTCGTAGAAGGAGCGAATGCCATTCCCAACCTTAGTACACTCGAAGCTCAAGCTCAACCCTCAAGAAGTCGCGACAGCGTGTTATCCGCGATAAACGCCTCCTTAAGACGGCTCTCGTCGGTCGCTAACTCCGGAAGAATAAACGGTGCACAACTCTATCAGATTCTCTTACGCGAAACTCTGATGCACGAACAAAGCGCCAGGGCCGAAGATACCGATCTGTCGAGTACACCGTCCAACAACACTGTTACTCTCGAGGCTGTCACCGAGGATGAAAATAACATCGACAAGCCCAAAGTGAAAATGTACTTCGGGGATGCGCCCATGGAGTACGTGCCTCATCAAAAATGAAATTCTAATGAGAATATCGTACGCGCTGTAAAATAAAGTGTAAATAAATTGATGAAAACTCATTAAAATGTAACCGAGGTGTGAATTTCAAATATGTGCGCGCATTCTATTTTATTACTATATAATTTGAACTCAGCCTCACCCACGCCTCTAACTGACGATTAACAAACAGCCTATCGATGCTATTATTACAATTTTCACTGAACTTTAAACCCTCGCTTTTTATTTTGTTGTGACAGTATGTGCAATATAGACATGCCATAGATGTAAAATAAATAAACTAATGAACACTGAACAACAAACAAACGCAAATGCGCGTGGGCCGACAAGATTATAAATAGAGATAGCAGAAGACTCAAAAAAATCTCTACATATTGTCAACATATTCTCTCGCATCATAAAAAGTAACTTTTATCTTGTTGTTATTAATAAAAATGGTACTGTGCAAGTATTTTCAACAAGGCACTTGCCGTTATGGACAGTATTGCAAGTTCGATCATAGTTTTGGTGAGTTTTTTTACGACGAAACCGTAGCTTTTGTGTATGTAGAAGTGTATGTAGGTTATGTTATTTGTTTATGATTTTTAGGCAACAGGAGTAAAACTTTTAACGATGATAAAAATATTGCGTGAGTGTTTTTTATTTATCATTACAGTATTAGATGATTTAGAAAAATTTTATTATTGATAATTAGGGATTGGATTTCAAATCAATATTTACAGAATAGACACAGTAATTTCAAAATATTCAGCAACCATTAATTAATATTCATTATTTCAATTAGTTTACTGGTCGCGGAAGAAGTGCTTCAAGCTGAGAGAGGTGGACAATGGTTGCTTTCTTGTTATGGACCATTCAAAGAAAAAAAATGTATTCCTGGCATGGATGACGTTTCTCCCGAAGAGGTCAGATGGGAAATGTATCAAGCACAAAAAACTGGAACTGTGGATCAAGTGGTAAATTGTTTATAATTAAATTTGAGATTGAATTATATTTAAATGTTTTACTGATGTTATGAAATTCTTTCAGAATTCTCAATTTCAACAAATGTGTGAGCAAATGAAGGCGAAGCGTGATGCATTGAAAAATCCAACGCCTGCTATTTATCAAATACTGGTAACCTTGCCAATATAATTAGACTTTCAATCTCTAATGAACTAGCTTTGATAGTTTAATAATTTGACAGGAAGAAATTCATAACTCAGGATCTGATACTGCTAATAAAGGAAATTTTGCATTTGGGGCATCACAGCTTAGCACTTCAAACACTAGTCAAAGTTCCAATGTATTTGGTCAAAAAACTACATTTAGAGCAACAAGTAATAATCTTTTTGGAAGCACAAGTACCTTTAATTCATCTCAACCAGCAGCTTCCATTTTTGGTAAACCAGCCACTGCTCCATCTACAAATGTGTTTGGAGGAAAAGCTTCTTTTGGAAGTACATCCGTATTTAGTGGGAATTCTACAACTGGTAATTCCATATTTGGTGGTGCTAACAAACCTGCACCTACACCCTTTGGCTCTGTACAGACATCTACTTTTGGAAGCCTACCATCTCAAGGTATTAATTTATTTTTATGCAGAACATCAATAGATTACTAAAAATTATAAAATTCTCAGGTACTTCGATTTTTGGTGCACCAGCCACAAATCAAACAGCCTTTGGACAACCTTCAGCTTTTGGAGCTAACAGTCAAGCAAGTAATCCATTATTCAAAACTCAAACTGGTCAGACATCTGTTTTTGGTGGAGCAACCGCAAATAGTAGTAATGTATTTGGCGGAGCTTCCGCTACAACGAACTCCGTATTTGGAGCTCAAGCTGCTTCATCAAATACTCAATCAGGGACTAACATATTTGGTCAGTCAACAACAGCTACAACGGCTTTTGGTGGAGGACCTATCTTCGGTGGAACAACCGCATTTGGAGCACAGGTATAATGGAAATAGTTTTTATATGAATCATATTATTATTAAAAGCTTTTGAAATTTCGTCTAGCTGTCAAAAATAAGATATGAATATTTATATATATTTTTTGATATAATTTAATTTTAGCAGAATACTGCTAGTAGCTCGGTATTCGGAGGACAGTCGATGTTTGGTCAGGCAACTGCCACTCCTACAGCAACTAACATTTTCGGAAGCGTAAATGCAGGAACATCGAGTTTTGAATCTCTTGCTCAAAGTCCAAATACGAATGCGTTTGGTGCACTAGCAAATGCGTCGCCTTTTGGAACAACAGCATCTGCAGCTGTTGCTCCAAATGCATCACCTTTTGGTGCAGCAGCAAGTACAGTAGTTGCTCCAAATGCTTCACCTTTTGGTGCAGCAGTAACTACAGCAGTTACTCCAAATACTTCACCTTTTGGAGCAGCAATATCGACAACAGTGACTCCGAATGCCTTGTCTTTTGGATCAGCAACGTCGACGACAGTTACTCCAAATGGTTCACCGTTTGGAGTAGCAACGTCTACAACTATAACTCCAAATGCCTCGCCTTTTGGAGCAACAACGTCTACAGTTGTTACTCCAAATGCGTCGCCTTTTGGAGTAACTTCTGCTGTTGCTCAAAATACTTCGCCTTTCGGAGTTGCAACGTCTACAGCAGCTGGTGGACCTTTTGGAGCTACCACTGGTAGATATTATTTTTATTATGGTTTTCTCAGCTAATTTACGTAGAAGATTAATGCTATTTGATTTTTCGCGTAGCAAATTCAATATTCGGAGCAACTTCTATTGGTTTTGGTGGTCGACCGACTACGACAATTAATAGTACCCCGAATGTGTTTGAAACTCCGACTGTCACGTCACCTGTTCAGGCACCATTTGCTGGATCTACCTTTGGTACACAAACCAGTACCAATGTCTTCGGAACAGTCACTACTACGCAACAAAGTGACAATCCATTTTTAGCGAAAAGTATAAGTTCCCCGTTCGGCACAATCTCGTCTACACAATCTTGTCCATTTGGATACACTCAAGCAAGTAGCAGTAATGCTTTTGGCGTGTCTGTGAACGTGAAAATTGACGAAACGGCTTATACGCCACATGAAAGTTTGACTGATGACGAGAAGGCAGCTTATAAACTGAACAAGTTTGTCTTAGGGCAGATTCCACTCAACGCTCCGAGCAAGGAACTTGCGTGACTGGTTAAAAGTTGATTAGATCGGTACAGTATTCTACGAAATGAAATCGATACTATTAAGGTGATATCTTAATTTGTTTTGCAATATTTCACGCATATTTTTATCCAAACAACATTGGAATATATGTAGTAAAATATTTTTAATTATTAATGAACTTTTCATATAACTTGATACGTGATATTGTAGCTAATGTGAAAAAATTACAAGACATTACGCAAAGGAAGGAAATCTTTACGATTTTGAATGAATATTCAAACTTTAACAATGATTATCATAAAATTTACTACTATATGTATGGAGGATTGAATGCGAATTTATTTTACAAGTCCTCATGACAGTATACAATGATTCTCTTAAATTATTTCGCGGAGTTTCCTATAATTGAATGCAGTCATGTAAACTTACTATATATAAAGATACAAACGATGATTGTGATTAAAATAAAATGTAATTTTATATACATGAATAAAGACGAATGATTTTTGTTAATAAACTATTTTATTGTTTTTTGAATAGTAAAATTTTACTGTTATTATCATGAGCTATGCATTTTTAAATTTGTTGTCTTTTTTGACATGAATTATTTTTAAAAATCTCTTTCAATTTTTCAACAGTATAGATACATAGTCTTTACTCTGTATCTTTTGATGGCGCTTGGCTTTTAGGCTGTGGCTTTGAATGAGCCTTGGCCCTCTCTCTGGAGCAATGTGCATAGCTGTGTTGCCTTAGAGAGTTAAATACTTTGTTATTCAATTTCACATCGAATCCACCAGTGTCGCCTGTCTGAATTCCCGGAGGAAACTCAAGTACACGACATGCATTTATTCGGGAGTTCATCAATACATCGTGTTTTGTAAGAATTTGAGATCCTTCACCCTCCCTAATTTTCTTATAGCCACAACGAGGTATTGAAGCAAACTCTTTCTCAATACTCTTTAAAAATCATTTTAGATTGATTAATATAAATAATTGGTTGTTAATTTATAAAGAGAGTATTTTGTACTTACAACAAATCTATCAAAATCTCTTTCTTCATCGTCATCTTTCTTAGGTTCCTCAGGCTCACCAATTCCGGCTCGGTAATTCAAGTATGAAATGTTAACTAAAAGTTATAAATTTGAATTTATTGTTGAATTTTCATATTGGATAATAATAAAAGTTTAACTTTCTCAACCTTTTGAATTACGATTGAATTTCTTTTCAGTACGCTTGAGCATGAGGTCATGCTCCTGATTCATTTCTGTTTGTAATAATTGTGCAATCATTTCATCGCTTTCTGTCTGGTCAATTTCAAATAGTTTTGGAGACTCCTGTAAATCAGAGACTGTTTGCTCTGGAATTTCTGGGTGTTTTTTAACAACAGAATCAAGATGCTTTTTCACTTCTCTGAGCAACAAAAATAGATTATGTAAGAATTTGATGCAATGACCAGTAGGTCAAATTCATAAGCAAAAAAATGTCATACTTTTCTTGCAAACTTTGAGCCAACTGCTCTGATCTAATTTGATCAAAACTGATAGGCTCTTCATTTGCCTGTATTTTTGCCCACGCCGACATTATTAATATTGTCTCTTGAACACTTTGATTGCTTTGTAAAAATACGACTGAGATAATAAAAATTCTCTTAGTTTAGGTTTCTTAACAATATGGTTAAGTATGTAAAATTTATAAAAAATGGTAACAGGCAGCAACGGATTTTAGAGTTAAATAGTATGACCGTAAAAAATACTTTACTAATCTCTAAAAAAGACTAGAATAACTTAATTACTGTTCTGAATATCTACAGTGTAGTATACGAAACAAGAATAACAAATCTTAACAAATATACGATCCACCGTTGACTTGACGCTATTTTATCAATTCTTTGATTCTTTGATTCCCTCTTTCTTCATCTCCTTTTTTTCTACACATGCGCATCAGCTGACGTGCATGACATTTATTTTTCAAGTGTATAATATTTGTAAATTTAATCAAAACTGTATTTCTTTATTTTCTTAGTAAATTGTTGTTCTTACTTGAAATTTTCATTTAATTTTTACATTTTTTTCAGAACTTGTAAGATTATTTACACTGTATTACCGATCGAGTAGGCAATACAAATATATCTGGGAATAGAGGGTAAAAGAAGTGTCATGAAGGGCACGCGGTCGTGAGCGGTAACTGCCGACTAGGACGCCGTCGTAATTAAGCTACGTGTTAGTGTGTACTGTGTACTGTAAACTCAAACACTTAGCGTTTAAGTAGCATTTCATTGTTATTATATATTAATAGAAATGCCTATAGCTGATAAAAGAAAAGGTGACGATATTTTATCGTTAGTTCCTGCTTCAAAGAAAACAAAAAATGAAGTTGTTTTTAGCAGTAGAGAAAAAGCTGTGGTCCAAAGTGTAAGTATAACCTACAATTTTTCTACTCTGATTTTTCAATAATTTAAATAGTTTAACGTTATTGTATTGGAAAACTATTATAAATCTCAATATTTAAAATCTGAAGTCAAATTTTGGAGTTTTGCTTTCGTAATTTTTCTTGGATTTTTTAAAATATGAGATAAGATTAAGAATTTTGCAATAACTATGTTCTTGTTTACCATTTGAAACTTCTTAGGGGCCACCAAGGACGTCATCGCTATTTGCTCCTATCATGCTCTTAGAAGGACATCAAGGAGAAGTTTTTGGTGTGAAATTTCATCCAGATGGTCAATATTTAGCATCTGCTGGGTTTGATAGACAAATCTGTGAGTTTTTAGTTTAAAATACTTTTTAAAAAATTTCTAAACATACATTCTGTTTCATTATCTTTTGAAATGTATTAATTTTCAGTTTTATGGAATGTTTATGGAGAATGTGAGAATATTTCTGTTATGTCGGGTCATAGTGGAGCAATAAGAGAGTTACAATTCAGCGTTGATGGGAACCACATTTATACAGCTGCCACGGACAAGACACTTGGTATTTGGGACATTGAAACTGGAGCAAGAGTTAAAAAGCTTAAGGGTCATAGTTCTTTTGTCAATTCTGTTAATGGAACAAGACGCGGAGTAACTCAACTTTGTTCTGGAAGTGATGATAGCACAATTCGTGTTTGGGACCCAAGAAAAAAAGGTCAATGCATCACTTTAAATAATACATATCAGGTATAGTTTAATTCTAATTTGTAAATTAAATTTAGTTTAAAAACTAGAAAATACTGAAATATGATTATATTCCTAGGTAACAGCTGTGACATTCAATGATACAGCTGAACAAGTTATTAGTGGCGGAATAGACAACGATGTAAAAATTTGGGATTTGAGAAAAAATGCAATCTTGCATAGAATGAGAGGTCATACTGATACAGTTACTGGTTTAGCTTTAAGTCCAGATGGTTCTTATATACTTTCAAATGGAATGGACAATGCACTGAGAATATGGGATATCAGACCATTTGCTCCTTATGAAAGGTGCTTAAAGGTGTTCTCTGGGCACCAGCATAATTTTGAACAAAATCTTCTGAGGTGTGCATGGTCATTGGATGGAACTAAGGTCTCTGCTGGTTCTTCAGATAGATTCCATTACATTTGGGATACAACAAGTCGACGTATTATTTATAAACTCCCTGGACATAATGGATCTGTAAATGATGTTGATTTTCACCCCAAGGAACCAATCGGTAAATATATTTCATCTTTTATATTGCCAATAATATTTTATTATATATCTAAAATCATCTTTTTTCTTTTGCTTTTAGTGTGCTCTGGTTCAAGTGACAAACAGATCTATATGGGTGAAATTGAAGCTCAAATATAAATATCTTAATGTTTTAAGAAAATTAAATTTATATGTTGTAAAATAGTTTTGAATAAGAATTTTGCCATAAGTAAATTGTAAATTCATTTCACATAAAAAAAAGATATAGAAATTGAAGAATAAGCATTTATGTTTTCAAGTGTATAAAATAATTGAGAAAATATGTATAGATGAGAACGAAGTTCCTGTGGGGAAAAATTCCTAATCTTAAATATCATTTCAATAAGAAATATTTTATCCTGGTTTTGGAAACAATGATTTATAGATTTATAAATCTACTTTCTGTATGCCAATAATGTTTTGCAGTTTACAAAACTAGAGTACAAACAATTATACAGTTATATATTTAATTTTGAATCAATGTATGCTTCTTTACTTTTTATCAATATTATGTCAATGTAGTTTAAGTCTGTGAAGTATTATCTTACAGTCATTTTTTTTATTTACAAATTTTTTGATGAAAATAAAAATATGCCAATTAAGAAAATTTAATTCATAAATTACTAAAACTGTTTGAATCAAATTTTGTATAGGGAATAATATTAGAGAAAGTATAAAATTGATGAAAACCATGTAGAACTTGAATTTGTTACGTTTGACAAAACTGGTGGTCCTGAAAAGGACCGATTTGAAATTTTTGGGATAGGAAATTTACTTGGAACTAGTGTATTTAGTAACAGCTTTTGTTCCTTCAGAGACAGCGTGTTTAGCAAGTTCACCAGGAAGAAGGAGCCTGACGGCGGTTTGGATTTCCCGAGAGGTAATGGTCGATCTCTTATTGTAGTGAGCCAGACGTGAAGCTTCGGCAGCAATGCGCTCGAAAATATCGTTAACAAAACTGTTCATAATGCTCATTGCCTTACTAGACACACCAGTGTCAGGATGAACTTGCTTGAGAACCTTGTAGATGTAAATAGCGTAACTTTCCCTCCTCTTCTTTCCGCGTTTTTTCTTATCACCCTTGGTGATGTTTTTCTGAGCTTTCCCTGATTTTTTAACGGCCTTTCCACTTGTCTTAGGAGGCATGATGATACTTTTAGAAGATATGTATATGTGATATACAAAGGACGACTAAGAATCCAATGAGGTGCCATAGCCAACGAAATTGTTTTATATAGTTCAGCATAAGTCCAGCGCACCAATGACAGACCGATTCTCCCACCACAAGTAAGAAATGCGCAGCTGTTTGTGCGCTGGTAGTCTACAAAAATGTATATAAGGGCAGAGCTGCACTGATTCAGCACAGTACTGTATAGTACGTTCATTCGTTCTAAGAGAAATTACCTGCTAAACTAATCGACATGTCTGGAAGAGGTAAAGGTGGAGGAAAAGTTAAGGGAAAGTCAAAGACTCGTTCAACCAGGGCTGGACTTCAATTTCCTGTTGGACGAATCCATCGTCTCCTTCGTAAAGGCAACTATGCCGAACGTGTAGGAGCTGGTGCCCCAGTATATCTGGCTGCTGTTATGGAATATTTGGCCGCTGAAGTTTTGGAGTTGGCTGGTAACGCCGCTCGTGACAACAAAAAAACTAGAATCATCCCGCGCCATTTACAACTTGCCATCCGTAACGACGAAGAATTAAACAAATTGCTATCTGGAGTCACTATCGCTCAGGGTGGTGTTCTGCCTAACATTCAGGCTGTTCTTCTTCCCAAAAAAACTGAAAAAAGCTCGTCTTAAATCATTTATAACTCCTACCATCTCAAAATCGGCCCTTATCAGGGCCACCAAATAATCACAACGTTTGATCTAATATTCTGACAGCCAACATTTTTATATAATTATAATTCTTTATGTTCTATAAAATAAAAACTGATTTATTGACTATTAATACCAATTTATTAGGTTATAACAATATTAAAAATTTAACTTCACATTGCCAAAGAGAAAATTAAAAAATAGATCAATACAACACATTTTATACGGGAATTCTATAAAACCTAGAACATAAAATGATTAAAAATTGGTGTAATTAGCGTCTTGGCGTAAAGAAATTCTGTAGATACATGGTTAATCAGAGGTATCTTGTTAAAACTAAAATTCCTCTTTATTTACATAAAATTTAATATAACCTCATTCACATTTAACCTTTAAATATTTTTTTTTCTATTTTCAATAAAAAACAACTGCGTTAATATAATTACTCAATTCCCTACGGTATTTATACTAAATAATGCCCAGATATAAAAATTTCTTTATTTGTGATTGAAATAGTAAATATCTATTATTATAAGTACAATAATTTAAATAAAAGAACTTGGAATCAGCTGAGCAACTTCCTGCAGAGTACCACCTATGTTTATGGAATATTCGAATATGAAACGAAAAAGGATAAGATTCTCTTATGTATACGGTCTATACTATTTCTACTGGTGGTGATAACTATGTATGTATGTATATACATTTAGTCATGTTAACATTAACATAACCAAGATGCCTTATCAATCGAATAGCTTTATTCTATCTAAGAAACATATGATGGTTGTCTTTTTAAGTATTGGACACTTATTTATTTATTTACCAGGGTATGCATTTACAAGATATAGTATATATCGAAATAAATATACATATTCATTACCCAACCCTGTAGTAGAATTAAATTTCACTTCACTGGTCTGGCTCATAATAAAATTAAAATTTATAATATTGCTCTGATCCCGTATACTCCCGTATAATACTATTAGACCAAGCAGATAGATGTGTTGATGTCTTTTAATGTTGTATTCATGTTCACCAGTACCTAATTAACATTTCTCTGACTTGTAAAATAACCTATAGCTGCTTTCTTTTCTCTTGTGTAAAATGATTTTTTCCATATTATTTAATTATGCCGGATATATAAATCTGATAGCACAAGTAACTTCATCATGAAACATTAATCTGTTATATAGTTATGTCACAATTGCAAGATGCTCTAAAAACTGTCAACTATTACTAAGTCTACTACTGGGTTATTCTAACGAATAGAGTTTGTGAAGATTTGTATTCCTTTTTTATCTGTATCAAAGTAGATAATATTGCTTTTTTTATTCAAGTAATTGATCAGTATTAAGAAAAATAGACTTGAGAGAATTTCAGATGACAGCATCCACTCATTTAAAAATTAAGTATTCATTTAAATTACTTTGTCATATAGATTTTGAGTTGAAAGCTAATGATACATTATCAGCATTATTTTATTAAATTATTTTATGTTAAACAATGAACACATTTTGATTATGTAAATGGAATATTTTGATTACTATAGATTATATTATTAAATCGGATAGATTTCGTGCGGTGAAACTCCCTGCTAATCGTTGAATTAGTAATAAAATTTCATATAGTAGATAACCTATCTATTTAATACGTAAATAATATATATTTACAACACAGTATTTGTATAACTGACTTTAGTACAAATAGTTTATTAAACGTTTAAAAATGTTGGTAGCCCTGAAAAGGGCTGTTTATTTTTTTTTTATTTATTTAGAAGGATGATTCATTTAACCACCAAAACCGTAGAGAGTACGGCCCTGGCGCTTCAGAGCGTAGACAACGTCCATGGCGGTGACGGTCTTTCTCTTGGCATGCTCGGTGTAAGTGACGGCATCACGAATGACGTTTTCAAGGAAAACCTTGAGGACACCACGGGTTTCTTCGTAGATTAAGCCGGAGATACGCTTCACTCCGCCACGACGAGCGAGACGACGGATAGCGGGTTTTGTGATGCCTTGGATGTTATCACGTAATACTTTACGATGGCGCTTGGCTCCTCCTTTTCCCAAACCTTTTCCTCCCTTACCACGACCAGTCATCTTGAATCGAGATAGAAGTAAGTTGCGTTACTATAAACAACGAAAGAATGATTTTGACTGAGGGAAACCTCGAGTTTTATTCACTTCGCAGGTGTAACCCCCTTCCACAAATTTTTAGCCAATCAGAGCACAAGCAATTGCTGTCTTTGTCTCACTCATGGTTCTCACTCCTCGTTAAAGTATTTTCGCGCGCTTTCATAAAGTAACGTCTCCCACCACTCTACATCTATCTAATCGCGATAGAATAATGCAAGTGAGTCTCCCTCCATCATAAAACTAACCAATCACAAGCATCAGACAAAATGAATATAAGAAATGTAAAGTAGCTAGCGCAGCACAGTCGTCTAGTATTTTCGACGAGTAGTAAGTGTTTTTGACTCGCATCGCCATGGCACGTACCAAGCAAACCGCTCGCAAATCCACCGGAGGAAAGGCTCCAAGGAAGCAGCTTGCCACCAAGGCTGCTCGTAAGAGTGCGCCAGCAACCGGTGGAGTGAAGAAGCCACATCGTTATAGGCCTGGAACCGTCGCTCTTCGTGAGATACGTCGCTATCAGAAGAGCACTGAATTGCTTATCCGCAAGTTGCCATTCCAGCGTCTTGTCCGTGAAATCGCTCAAGATTTTAAGACCGATCTTCGCTTCCAGAGCTCAGCTGTGATGGCTCTTCAAGAAGCAAGTGAGGCTTATCTTGTTGGTCTTTTTGAAGACACTAATCTCTGTGCCATCCATGCCAAGCGCGTCACCATCATGCCTAAGGATATCCAACTTGCCAGACGTATCCGCGGAGAACGTGCTTAAATTACAATTTCCCTTTTATTCAACGATATTAATCAGCCCTTTTCAGGGCTAACACGTTTTTTAAACGATGAACAAGTTATTAATTTGCTAAATTTTACTTTACTTTGTAATATAACATTAATTAAAAATAACATCTCATTATTCCTAATCCATATTTACATTCTTCATATTATACCTTCGCAGTGTACCTATAACCTAACCATGTGCTAGCAATAATAAAAAATTAATGGATTGTACTCCAAGCGTACTGCGGCTAATGACATTTACCATCACACCATTATATACTTTAATAAATAACCTTAACAGTCATTTTAACCACTTCATTTTTTCAAATATATGACTGACTTTTTATTAAATATAATGTATCAACGATGTACAAGAGAAAATTTAAGCGTATCTTAATATCAATCAATAGAATTTATCGCATCAGAACATTTTAATAGCCATAAAATCACATATATACGTCCTATAAGTCACTGTTAACATAACATTATTAAATAATTTAACGCTATGAATGATTCTGAGAGAATAACTGAATATTTAACATAATTAATATGAACAAATTTTTCTTTTCTGAGTTTATATTTTTTGTTAGGATTCAGCAAACTTATCATTTTAAAAAAAATTTATTTAACATAAAAAAAATAAAATTGAAGAAATTTCTGCTCATTTCATAGTACAAATACTAACAAACGAAATGTGACCTCCAAAAAGTTGTTCAATCTAACACTTAGTATCTTGTATAACATTAAATATTTTTTTATAATAGTGTTATTTTAGACCTTATGTAATGTATCTTTGAAATTTTAGAAATTACGACTAAGAAAAGTAAAGATTAATGGTCATTTATATATGACAAAAATTTTTGCAAGCAAACAAAGAATATAATTTTCATCGTTTAACATTTATCAGCCTCCTCATATCAACGTTTAAATCAATAAAAATAAAATATACCATTTTATCTTCCGTACGATCTTACCTTATTAAATTATACAAAACTGTAAGTTTAAATTAATATCTCGGTTCGAAAACAATTATTTCATCAAGAGTTTATCTCATTACCTATGGATTTTATCCAAAACATTAAAAGGTTTCGAGTTTTTTAATTTTTCATTAATTTTGAAAAATACTATATTGAAATTTATAAATAATAGCGTCTCCAAGTTTAGCATAAAATTCAAACGGAGTCGCCTTTCTTTATTTCACATCGTAAAATCTCAATTTGGCGGTTAGAGTGCAATGGTTCGATACCAACAAAACCTTATCGCGCAATATACAGCTAAAGCAAAATAGCACTTTTGAAAAATAGAGTTACTACGAACATTTATGAAATATTAGAAAGCTTTAAATATTTTTTAAGATTTGCATCAAATCCTAAAGTAATCGTACAAGCCATTGACGAGATAACTTTTTCGGAAATTGTCTTTTTTAAATAAACTAATTGATTTTGTTTTATTTAAACCCTTGGTATTTCAGGACAACTAAACTATAAACTGACTTTTTCCGGAGGTTTCTAACCAAAAATGAATTATAAACTATCTTTTTCCGGAAGTTTTTCTAACGATATAGTAGCTGTGTCAAGAGCTTGAAATCCTTCTTTCGGATTACCGTCACAATTTTACTTATTGATCTATATGAACCGCTGATAAATTAATCAATGCGCAAGATCTTAATCTTCGATACTAATTGCCATTTTCTTGAGTCCAATCTTAAGTTTAAATGGATCTGTTTTGTTGCATATAACAACTGTGACTTGACCTAGTTTCCGTTCTTTTCTTGTAGATATATTTCATAGATGAAGATCCTATTTTCATATAATTTTTTATTTGCTGACATGCTTTAATAGTCAAGTGACTATCGTTTCCAAATCAACAACAAATAAAGATATCACGAACTTCACAATCAACAAAAATAAAAATTTAAAGATTATTCGAGGCGTAACGCAATATAATTTATTAAATAATTGTAATATGTATACACATTTATCAACTATAAACAGGTAACTTGTACGCCCGATCTGTTTTATTCGCCAACTAAGGTGTAATGATCGAGGATGTAGTAAATTCTCATTACGTACATTCTAATAACGGTTTTCTTCTTTCCAATTCATTTGTATATTTACAATAGTACCAAGCAAAGTCGCCAATTGATTCATTACAGCACTTACTTTCTCTTTTACTTTTAAATAAATCTCATAGTTTTACTGGCGTGTGTCTTTCACTTCTTCGAATCAATCAGTACAAATTTCTTATATATTGTATTTTTTTGTGATGAAATCGCGACAGACGAAGAAGTACTCAACCAAACGCTCCCGAATGCACTTTCAATTGTACTTTGCATCTCCACTAAAGCCTTCTTTATATAATAGGTTACTCTGTAAGCATAGAAATTTCTGATTGACAATATAGTACTGCATTGAAATGATCAGTCAAATCAATAATACTTACTAAAGAAGCATCATTGACGGATTTTCCATTAAATTTTTGAAAGCAGTAAGCCATTGAGCTCCAACTGCTCCATCGACTGTACGATGATCACAGCTGGCAGTAACGCACATGTATTGGGCAGTATTGAAACTAAAAGAAATAAAATAAAATTTGTAAAAAAAACAAAATACTTCCCAACATAAATATTCTGAAGAAACGTAGTTACCCTCTGTCGTTATTGGCCGGTATCAATCTCGTTTCTGTCGTTCCTATCGCGAGAATGATGGACTGTGGTGGGTTGATGATCGCCGAGAAGTTCTTGATACCAAACATGCCAAGATTCGACACTGTAATAGTGCCACCTTGGAACTCGTGAGGCTGTAATTTACCTTCCCTAGCTTTTGCAGCTAAAGCTTTGACATCGCTGCTAATCTCAGAGATACCTTTGAGGTCTGCTCCAAAAACTATAGGTGTAATAAGTCCACTCTCTGTACTAACTGCTACGCTAACATCTACATGATCGTACCTAAAAAGACAATTTAGTATTATAAATCTGAATTTAGATGATAAATGAAGTCTTTTAAGACTTACTGTCGAATTTTGTCACCCAACCAGGCACTGTTACCCTCTGGCACTTTTTTGCAGGCCATCGCCATACCTTTGATAATAAAGTCATTGACACTGAGCTTTATCTTATCTTTTTCCAAAATTTTGTTAAATTGCTCTCTCATTGCCAGGGCTTTGTCCATTTTTACTTCGATGGTGAGATAGTAATGGGGTATCGTCTGTTTGCTTTCCAGAAGACGCTTAGCAATGACTCCGCGGATATTGGAAATAGGAATATCTCGTCCACCAGCTACAGCTACACCTGGTGCACCAGCTACTGCCATAGATGCTCCACCGAGATCTTTTGATGTGATCGAAGCATACAAACCGCTGCCTTTAAGACCCTGGAAATATATATATACATATGTATATTTTTTTTCTTAATTTAAAAATATTTTCTACAAAGTAAAGATGATATCGACAATTAATCTTACCGATAAGCTAAGTCCCTGTTCAGCAGCCAATCTCCTGGCAAGAGGACTGGCAAAGACTCTTTCTCCAGAAGTAGACAAAGATGACACAGGTGCTGCTGGAGCTGGAACTGGAGCTGAAGGTGGTGGTGGAGGTGGTGGTGCAGCTGCGGCAGCAGGAGCAGATGGTGTTGAGGAGGATGGTGATGGTGCAACAGATGAACCGTCATCTTTAAAATCCTTGAAGGCAGCTACACTTGCTTCGTCGGTGACAATTATGCACACTAGTCGGCCAATTGCCACGTTCTTTTCACCCGCTGGCACTAGGATCTTTGCCAAGTAACCTTCCTCTGGTGTCTCAAAGCCCATAGTCGCTTTGTCGGTCTCAATTTCCGCGAGCAGGTCGCCTTCGTTTAGCTTCTCACCTGGGAATTCGTTGATATTAATAAGCGTGTCAATCCTATATTTTTCTTTAAACTTTTGAATACAAATTATTCATCTGGAACATTACCTTCTTTCTTCTGCCAAGAAATAATGGTGCCTGTTTCCATAGTTGGTGATAAAGCTGGCAGTGGAACTCTGATATGATCTGGATAGTCTGCATAGTATCTTAATTTTTGTTGCCATGGTTGCACTGCTAACCTTGAACTTTTGTGGGGAAATGGCCTACCAAAGAATATTTATCTATTGAACAAGTCAACGAATTTTTTATAAAAGTACATTTAAATGAAAACACAATGAAAGCAAATAAATTGGCTCATAAAAATGTACTTTGCATACACTTCATAAGAAATATTTTCTAGTTTTCAATTCATAAAGCAAATAGTATTCATGGTTGTTACTCTATTACATAATTTTGTTTGTGTATTTAATCATTTCAGAAAATTTTGTTGTTTTGATTTTTAACTAACATTTTGATTTGCAATCTAATACTGACTCATAAGAAACGCTAATATTCTACCAACTTTTGCCACAATTTTAAGCAAGCATAAATTCATGTTGAGCAAATTTCATTTATTCTAATTATCGTATAATTAGAGGAATAAGTTAGAAAAGAAAATTTAAATCGATATTAAAATTTCAATTGAATATTACAAAGCATTCAAAACAGAAAAAAGAATATAAATAAATCGTCAAAAATGATATTCAAAGACTGAACAATTTGCAACCTGAAATGACTTCCTGTACCAAAATTATGACATACATGTCAAATGTCAACTTCATATCACCCACAACGTGGTAACGATTCGCGGTTCTATACGACGTACCGCAGTAGTCGATTAAGTAAAATCATCGTGATAACAGTAAATCACTAGAGAAACGACGATGGTAATTGTGCAAGAAACGAACCCGGATAATTCTAACCTCACTTCGACCGTCACATCACATCACATCTCCCTTAAGCCCCTCAAAAAAATCTCAACTCTCATTAAATTAAAAGAAAAGAAATCGGATCATGCAAGCTGTTTACCTCTGCTGGTGCTTCCTGTGTAGGCACTGAGTGCCAAGACACCTTACGATATTACTCCGGACGGTGGTACGAAGTGTTGCTTTCGCAAGCTCGTGACGTAAATTCGCCGTCGTCCTTAACATGTTGTTTCTGTCTCGTGAGAAGCGCACTGGTTTCGACCGCACAAATCAAAATCTTTCTCGCGAGTTTTCCTTCTCGACGACGACGACGACGACGAGAACGACGTTGAGAATATAAATTCCTCAGATGGATCGCGCGCGCTCTTCTCTCTAACACCAGCAGCAGATATTTAAGGTCGTCTGCAAGGTCACGTGCCTCTCGCGCCACTTGAGGCGCGCCGCAGCGCGAAAATACAAAACTCACCAGAGTACTGTAGACTAGGAGCGCGGTAAACTTTTCCGAATGGCAGCTTGCGCTTAGTTTTCTCTCATCTGTCAGTTCACTAACTCTACGCGTGCGCTCAGTTGAATCAAGGAAGTGAATTTTATCAGGCGACGTTGTCACTTACTTGGGATAACATAGCCGCGTAGTCTTGATAATTCCACGTTTGATGTTTTGACATCTGTGTGCGTATTACTTCCGTTGTAATCACGCTATGCTCTTCTTTATCAGTTGATCCTCTGGAATGTCATTTATTTATTTATTTATTCGTTAATTTAATCTGATATGATACGCGACAGCAAAAAACAAAATACAAACGCAACTTTTGTTTGCAATGTTTGGGGAATACGAGTTTGCAAAATCAGCAAAAACGTACTTTTTATAAAACGAAAAATAACATTAAGATAATGGAAAAGGCGAAAAGAAAGTCGAAAGCAAGTAAAACTGAAGTTATTGAGCGCGAAGTTGTTAAACAGGGGATAGGCTCGTTTAATTTTTCGAATGGCGACTCGTACGAGGGCCGATACATGATTGTAAATAAGAAGGAAATCTATCGGCACGGTAACGGGAAAGATAACCCATCGAGAGTTACTTGCTGAGTTATATAATTTTGTTTAGGGTACGGCATTTACAGAACTTACGACGGAGACGCGTACGAAGCAGTTTGGGATAAGGATACCGTATGCTCCAATTTTCACGCAACGTGAGTAAAATCTTTCTGATTAAATATGGAGGAGTGAATCGAATGCCTCGATCTCATATCTGCAACCAATTAGCTACGGCAACAAAGCCGAGTACATAGGCGAACTCGACGAACAAGGCGCATTCAGTGGTAAAGGAACCTACATTTTCCCAGACGGTACTTCTCTAACTGCAATTTGGAAGGACAATCATCCGCGTTCGGACTTCATTTACACCGATCCTCTAGGACATGAGTGGTACGGCAGGTCATCGAAAAGCAACCAAGTAATGTTATATTTTTTACAAAGCAAAATATTTATTTCACAGTAATAAATTCGAAAATAGCTCTCGTTATTACAAATAGAGTACAAATTGATTTATTTTTATTTTTCATCGACGTAGAAAAGATCTACACAACAGTCGTATAGTGTAACAATGTACAAAGAATGACTTTTCCTTGACGTACTTTGCTTCACAGGAGGTGATCTTCGCGCCCAAGAATTGCATCTGGGCTTGATAACAGTAGAGAGAAAACAACGGGAATTCAAATACGCGACACTTGTGAAAATTTATCGCTGTACATTCAAGAAAAAGTCGTGTTGGTCCACCGGGAGGAATAAAACATTTATTGCGCATTCACAACGAAATTTTGGCTGTGTATTTGACACTTCTTGCTTGCTTTTTCGTTTTTGTTGCTTTTGCAGCGAATCATCCTTGCACGGATAATATCTTACATTTGTAATGAGCTCTCGGGGTTATCGGCTAAATTACAGAATTCACACCTTTAAGAACCCTAACTATACGCGTACACGAGATATCAAAGATACGAGGGAAAAGAAGGAGAAAACGCGCCTCGTCGTCCAGCGACTTATAACTACGACGTGTGGTTACATCGAAGGCAAGGCGATGGCACTTAAAACATCGCGGAAGACTCGGGATAAGTTTTCGCGCAACGTAGATTCGCGAAGGGAACAAAGACGTTGCCGCTGTGCGTCGTTGAGCTTCGCGTATAATAGATATGCGTGTTTTTCGAGCGTGTACTTTCCGTTTGTACGTTCGTCTTTGTTTTGTTTGTTTCGCGCAATATTCGTCGAAGATATGTGTGCATTAGGGCTTCCTCTCGGAGCTGGAGACGCGCCTTGCGAGCTGCTGATGAATGACACCACTGGGCTCGTCCTCGCTGCCGCTGCCGCTGCCGGCGTTGTCGAGCTGCGGTGTCAGCGTCGTCTGTGGGTAGGCGTTATTGGACGGCGCCGCGTCGTGCACTAAACCGTTCAGCAGCATTTTCGCGCACTTCCACGGGAACATCCTGCCGACGCGGAAAAGCGGGGGCATTTAGTCGGCGAGTTCCTCGCGCGAGCGACGACCCGACTTACCATTTGGCTGCTAGCAATACTTGTAAATAACTTGGTATGATGGCGAATTTGTCGTCGCACCGCATGGCCGAGACAACGCGATCGGCCACCTCGTTAGGGCTAAGGATCGGAATAAACCTGCGAAGAAGATGAAAGACATTAGACATTTACTTGGCATGCACACCACGACTTCATTGGAAACATTCGTACTCGCTACACAGATGGTATTTTAAGAGCATGAACGCGAACAGCAATCGCGAGTTCGTGAATGATGAAGCTTTGGTGTTGTTTATTTATACCTCGCATTCGAGCAAACACATAGCGTATTCGACTGTCGGTTAAACAACATTTGAAACGAGAAAGCTTGTTTAGACACTTGCAACGAGTATTCTCACAAAAGCAAAGCATTACCTGTCGGATATGACTATTTCACCTCTGTAAAGAACAATGTTTGCGTTGTATTATCATTTGCACGCCAAAACGGATTGCTCGCGCCAATTATTTTGAGCAGGAGCGAGGGAGGGGGGGGGAGGAGAGAGAGAGAGAGAGAGAGAGAGGAGCGAGCAAGCATTGGTGCGACACTCACCTGGCCATGACATCATCGAACATGCCGGTGCTCTTGATGAAGAACGGACATATCACAGTAGTCTTGATGTCGTATCCATCGGCCTGTCGAAACGCAACAGTGTTAGAGCTGGCAAACGAGCGGGCACGCGAATCGCGCGCTCCCTTCGAGGCACATTCGAGTCGTTCTCAACGCTGGACCGCGCGAATCGCACGGCTCTCTCTCCGCAACTCCGACGTGACCTTTCTCGACGCGGACAATTTCCATGGCGCCAGCGACAGCGCACACGGCCTTCGCTGTCCTTGCGAGGCGCGAGAAATATCGACAATGCCAAGCCGGCGTCAGATCCACGGAGTGTCCGAGTGCTTGGTTTTCTAGGTCAGCGGCACACACACCTCGGCGCGCCGTCGCGTCTGCCGCTCGTTCGGCGAGATGCGGCGCTCCTCGCCGCGCGCGCTCGAGCGACGAAGCGAAGAGGGTATCGCGGAGGAGCCGCGCTGGAGCGTCCATTCGCCGGCCTTTGTCCTCGTCTCCGATCGCGGCACTCACCTCGAGCTCCATGCGCAGCGCCTCGTCGAAGCCCACGGCAGCGAACTTGGAGGTGGTATAGTCGACGAGCTTGGGGCAGCCGACGTGTCCCGCGAGGCTGGCTATGCTCACGATGTGACCTTTGTTCTCCTTGAGCATCGCCGGCAGAAAGGCCTTCACCGTCTGCGCAAAAACATCTGGATTAGCGACCTGCTTGTGCACGACTCGATCCTCGGACGGATCGCCGGGTCTCCTTGTCGTCGTTCTCTCGGGTGAGCTTGCCTTGGTCAACGTTGGCTCTTGTCGATTGCTTGTCAACTCTGGCGGCTGCACGCGCCTCGCGCGAACCTTCGCGAACGAAGAACCAACCCGAGTTGTAAAATACGCGTGACGGGCAGGATGCGAGTCGTGAGAGGTCTTCTCGACGCGCGAATCGCCTCTTTTTTTCCTTTCTTTACCGGCCGACAGAACGGGAATGAAACGGACGCGAGATAACCGCCGTGGAATTCGAACATGTATCGAAAACACGTTCTAGCCGACGACGAAAGACCCGAATTTCGATGCTGCTGCTGCTGCGACTGTTGTATTTTCATACGCGAAATAAAAGCGAGATACGGAATGAAGGTCAGCGAGAGGATACTGGTTTCTCGTGTTGACGTCGAAATCGTTTAACGCCTCTCTCTCTCTCTCTCTCTCTCTCCCTCTCTCTCTCTCTCTCTCTCTCTCTCTCTCTCTCTCTCTCTCTCTCTCTCGTTCTCTGGCTGGCGTAGTGCGACTCGTCGTGAAAAATTGGCCGATGAGTTACCGTTACGACTCCGCGTGCGGAAGAAGCTTCGCGGGGATAAGTAGATCATAACCGGCGAGACGAATGGAGAACATTAATCGCGTACTTCGAAGCTCGTCCCCTCCGCTCGGTTGCTCTTTTGGATCGTCCATTCGCGAGCTCAAGCTGCTCGGTGGAATAGAATTCGATGGCTGATTTAGTTGCCGAGCATTTACGCGAGGCTTGGGCGGCGAGTTCGCGCGAGGTGCAACGCTGCCCCTCGCGCGGTCGAGCCGACGGCCCCGAAAGCGAAGCCGGGCCGACGCGTCAAGCATCGGGACGCGTCGGTCGTCTAGAGTCTACCGATATCGTTTGCGCCCGATACCGGTTTCGCGGCTGCTACCTGCAACTGAGCCCAAACACGGAATGCCGTTCACCGCGCACGCCTCTATTGCAAAGCGACGAATTCTTTCTTTCTTTCTCTCTCTCTCTCTCCTCTCGTGGTCCTTGAATGCTCGTACGCGCCACCGAGTTCGGGAGAAAGGGAACTCTTTTCATTTTTTCCTTCCTTTTTCGAGCATCTAGCGCGCCTTTTTCTCTATCCTCGCCGCGTTTCGCCGGGCAAAATAGCGCTCTTTTGGACGTCGGAAAACACCAAGCGACTTACCCAGAAATGACTCATGACGTTGACTTCCATCGTGCGGATGATCATCTGATCGGGAGAATCGAGGAATTTCCTGCCGGTCACGACTCCAGCGTTGTTCACGAGGATCGATACCTGCAATGAAGAAGCGTCAGCTGACGATTGGCCACGATTTCTGCGTCCAATTGGGCGATCGCGATGGAGCTGGCGCCGAAAATCCACTCCCGATGGAAAAACGCGCGATCCCGCAGTGCTATACCTGCTTTGCAATTCACGCGCATTCGAATCGACGGCGGCGGACAAGAAAGTTCATTCGGAAAACAAGACAAGAAAAAACTTCGCATTCTGTGCTTCGTCTGTCTCGCAGAAGGAAAAAGAAAAAGAAAAAAAAAAAAAAAAAAAAACTGGCGTGCACGCGAGAGCTGTTTAGCGTGTGCACGCGTGTATCTCGCAACCGCGCGGCGAGCAACTTTGGCGCAACAGCCTATTGCACTTTCGCAAGCGCCGCGAAACGCTCGTATCCGATGGGGCTTTTATCTCCCGCGGCGCGGCTGCACTGTCGCGGCCCAACGAGACTCGACTTTTCGGTCTTTCCCCGTGTTTTTCCGAAGCCGCTTTCGGATCGGTGACTCGGGCACGGGCAGCTGTAAATCCTCGCGTTGATGGGCAATCAGAGCCAGCGGCGAGCGCGACGACTCCGTGGAGCGGATCCACATTGGACGTCCGATCCGTCGACGCAATCCAGGTCGCGATATCAAAAAGCCGAGCGAGCGCGCGCCCACGTATCAATTACACGCGGCGCGGTATATCAACCGTGACAGACGAATAATGAACTTGCCTGAGAAATTTATGAAAATCAAACGGCTGGTGGAACAAAGAGAGCGTGACCATATTCTCTTTTCCAAAAAACTAGAAACGCGCCGACATCCATTGGGCGCAAGATCCGCGGGCGCCATTATCGAAGTATACCGTGACGCGTGGCAAACGCACGCGAGCAATTAAAAGAAAAATAACAACGATGATAATAACAAGGGGAAACGAGGCGCGCATTCAAGTTCGTTAAATGGTGCTGTAATAGTGCGCCGGCGGCCGTAGTGCTTTCACGAGGAGCGCGTTTAACGGTCGTACCCGTGTGCCGCGAGTGTCTTCCCTCTCCACTCGCGGGCGCCGGTGTCCGATGACCGAATTCGATGCGAGAGACTCGGGGCTCGCGCGATTTTTCCGCGCCTTCCCGGCGAACCTCGAGGACGACTCGTGGCGCTTTCCTACGGGCGAACAAACGGCGGCGGCGGCGGCGGCGGCGGCGGCGGCGGCCTCTGTCCTCTCTCGCGGCACTGTGGTAAAAGTGAAATTCACTGGACGCGCACGCGCGAAGGCTTCTTTTAATGAAGGGCTCTCCGATCTCGATCGGATGGATACGCGGCCGTAAGGCGCGCTCACGAACGGGGAGAAACGCGCGCATACCAAGGAAATCGTAGCGGCGCGTCGATTCGGATGCTGAGATAACGAGGCTCGCCGATTGCGCAGTCGATCGCGCCTAATAAGCCATTGTGTTAGTTGCGGCCGGAAGAAAAAAAAAGAAAATTCATTCGGCATGCTCGTTAATCAAACGACGTGGAATCGTTGATCATTTTTTTTTTCCTTTACATCGGCGAAAAGAAGGTTGAGAGTCGTGGAAAAAATCGATGAATAACTCACTCGTCCGACTTCTTTATCGAGCAGAGCTGCCTTCTTGTAAACGTCCTCGCGATTACATAGGTCACAGACGTAGCCGTAGCACGTGCCTCCCGATGATTTGATCATCTTCACCGTTTCGTCCAGTCCTGAAATAAGAGTCACACAGGTCAATCAGCTAAACGGCAGTACCGCCTCTGAAGCGCAGGCTCGACGAAGAAAAGTATCGCCGCGCATCTCCGCGAAATCTTCGGCGTAGTCGGAGCTGCGGTTAACCGTCGTTTTGTCGAAGTAGCGGCTGTCGCCGGCCATAAGGACAGCTGCTTCTTCGTCGTGTTCGCGGTGCCGCTGGCTTTTTTCTCCGTCGGTCTGCGGCTGAGGGCTAAAACGGTCGACGATCGCGATTCGCGACGCACGCGAAGGACTAGGCACTCCCATGCGCTAATCCTTCATTTCTTTTTCCCAAGGCGAAACGGAAGCGAGGAGCACCACTTGATTACGACGCCGTGACGGGCGTAGGAAACGCGCTCGGCTTTCTACAATAGCCGGAATTCCGACAGAATTATCGGCAACTGTGCGCAAAACACGATCCACGATGGAAGAAAAGAAGAAACCGACCTCGTGGTTTTGCGATTGCACACTGCATTGCCGAGGCACCGATTACACCGTGCGCTAATTTTTTCCTCTCTTCGAGCACTCGCTACCCTCGATGGAGTTGGACCTTGGGATAAAGCAAAGTCACTCGTGGCAGCGAGCTTTTTCGGCGAGTCGCGACCTTGAGCGTCGTTCCGCAGATAAGTCGTCGTCTCGATCGAGCGGGCCTTATCGAGAAACGTGGCGCCTCGGCGCGACGCGGTCACGGTGTCAACGAGTGCACAGACGAGTGACTTTGATCAATCGCGAGCGCACCAAGAAGGTCAAACGCGCTCGATAAGATCGGTGGGGCGCCGCTTATTAATAGCGCTATCGATGCGATTTTGCAAGATCGCAGCGATCGGTCCCGCGAAGTAGCCTTGACGACTGCATATAATGAGTCGCTTAGCGCGATAAGCTATTACGCAAAAGCCTGAATTCGGAGCGCGGCCACTCGCCGATCTCCTCGTAGCACACACTTTCGCCTATGTCTGCGTCGCGTTCGGCCTACGAGGATCGAGCGACCTCGAGGCAACCGGCCGTCAAAGCGTCAGGCCCGAGCACAGGTCCGCCAAATTGCTCGGAGCCACGAGTCGCGCGGACGGCGAGCGCACAGGGCCACTCCGTCGTCGTCCGCGCGAGCTGCTCCGCGCAAGCTCGCGCGCGCGCTCTCCCCTTGGCTGGGCGGCCACGCGGGGATCAGAGCGGGGTCGCGCGCGCGAGCACGTGGCGCGGTGGGCCGCGGGAGGGCGCGAAAAGCGCCGTCGGCACGAACCTTGCTTGTTGACGTCCCAGACGACGACGATGGCGCCCAGCTCGGCCATCTTCTGGGCGATGAGGCGGCCGAGGCCGCTTCCGGCGCCGGTCACCAGGGCGATCTCCCCGGCGATCTGCTTCATGCGGTACTTGCGCGGGATGAGCGCCTTCACCAGGCCCTCGATGATCGCCGCGACGGACAGCAGCAGGAAGCCGAGCACGTCGCCCGTCGACTTCAGCCACGACATCTCGGCGCTGGTGCCTCGGTGTCTCTGCGGGGCTGGGGCTTCCGCGCCGCACGCTAGCCGGGACGCGAGTGCGCGCGCCGGGGTGCAGGCTGCTCGCGCGATCGATGCGACCACCGCGCTCCTCCCCCCTTCGCGTGTGGTGCGCGCGCGCGCGCGCGCGCGCAATCGCTCGCCTGCACAGCTGCCGCCGCCGCTGCTCGCCCGCCGGTTCGCTCCTCGATCTGCACATTCAAACACCCTCGTTGGAACACACTTTCGACGTAGAGCTGCTCTACATTGCTTTGCCTTGGGATCGAGATGAGACGTCGACTGTCGTTTCTACGTGCCCTTGAGCGCTCGATGGGCTTTCGTCTCGGCAGTGGAGGATCGGACGACATTGGAATGACACACGCCAAAGAAGCTTTTACGTGGAGCGGTCGAGCCGACTTTTTTCGTCGACCGAACCGGTCGTGCAAAAAATTTTCCATTCGAGTTGATCGCGGTCAAATCTCAATATCAGTTTGGCCATCGCACAGTCGATGACAAAGGACGCTTGCACGTTTAAGCGCGCGCGTGCGCGCGAAACTTTCGGCGACAATTTCTCTGCCCCGGAGAAACAACGTCAGCGTCCGTCTCGTTTCACAAGAGTCGCCGATAGCGATCACGCGCGCGCGCCTGCCTCTAGAATTTCGGGTACGATGAAAAGTAAAAAAGAAAACAAAAGAGTGGAAAAAAGTGAAAACAAAAGCGGCACTGCGCTGCTTATTACAATCTGGAACTGCGGCCGGTCGCTTTCTAACGACTCCAACGGAACTTTCGTTTTCGCCCGATTTCATATGCGTCGGGTTGCTTGTCACGCGCGCGTTTCGTTCGTTCACGCTGCAGCGACCACGAAAATCGCGCGTGCACCATTGTCCGTCGCGCTCCATCGAGCGCCCGTTACAGCGAAACGCGTAATCGCCGACTTGTCGGGAAAACGAGAAAGAGAGAGAGAGAGAGAGATGTATTATTTGTTTCCATTTAGAGTCCTTTTATGTCCCCGCAGGGTAATTGCGTGACGTAATGGCGCATCATTTTGAAATGGATTTCAAAACCATCACCTAGGAGCTTCGATGAACGGCGCTGGGAGGGATTCGTTGAATATCGTGTTGGGAGTGCAGCGTCCCATCGGCCGTCTCGATTACGACACGCTATCGACGAGGAAGAATTGGGAATTCGCGCGATCATTGCGCAGCACAACGGTTTATGCGCATTTTTCTTCGCCAGCGCGGAATGAACGACCTAGGCGACGCGCGCCGAAAAGTCGTTTTTCCGCGTAATCAAAGCGTCCCGTCGCGAGGCGGAGAGGGCGACGCGCATTCTCGGCGTTTCCCAATCTAGCTGCGCCTCTTCTCGAGTCATTCCGCCAGCCGCATCAATTTCCATTGGGCAACGACTACTCGTCTGCAGGTGCCGCGCTTGATTATCGTGCGGAGAGAAAGGAGAGGATAATAGACTTGGCAAGCGTGTTACGATTCGAGCTGCAGTTGCGCAAAAAACCAACTGGGTGCGGAGACCATCGAGCGAACGGCGTTTACTGTTTGCTGAATAATCACACGCACTCGGGATCAAATCGCGACTCTGCGCAAGATTTCGATTGGCCGCGAAGTAAATAAGTATCAACGGCAATTTATTCATTTATTTTTTTGTTCAATTTTTTACATGTATCGGCTAGTTTTCTCGGGCGTTCTAACGACGGAGGAGGAGCAACATATACTGTGTTCGCAAGTTGACACGCGTCGCCTGCTCAAAGTTAACATTATCTTTATCGACCGGTCGTCGAATCTACATTCGTGTTATCGTTAAAAAACATTGGCGATGGACGAATAAACAATCCACTTTGCGCGAAAGCCGATAAGGTGGCGAAGGCCGCGCGAGCCCACGTCGATCGCCGCTGGAAGGACTATCCGGCGTCGTAATTGACGTCGTCGGCCGAGGACGTCGATTCGGCGAGGGCAGAGACCTCCCGTGAACGTTGTGCCTCTTGGCGATGGCATCGGCGACTCGCGTCAAGCGAGCGAGAGACGGGATGGTTCACCGCCCAGCTGCGCGTCGCGTGCGCGAGCCTCTCGTGTGGCTCTCTCAGCGTTGGATTGCGCAATGCCGCGCGTCGCGCGCTCGTGACGCGAATTCCTCGGTGCGGCGAACCGTCGTCGACGAGCCTCGACGTCGCGATTTTACTTTCGATTCGGCGTCGTCGATCGGCGCGAAAGCGAGCCGAGGTCAAAGCCGAACTGCACAGACGCGCGGCGCCAAAGGCGAACGCGCGCGCATCCGTGCGCTGCTGCATACGGCGCAGAGAGGCTGCGAGACGAGTCGCCTCATTCCGCGCGCGCTCGTCGTCGTTGTTACGGCGAGACGCGACCCGCGGAGGCTCATACTCGCGTCGAACGCGAGATTGTCATTGTGAAAGTTTGCGGGCGCTTAGATGCCGTACGGATTGGTGTACGCGGGACGTGTTTGTGGAACAAATTCGGCGCGCATCGCTGGGAGCCAGCGAGCAGCTTTTACTTTCAGCGTACGCCTCGAGGATCGTCATTTGCATGCGGAATATCGCGAGTTGTCGCTCGAGGGCGCGCGCGCGATAAACGGCAATTCATAAGCGAAGCCAAAGCGAAACGCCGACGAGAATACGCGCGAGAGAGCCAATAACCGATACGCCGACGCCCAGAACAAAAAGGAGGCGCGATCTCTGCCGCAAAGTAGATGCGCTCGCCGTTAACTTTCCTCTGGTATACGTGGCGCTGCTGCTGCTGCTGCTGCTGCTGCTGCTGCTGCTGCGCCAGAAGTAAGCTAATCGCATGCGAAGCGAACGCAAAAGTGGCGAATTAGTCGCTCCTAAAATTGCACACGAGGCGCTTGGGTAATGGTGTGTTTGGTTTGCTGATGAGTTTTCGTCCGCGTTGTTTCCGCTCGTACGCGCGCGATCAATTTTCACAGGCGCGCGCGCACACCTGCGATTCACTTCATGCGGTGTAATTTTGCCGCGATGCACGCGTACGCAGCCCAGTGATTTTATGACGCATTAGAACCATGTCGGCGGTGTAATTACCCGAGAAAGAAAAATGTCGCAATCGTCTCATTAAATTTTTTTTTTCCTTCGTCGAAAACGGAGCGCGCAAGAAATGTAATCCAAACTTTCGAGTCTTGCATATCGCAACGGCACACGCGTTCACCTTGAATCCTCCGAAAGTGTAGGTACATTTACATGGCTAGTTATACCCATAGATATGGCATCGCGCGCGCGTTCGGGAATTAAAGGCAAGATTGGAAAATCGATTCCTTTCGTTTTCCCCAATCGCCGGAAATCGCTCGTGCACCTGCCCGCGTGTTGCAACCGTCTGATATCTCTTGCGTGTGATCGCGGCAAAAACTGGCCAACGCGCGCGTGCACCAGTTTCTTACCGCGCGCGCGCGTATAGCTCCGCTTTGGGTTCCGTCCGAGATGCCAACGAGATGACTTTTCTATTTCGCTCGTCGCGTGACATTCAAGACACCGCTGGCCGGTCGCTATATGCGACATCATAATGTCGAGCCGACGGCTCGGAGCGGATAAACAGAGGAAGTCGCGTTCGCCCGAACGGTTTTCTCGTTTGTGTTTCACCGCGGAAATCGACCTTTGCACGAGACTCGAGGACGCGCGCGCGAAATTTTCAGAAAAAAAGCGAAAAAGACAGGCGAGGAGTTTCTAAATGGGGAATGCGCGCGACGACGTTTCCTAATCAAACATCGCCGGGAGATAAACACGGCTACCACGCTGGATTCATTTTTTTCTCTCTCGAAGAGAAACGCTATAATTACAAAAGATAGAAACCACGCGGGATAATATGCGAAGAGCGTTCCATCCGCGTTTATGAACGGGCTGTGTACACACGCGCATCATCATCACCATGATCGTCGTCTGCAGATGCGAAACGTCTCCTCTCTCGTCCGCTAAGTAGCACGACATCTCTCCGACTCTCGGCTGTCGATCAAATTGGAAGTTAAGCCGCCGCGGTGCGCTTTGTAATTGTGGAGAGCTTTCGCGCGCGCGATCTAAGTGGCCCAACGACGCGGAGTCACGTGTTTGGCAATAACGTCAGCCGTCGGAGAACCATTAGCGATTTACCGAGAGCTTTCTCCGCGAGAAAACAATGGAAAAGATAAACCAGCAACGAGATCTTCCAACAGAGTTCGGCTATCCTAATTCGAAGCTGACGAATTCGCGGACGGGTTCGGTTAAACGGCAAGCCGATTCGAGGACGAAGAAAAAAAAAAGAAAAAAAGACGGGTCCGGCTCGTGTTTTTTTTTTTTTTTTTGCGGAATAGGCTCAATAATGTGATTGGACAGGTTTTTTTAGTAAGAGGAGATTGCAAGATATCATTTCAATTTGCAAGAGTCTACTAAATTGAAAAAAGAAGAATAAGAAAAATCGTCCGATGGTTCAACAAACTCATTTTAACAGATATCACGAGTGTCCCAATCCGCAAGCACTTTCCAAAATAGCCAATGTGCATCACTCACCAATCGTTAAAAAACACACTGATCGACGTCTTCTCCCAAATCAAGCAGAAGAAGGAAAAGCCACACACTGAGTGTATCCAGGCCACGAAAGAGAAATAGCAAATCTTGTTCCTTGCTTATATATAGTGTCGCAAGCGCGTACGAGCAAATTGTAACGGCGAGTGAGTGAGCGAGCGAGCGAGAGAGCGAGAGAGAGAGAGAGAGAGGGCCAGTCCTGCTGGCGCTGAGGCTTGCGATGGACTGAAGTTATAATATGAATCGAGCCGCGCACTGCTGCCCGAGAGAGAGAGAGAGAGACTCTCACTCGGCGCGCGCGCGGCTGCAGTATGGGGTCGCGACGCGACCGCTTTCATTTTAACAGGGGGATGACCCCCCCAGTGGTGGTAACTGCCGACCGCGTGTCGCTTCTCTCGGGACTTCGTCTTTCACTAGCCATTGTTGGTAAATATATATCAATATCGCGGCCAATTGGTAGCGGGAGAAAGCTTTTCGCGGATGCGTCGACGGCCGTTCTTCCGTTATTAAATTTGTACGTTAACGCGAGGTAAGCTCCCCCCTCTCCAAATGAGAGGACAACATTGTGAAAGACGCAAAGAAAAAATGGTAAAAACGTCGATAACTTCCGAGGTAAGCGGTCGAAGGTGAACGAGCGCACCTTACGGTGGCCAGGACGAACGCGATCGGCGCTGCAAATTGTCGGCTAACTGTCGCGAAAAATTGGGCTAACGATAACACAACAGTGTCCGCTCGACGTTGCCTATGCCAACGAATCCCAAGAGCAGGCACGGGCGTCATTAATTTTTTTTATTTTCTTCATCCGTCCGAATTCAGTCGTAATGACAAGCTTCTACGAGTTTGTCGTCGCTACAACGGCTGGGCAAGTATGTCGAAGGCTCGCTATCAACCACTATCTCTGGAGAATTCGACCGAGGTGTTTTTCATTTTAATGTCGTACATGATTAATAATATGCATCACCATAGCTATTCATTCTCATTTCTATATAATTACATAGATTACAAAATGCATTAAACGTTTTATTTAACTTTTGACAATTGATTTAGGTTAAATGATCGAAATACGCAAAAGAAATGTTCTTCGCCATAATATTTCCAAATTGTCATCTTCTATTATCTACACTACCTACATTATACCTATATATGTAATAGCATATAATCTTTTTCCTACCCATGATTTAGAAAATGTTCATACTTGACGGGTATTTACGGTAGAAGGTTTGTATAAAAATAATAATGTATATGGATGTCATAATTTAAAGGAATAAATTTTTAATTGCATTATTATTACTTTTCGTTCATAGATAACGGCAAGTAGGTTCGGAAATAAACAGAAGTTAAGAAAATGATTGTAAGTTTTATTAAAAATTTGTAATAAATGGGAGTTAACGAAGATTCAGTTTCAAATTTGTAAATAATTGAGGTTGAAAGAAACTTGCGTACTATTTTAAAGTAGATGAAAAAATAAAAAAAAATGCCGGCATAGAATTAAACATCATTACATATGCCACTATATTCCTTAATATATTTTCTACAAAAAGTTTTCACGACGAATATATAGTCCCAAAAATCTAAAGGTATACTTGCCTAAATTAACTTCGTGAAATTTGCTAAATGACGAGTCGTACATGCTCTTCAAGAAAAAGTAAAGACCCTTCGCAATTGTTCATTCGTCTCTTTGGACTGATATCGAAACGCATTGCTACTTTCATTGGCATTCCCATGAAATACTTACAGAAATAACTTTTCTGAATTCGTCATGACGCACAATCACGCAAATCTGAGAAACAAGACAATGTCGCGTACCGAATAGAAAGATAAACCATGACCACTAAACGGCATGCGTAATAATTCACCGTAACGGAAGTAACATCTCAGGCCACTTTCCAGACTTCTAGAGTTCTCATTTTCACCGTAAATTAGTTGTCACGAACAGTCTTCCGTGACGAAAGCATCTCTCTGAATAATACACTGACCGAACTACCGCGGCACCGTCATAAGCAAAGAACCAAAGTGAAAATTGTCGGGCTATGAATCGGTCCAGGGAAATTTCGGATAACCAATGAATGGAAAATGTAAGCGCTCTTTTTCTCTTTATTCTGCTTGTCGCTTGATGTAACAGTTGATGTAACAATCATCAACCTTATTTCCGACGCAATCTCATGATGAACGATAAATGCAATTACTAAACTTCACGCGCTAATTTATCGTCGAGCTATTATACGATTCTGCAGCATTCTCTTGCTTATATTCGATTGTGAAAAAGTTTCTTGAAAAAAAAAAAGAGAAATTACTTGAATCTAGGACGTTCGTTGCGTTAAAAGTCGCTAGAACAACATTTTTATTAAAAAAAAAGAGACATTGTTGTAATCGTCTGATTCATCGTCCACTGAAATAATGATTATCACGAATTTTGTGTCATCAATATGAGACATACCAGTCGAAAGTACAAAAAATCTCGATCGAGATTTCATAAACTGCCTCAACGTACGCAATGTCTGCGAAAAATATGTCGCTCGCGCAACGAAATACATAAACGCCCTTGACCCCAATGCGTTCGCCTAATTATTGCAGGTGTGCCTCCGTAGGATCTATGTACGCGACCTCGCGCCGAAAATTCTCGTGGGTAAGAGATTTCATTGGTTTTTTTTCTTCGTCCCGAATTCGATAAAAAATACCTCGCATAGCCGTTCATTTGGCTGGCGCGTGCTGTGTGTTTTTCTGTGTCAAGTATTATTAGGCGCAAATTAAGTACGGCGATACGAATGTCTGCCGATATTAAAAATCAGTAAAAAGAAGCGACGGCGAAGCCAGTGTTTTTGTCTCGAAGACGCAATAAACGTGTCGTTCGTGATACTTCGATGGCGGTTATTAAGGCTTCTTTTTATCACTGGATAAAAAATTAACTCGCAGTAAGATCGCGCTCTCGTTCGGAAAAACTTGTCGGCTCATTGGATCATTTGTATTTTCGCTTCCGCGTTCAATCATTGCCACTTGCGTTGGCAGCGAAAATGTTTTCCTTTTGCATCCTTTCAATGCGCAAATAACAACCGGACCATCTTCTTCTCGTTCTCTCATTTTTTTTATTCGCTTCTTCTTCGCGCGTGTGAATTCAAGTGGAATAGCGAAAACAAATCCGCAAAAACCGCTCAAGGTCCAGTTCCATCGTCACGGCAAACGTCGCGTCAACAACAACATTTCCGTGCTCGCTCGTGTCCGAAATGAGCCGTCAGTATTCGCTAGCGACATTGCCACCGAAAACAGGAACTGTCTACAATGCAAAAATCGCGAGAGGAAACTGTCGTCAACCTCGCGGCTCTTCAGACTTTGATCCGTCGAGCGTGTGTGTGGTTTGCGCGCGTTCTCAAAAATCCTTCTCACGTGCCATTGCTCTCGCCGTAACTGTCCTCTTCCCTCCAAGGCAGAACAGCCAACCGGTTTTACGGATATCGACCGGGTCAATTTTCTCTCTCTCTCTCTCTCTCTCTCTCTCTCTCTCTCTCTCTCTTTTCGTTCGCTCTGATACACGGATGCTTTAACGTTCGACTGATCAATGCTTTTCGCGCGAGCGCGAGCAAATCATTTCCAAGGTACCGAAAACATATTCACCGCTTATGGACCGACACGATAATGGATTTTTGGAATTGATGCGCAGTTACGTCACTTGACCGATCGCTCATCGTTCCGCGGCTACGCAGGGTCCGATAAGCAAAATTTTCAAAAGCATACACCATATACCACGGGCAACTCTGCGCGAGTGCACTTCCAAATAAAAGCACCGGAGCGTCGGTGCGATCTGTTCTTTATGACCTTGCGCCGCCTGCGTCGTTTATCTCTGCGCGCGAGGCGGTTCCACCGGTTTGCGCTCATTCAGATCCAAGATATACATTTCGCGGCTTCTCTTTTCTCAATATATTCGCAATTTCACGTGGCGAGTGATCGTGCGTTGGCCACTTTGCTCTTCGTAGCCCCCCACCCCTTTCCTTTCTTTTTCGCACGCCAAAGTCACTGTTACCTTGCTGCACGTTGTGTAACATCATTTCTAGAAAAGATTTCAATTTGGTTTGCGCTTCAGTTAGCAAAGAATGTAAAACGATTGCAAGAACATCCACGAACAGCCATAAAATTCAAAAATAATTAAACGTACATCCCCATAAAATTATTCGTTGGATTTATAATTCTCACGACAAGGCAGTAAATGTAACGAGAAACCTCTCTCGTAAATCACGTTAATTCCAATCTCGCGAATACCGCTAAGCTCGATTTCCCGGAGTACCTAAATACCGGTTTTTAACAATGCGTATGCAAGGATGTGTAACTCATCGAGCTAGTTACACGCGCATCGAGCGAATCGAGCGCTGCGAGAAAAGTATACACGTGTATCCTTTTAATGAGATTTGCAATGCAGTCGGCGCTGGATTTACGGCGTCGCGAATTGTAAATAAAGCCGCGCGGCACTTTTCCAACGCAGCGCCACGGCGCGCCGATGCTCATCGAGTACTCGTCCGGTCTAGTTTCAACGCGTGCGCGCTGTTATGATAGCTCCTGCCTTATGCCAGCCTGTCAGTCGAGTGAAAGCTCGCGACCCTGGCGAGATGAAAATCCTTGCCCAACTGCTGTTTACGAGATCGAGTGATCCTCGTAACCTTGAACTTTTTTCCTTTCCTTTTCAATCCATGCGCCCGTGCATTATTAAATCATCGCGGTTCTTCTCTCTCTCTCTTTCTCTCCCCCTCTCTTTCTGGAGTGTTCGACAAATATCAGCCTACGCGCTATACTTAGTAGCGCCGGAGATAATTTAGGCTACGAGCGAATGTCAATTTAATGAGCCTGTAAAATCGCTTATAGATCGTTTACCGATGGTTAGTGGATCGTTATGCGTCCATTTGAGAAGTGTCCGAAGTATCCCGGGCACGTGACCCTGTCGACAGTTTTTTCTTAATTGAGATTGATTTATTATTCGAAAACAAACCGATTCTATGGTATCCAGATGTCGTTCGTACTTTTCTTGTCGACTGTTCTTTTATTGACGGAGAAACCCGTTAGAATCACGCAAATGTCACGCCGAAGCCGCGCGTGTGCTTCGTTAGAGCGCAATGTTGAAGAAATTGTGGGTCACAAAAGCTACCGATATCAGTTTTAGAAATAACACGAGCTCGTCGTCGCAATTGTTATCTGGCCGCGCGTGAGTGCATGCGAGACTATACGGTCAGACGGTCAATTGTGCGAACAGGTTTTCGTCCGTTATCTACACTCCGTAAAAATGCGTAGGGATCTCGATTCGACCGTAAAGCTGTCCGATGTTTTACAACACTTTCGATTTTCTAGTGAGTAAGCACTTTGCACACAAAAGAATTTATTGCGTTTTTGTGTTGCGTTTCAACACGGCAAATCTCATTTTCGCAGCTGCTGAATGAAAGTCACGAAACACGTTATTGATGCTGATGTCCGAGTCATATATACGGTCGCTTTTATTGAAAAGGCGTCGATGTTTTCAATGATAATTGGAATACACGCATATATATCTTTTAATATAAATGATGTTTTTTTGTAAATTGATCAGTTGCCTGTGCGTCGTAAACATTGACGATTGGAAAATAGTTCCGTGAATGCTTTATTTTATCACTTCGGAATGAATGAGCGTTCGTCATGTTTTTCTTCATTTTCAAGGTTCTCTCTTAATGATAATTCTTTTAGCTTTGAAATTGCGATCAATAGGAACGAAGATCTTATAATTCGCACAAAAATCGCAGCAGTGCTCGACGATAACGGGTTTGGAAATGTATTTGTCTACGTGATATTTTTACATTACCAAGGCTCATCGATGGTAGGTGCTGCTGGTTTCTCCGCGATTCGGTCGGACAAGTAGGATAGCAAGTTTCCAACCGATCGAAGAATCTGTTTTTTAGAAAACATACAGACAAGTTCTATATGTTAGATGGAAGCACTCTACCCTCGAGCATTTAAAGTTTCTACATGATGAGTATATTTGAAGAGAGAAACATAAATATTCGTTTTAAATTTATCATTGACTCGCTTATTTTTTTATAAACATCGGATCTTTAACCATTTTTTAATTTTAAGAAAAGTAATTCATTCTCTCAACAAATGGTCAAGCAAATAGACGATCGGCAATTCCATTGAACCCGTGTAGTAAAACAGAAATGTCTTGCCTCAGTCAGGATAAACAATGACGCGAAGAAAGACAAAGGGAAGTTGATTGGTTTGTCGCGCTTGATGCTTGCATCTGCAATGTTCTTGCAGTCCGCGTACGTGACGGCGAATTTCCATGAGGTTTGGCTGCGAACGACAATTCTACTGAAATGAGTTGGCAATTGAAGATTGCATATTTATGACCGGGAAAAGGGGGGAGGTCAGGTTTTCGTTTGATTTGGTTTTCTTGGGCCGACAAACGAGTCGGCAACGATCGGCAACACGAGCAGTCTTTAGCGTCATTTAAGCTTTTATCAAGCACGCTATTATCATAAAAGAAATCGTCTGCACGGACATACCAACGAAAAACTTCTTCATTGAATTTCTCAGTACCGAATGAACGCGCTGCACCCGGCCGGCGCTTCGAAGCTCGATTGACAACGAGGAGCGCATTACGAACGTCGATTATCAATCGATTAATTACGCGATGAGGGACTGTTATGTTCGTTGCATTCTTTATTTACGTATACGTCCGTCGAGCGCCTTATACGCGCAATCGACAGCCTAGAAACTCAGCGGTTCGCTGACCCGATTTCCTCTTTCCGTGAGAGTCCTTTCACCCGCGCGAAGATGCATCGCCTAGTGCATGGCACACGTATAGCTTCACGCGAAATTCTCCGCGTTTATTTTTTTCTCGCGGAAGCGACGACAGAGAGAGAGCGAGAGAGAGAGAGATCAACGAAGATTAGTGATATTTTTCACGAGCGATCGTACCGAAATGAACGAGAAATGCGAGGATTTCTCCTTGCACCAGGTGTGAATAAGTAGTCGTAACGCCGCGTAAGCGATGAATTACACCGAAAGCAGGAATTTCGACCTGCCCTTCTTCGCAATTGGAGCGACCCTCTTCCGCAAAATCGACGCCTCGCGAAAGTTGCACGAACTGGGTAGTATAGACCGATCGAGAAACGTGCCGCGGCTCACTCCGGCGCCGTTAGCCCTTTGTTTCTTTTGTACACGCGTGAAAGCCACGCAGTAACGTTTGACGTCGTTCAATCAGCCGCGCGCGTTACGGAAAAGCGTTCAATCTGCCGCGCGCTGAATATTCATCGGGTGTATTCACGAACATCGCTTTGTCCTCGTATCCCTCGAGAGCCCCGTATGAATTATTGATCGACTATGGTAACAATGTGATCGAGAAGCCTTTGCTGCTTTTCCTTCTAACGTCGTCCTTTAAAGACACACGTGAGTCCACGTAGAATTTCTAATGGCGCGTTGCATAATTGCCAATCCGTTTCCACGCTCACAATATCAATTGCTTCATTCGCCTGGATTCGAAGACAAAAATCACTTTCTCATTAACGGATAAGTCCCATAACCAAGCATTGCAAAGGCTCTCTTGATAGTTATCTCTCTGTCTCGCGAACGATCGCTACCGTTGTAATATATTTCGCAACGCGTCCCTAAGTAGCAGCCGCGCGCGCGAGAGCCGAAGCTGCATCGAGATGTGTCTTGTCGCAACTCGAAACGAATGTTTGCGGTGTGCAAACTTCATAAAGAGAAGCGTTTCCTTTCCTCGGATGCGATGGCGAAACTGTCGTGGATTATTAGTTTTAGATAAAAAAAAAATCTTGGCCCGTGAGTTTTCACTATTGCGCGCAACAACGAGGCAAACTGTACGATGTATTTAGCTAAGCGCTGGCACTGAACGCAATCGCTGTTCAATTATTGACTTTGCGCCGCATCCTAATTCCATAACTTCGAAAGAAACTAAAAGGGAGAGCGTTAATTTCTTCATCGTCGGACCAGCACGACTTGGTCGCACAGCCGGCGAAACGTTCGTCGATTGTCCGCAAACGAGACGAAGAAGAGGGAGAAGAAAGTGTCGCGTCGTACCGCTTTCGCCGCTGACATTCTGCTCCTGGACCTAGAAGTTCCGAGCGCGCGTGCAATCAAGCCCGCAGGATCTGCAGCTCCGATCGAGCGGCTCGTATACGGCGTCCGTTTCAAAAATGTTGCCCTCGAATCGGGTGGCGAGTGACGTTCGGCAATTGACGCCCGCGAGTTTTTTTTTCGACTTTCTACTGCTCCACGCGACAAGCTGACGCGTACGCCCGCGCACCCGAAAAACGTATCTGTTTTATTTTCTTCGCTCGACGCTCCTTGTCGAGGAGAAAAGCGAACCTCTTAACCGCTCGATCGACAGTCGGCTGTGCTTGGCGCGAGCGTCGCTCTCCTTCGATGGGTAAGCTCGTCCGATGCGCCCATTGGGTAGGCCGTAGCGGTTATCGATCGCGCGATCGTCCAGCTCTATATGTATATTCGGAATTTTGAATCGCTTTGAGCTTTGCCGACGACGAAAGTGAATGTCGAACGCGCATCTCGCCGACAGATCGACGATCGCAAACAAAGCCGATCCTCCTCCCGCGACGTCCATTCACATGCTAAGCTGCGCACTTTCCAGCAGCCGCGCTTTCACTCGGCGCGCGCTACTCCAGGCAGCGGACCACGCGTGGGGTGTCGTTCGCTCGTCACTCCGTTAGAGTCTCGCGTCGGGCCAACATCTCGTCGTGTAGCCGCATGTACGCGCGTATAGATGTACCGTTGCGGCCTTTACCTCTTTCCGCGTTCAATTGTCGGTTGTGTTTACATTCAACCAGTGACATATCCCGTTTGAGTAAGTGCTGCGATCAGTCTTCGCTCTTAGGGTCCGATTGGCGTGAAAACAAAGCTAAAATGATTTTGAATGGGTCGTGAAGCAAACTTGATTGATGAATGCATTGTGTGTGTGTGTGTGTGTGTGTGTGTGTGCGTGAATACTATAATTATTTATTTGCTCGTTAACTTACATCCATTGACTTGTCTCTGCAGTAATTGTTACATACTTCGCGCGTAACTATCAACCACTTGCTTTTTTAAGACAAAGTGTAATTGTGCTATAGCTGACGATCAAATTCAACATAGCGTCAGGTTACAATAAAATCAAACCGCAGGAGAGTAACAAACGACGCGCAGAGATGTACCGTTTGTTGTGAAGCATTCCAACGATGCGATTAAATCTGAAAAAAGGGACGCGGCATGCAGCTGGTTTTCAAAGCTATAAGGGACTTTCTACATAAGTGCCATCGGACATCGGATGTCGGATGTTGAACGAATACTGAGGTCAAAAAGCAAATTCATTGTTTGTCATTTTCTTACCAAAGATTTATCCGTGGTCTGAAAAGACCATGTGTAAGATTTATTTTTATTTTACAAACTAATACCAAATAATTAATCCATTTTTAAGCTTTCGTACACGTCTGGCGTTCGATGCCCGATACCCGATGGCTCTTATGTAGAAAGTCAGAAGATTGCCCGCGCACCGGCGCTACGCTCCCGTGGGTTTGTTGATCCTTCTTTCTCGATATATTATTACGCGGGAAGCCCATTACGCGGTGATTCGTATATAGAACGAGCAGCGCAGCACGCAACCGACTTTCGTTTGCGCGGCTAAAGAAGCGAATGGATATGCGTCGGGATTACGGGACGACCGGTCGTTGGCTCGTTTCATATCCAGGCGACGCACGCGAGCTCTCGCGTTTTTGACGGATCGGGCGTGCTACTCTTTTAGTGGAGCGGACGGCGCCGCGACGCAAGCAACGAGCACGCTGCCGATTCCACATTGTTGGCGTAGCCGCGGGCAGTCGAATCGAGAAGCTGTTACATTCGAACAGCCTCGTGGCAGCGTGTCGAATGCGTTAGCCCGCATCGAAGGACCGCAAATTTTCCACAGGCCGAGAACAACATGTGGGTGATCGAGTGGCGCGAGCTATTCGCGCTGCTGTACGACTCGACGATATTCGTGGTGATGTCGTTGATTTACGCGCTGGAGGCTGCGATACTCACCTTCGTACCACGGCGCTATCGTAGCAAAAATCTGCGCGAGGAGGTGGCCCTCGTGACTGGCGCAGCCGGTGGCATCGGACGGCTTATCGCGCAAAAGCTCGCCTCCAAGGGATGCAGCGTGGTTGCCTGGGACATCAACCAGACAGGTGAGTGCGCCTACAGTCGACGGCATATCCGTTGCGATGTCAGCTGCGACGCGCAACAAAGTCCGCTCGGGTGAGCCTCGGAAAGTTGGGTTTCTTACGGTGACGCACTATCGCGAATTCAGGACGCTTAGGCGTGGCCCAAGATAAGCATAAGCCGATTTACAGGCACTTCGGCGCACGCTTCAACTGCGCGTTCGCTCGTTCGCTTTCAACGAGCAGACGAGTTAAGCGCATAAACGCGCGCGTAACTCGTAAGTAAAAACGAATTACCGGAGTTTACGCGCTGTTTACAGCGAGCAACTCTCTATACGTTTGCCGGCAAACCAGTACATCGGGTTCATTTGTAATTTTATCGTCGATGCTCCATATAATCGATGAACGAATCGAAGCGAAATCAATTCTCCGGTACGGAACTCGCTACTCGCGGCAGCATTTAGTCGCGCAAGCCCCCCACGAAGCAGTTTCTGATGTGCCGACGCGATGCAAGAGCGTCCGAGCCGGACGACAATCACTGCCCTCGCTGACGGAAATAGAATTATTGCCCGTCGCGCAAAAATTGTGCAACTTTCCCTCGGCGGAGTAAGTAATGATACGCCGTTGCGTCGGTGCGAAAAAAACCTATTAGCCTATTTGAAAAATCGCGCGTAGTGCACGAAAGACGAAAGTGTCTCTCTGCCGGTCACATTGTTCGTCGTCTCTTGCGTGTATTAGCCCGCGGGGATTCATCACTTTCTCGTCGAAATCGCCGATTTCACGAGATTTACAAGAGTTTACTTTGTTTCAGCAACACGCGGCTCCTCTTTTTTTTTCGTCATTTTTGCGCTTTCTTTTTGCGAGATTCGTTACTCATAGAATCAAAATGAACGCCCATGTAAACGTACAGCTAAAATTAGAAACTCAAGGTCTGCGAAAACTTTCTCCGTAAAGATTATCCGTGTTAAGTGAACTAACCGCGCGTTTGCAACAGGAGTCGAGGAGACTGCCAAACTCATACAGGAGGCTGGAGGCAAATGTTGGGCCTATCACTGCGACGTTTCGGACAGGGAGAAGGTTTACAAGACCGCCAAGGCTGTCAAACTTGACGTTGGAAATGTCAGGGATTATTTTTACGTTTCATTGAATATCAGGACTGCAATCATATCAAAATGAATTTGTAGGTGACGATATTAATAAATAATGCTGGCTACGTTTACGGCAGTACTCTATTGGATATTCCCGACGATGAAATCGAGATGACTTTCAAAGTCAACATCATTTCACACTATTGGGTGTGTACTTCATTCCCGAATGATTATATTATCACTTTCGACGTTAAAATCTAATCGTGTTTCTTTTAATAGACAACAAAAGCATTTTTGAAAGAAATGATGCGAGAAAATCATGGCCATATCGTCACCATAGCAAGCGTGGCTGGACTTCTAGGCACTTACAATTGCACTGATTATTGCGCTACAAAGTTCGCTGCTTGCGGTTACCACGAAAGCCTCTTTACGGAGCTGAGGGTGAGAATTGCATTGTCAAACGTCTTGCAAATTACTCTTCGTTAATTATGAATGTAATTATTTTTTTAGACCCACGGTTACGATGGCATTCAAGCGACGTTGGTTTGTCCTTATTTCATAAACACCGGAATGTTCAGTGGAGTGAAGCCAAGGTAAGAAAACGTTGTTACACTGAAATATTGAAAAACAGAAGTAAAACTTAATTTATTTTTTTGAAAATAAAAAATTAATACAACCATCATTAACAAAGATTATCACGAGATTGTAATTGCACATTTTCACAGATTAAGGCCAATGCTCGAGCCAGAATATGTTGCCAGTGAAGTCGTAGCAGCAATCGGTGCAAATGAAAATTGGGTTATATTGCCCAGAGCAATGAGATACTTTCTGCCTCTTAAATTGTAATGTTTACGTTCATCGGACGTTATAAGATTACATAGCAATTTTTATGTTTTTCAGTTGGATGCCGGCTAAAATGTGCTGGGCTCTGATGTATCATATCATTCAAGGTCCTCAGACAATGATGATGATGAAGGCTCGAAGCACAGAAACGATAAAATAATACCAACTTCAAGATACATTTTTATATCCTTCATGACTGTGAAAAATATACCACTGTAAATATACAAGATAGAAACAAAAAACATTAGATTTAAGTACATACATTATCACAGCATATCAAAGAAATAAGTCAGTCCTTGCCCAAGCTCCCAAATGGAGATGCCAGTTTTTAATTCGTGAGCGAGGTCTAATCTTGCGCGAATGGAATATAGTGTGGGAAAAAATATGAAACCACCGTCGTTGGTTCTGAAATAAATATACCAGAATTGTTACCTATATTATATAATAATTTTTAACAAAGCTGAATGATGTTAGATTATTATAATATTTTTTTTGTAGAAATTAACAGAAATATGAAGTATAATTACTTAAGTTCTAAAAAGTGTTCTTCACTGTCTTCATCATATTGAATTTTGCCTTTAAATTCGTCAAGGAGTTTCAAATATTGAGATCCAACAATAGGACCCCCTCCAGTAGGTGTATAATGATATCCATAGAGATTTAATCCCATTAATATCTGAGATCTCTTTGGATCATAAGTTTTGGGTACAAGATATTCAATACATTTTCGTACCCAGTTAATTGGTGCATTTGGTCCAGGACGTTGAACACTTGAGTAGTCATAAGTCATAAGTGAAAAAAATCTGATATGTGGTGCTAGAGCTTCAAAATTCTTTTTTGTAAAAAGTTCTTTGTCCATTCTAAAATAAATGTATAACTTCTTTCATGTAGACAGAGTATTAGTTAATTAGTCTTTAATCTCAATATCCCTAGTAAATTACATACCCTCTCCAAGGTGGCACAGCTAAAATCGTATAAAAACCTTTTTTTCTCAAACCATCAGCAAGAGCAATAATTAGATTAGTTACTACATTCTTTTTTGCTCCAACAAATATAAATTGATTCCATATTTCCATAACATATCCATCAAATGAATAGTTCTAAACATTATGCATAATTTTACTTTTATAAATTGAGATACGTTCATTATTTATAGCACATTAAAAGATAGAAAGTAAATATTATACCTCTGCAAGATCCACTAATGTACTAATAAGTTTATCTCTTTTTTTTATATTACTGAACAACTCAATAATATCATCATTTGACCATCCATCAAAAATGATTCTTGGCAAAACTATAATACACATTTTTAAAATGAATGTTTTTTTTTGTATTGGCAGTTTAAATAGCTGAATTTTGGTATCTTACCTTTTACAGTATGATTGTCATTGTCATCAGCTCTCATATCATGTAGCCAGGATTTCTGAATGTCATGAGTAGGAATCTTGAAAGGACTTTTGCTATTTATTGTGAACCATACTGGTGAAACCATATCAAACTTTCCATGGAACCTTTTTGCCTGTTCATAACCTTCCCCATTCCACTGTAAACATAAATGAACAGTTATTACTTCAACTTGATAAAGAATAAGTCTGCCCTATGAAATCATTGGATTACTTACTGGAGTTATGTAGCCCAAAACATCACCAGCCACGAAATTTCTGTATTTGGTATCTTTTCCATATAAACCACTTTCACGCAATATATCTGATACTTTCGGTGTAGTTTTTACAAGGTGTCTTTGATATGCATCTTTATCTACAGGTCCAATCTAGAAAAACCAGTTTAAAATTAATTTGTTTTTTAAGAATTTTGACTGAAAGGATTAGGCATATATTTTCTAACCTAAGAAATTTAAGTGATCGAGATTAAACTAATTGTTCAATCATAAAAGCGAATAGTAATAGCAATAGTAAATAATAGATTACTCATATACAAGGGTAATTGCTTAAAAATTGATTTGCTCTAATACAAACCTTTTTCATTGATTTATCTTTTTTGGAGCTTTTACCTTCCTTTGGAGATAAAGTCCCATTGACTAAGGTACATATCATAAGTAAATTACATACTAACGTTAGAAAATTCATTATCATGTATGAAATAACATTAAAAACGCTAAAATTATTTAGAAACTACTGCATACGTTGACCGGTTTGTTTGCACGTAAAAAAACTGGAAAAATAGTATGCGCGTGCGCACATCGTCAACTCGTAGCAGAATACAAATTTGAACGTTGTGCTTGTAAATGCAAATAGAAAAGCAAAACAAAGATTAAAGAATATAATCGTACTTTGTTATTAAATTAACGCAATAAGTGATTCTTCAGAGTGATGAAAATGACAGTATAACATTAAGACGTTTTTCAATAAGTTTAAAGAGAATTTTGAAAGTAAATCTTGTTTGAATTTAATAAAATTATAACCTGTAGATGTAAAAAATTACTAAATAAAAATTAATATTTTCATGGTATATCTACTTTTTATAGTTGATTTGAATAGAAAATTAAAAGAAAATTAATAACCAATAATATAGTATAATAATCAGTAAATAATAGCTAAGCCAACTTGCTAAAGATATTTTATTTACATAAATTAGAGTTTTACCGATCATACATTCTTATACATTATGATAATCAAAAGTAACTCATCTAAAAAACCTAATGTAAGCTTTGTAAATACTACAAAGCAATGTAAGTTTTAAAGGAATGTTAATGTTCATGTTAAAGTTGTTTTTACAAGTTGTTAATTTTATTTTACAGATTACATCACTGGTATGTCTTTAATAATACTGAGTGCCGTCTTTTTATATTATGGTTATTCAACTCAAATACCTTTAAAACATGTTATTTCTTTAAAATCAAACTTATCACTACATAATATTATATCTGATAAGTTTCTTTCAATCGGTTTGGACTCGTCCCTGTTGAGGCATTTGAGTAATGTACCAATCAATAACAAGAAATTTATGAATCTTGCTCGGCACCTTAGCCCAGCTTTTGTTAGAATTGGTGGTACATCCGCTGACTGTTTATTTTTCAATCAGGTACAATTCAATCCTAATATGTGTATCAAATTAAATATACATTTATTTAATTAAATAATATTTTTTTATCAGACTTCTGAGCAACTGGAGAAAAAAGATAACAAGGAATTGTTAGTTTATAGTAATGATACAAGTAATTTTTCAATAACTAGCAATGACTTTATATCATTGTATCAATTTACTCAAGATGCTAATTTAAGAATGATTTTTGACTTGAATGTATTAAGAAGGAACTCTGATGGATCTTGGAATAGTGATAATGGACAAGAAATCATACTTTTTGCAAAGAAACATGGAATGGAACTTGATTGGCAAATGGGAAATGGTAAATTAATTTTTTTTCAAGTTTGTGCTGACACAAATTATTTGTTTTAATGAGCACTGATTTGTTATAAGGCATAAATTTAATTAATATTCATTTTAATTTGTAGAGCCAAATTCATTCTTTCATGTTTTTAACATCAGAATAAGCGCACAACAGTTAGCGGAAGATTATTGCAAATTACGTAGCTTATTAAATGAATCTGGTTACAAGGATAGTAGTCTCATGGGTCCAGAAGCAAATCATATTGGAGATTCAGGTCAATTTTATGCGCACATTTTTTTAAAGTATGTTAAAGATTGTATTGATGATGTTACATGGCATCAGTATTATCTCAATGGTCACATAGCTCAGTTAGAAGAATTTTTAAATCCACTTACATTCAATAGATTATCTACACAAATTGATACAATGAACTGGGCTATCAAAACAAGTGGACAAGTTAAAAATATGTGGATATGTGCGTATAAAAAATTTAATGTTATTTTTCATTGTTAAAAGGATAAAAACTTTCAAATAATAAAAAAACGTTTAACTTCGATTTGCAGCTGAAACAAGTTCAGCGTACGGCGGAGGCGCACCAAATCTTTCAGATAGATTTGTTGCGAGCTTTTTATGGTTAGACAAACTGGGTTATAGCGCCAAAGCTAACGTTCAAGTTGTGATAAGGCAAACTCTCTACGGTGGTGATTACGCGATGGTTGGTCACGATTTGCATCCAAATCCCGATTGGTGGCTGTCTGTACTGTACAAAAAGTTAGTTTCCGAAAGAGTGTTGGACTTGCAAGCACCAGACAATTTTGGTAAATTACGAATGTATGCTCACTGTGCTTCACAACAAATGGCTAAAAGTACGGACTCGTCGATAGTAATTTATGGCGTGAATTTGAATACTCAAGACATTCGAATAAATTTGCAGATACCTACTAAAGAAAAGCACGTGTATGCATACATTCTCACTTCTAAAGATTTGCAGTCTAGGTATGTATTTATAACGCGTGAATGCGATATAAATAATGTCTTTGTTGATAACCACAGAAATGATCAATATTCTCAAAGCTACAACCAATAATATGTATAATATATTTCTTTGTAACAGGGATATTTATTTGAACGAGAACATCTTAAAACTAAAAAATGATGGAAGTTTACCGAAATTTGAACCAAAGATTTTAAACATCAATGACGTTATTGTGTTACCACCATATTCACTTCAATTTTTCATAGTTCATCAAATTCCCGTTGCAGCCTGCTCCAATTGAGTTTTTGTTTGAATAAAACATTATTTAATTATATATTGCATTAGTTTTATAAATTTTTATACGATTTGTTTAATTTATTTCAAATTTTTTACATTTTTTTACATTTTTAAAATAATAAATAGATAATGTTAGAGGTGTAAGATTTATGTAATAAAATGCTTGATAGAAATTTTACACCTGCTGAAATTCTATTTTCTTATATTAAATAGATATATTAAATCATGCAAACGTAACATTGTTTTACACCAATAACTATATAATTTTCAGAAAAATTTAGTTACAAAAAAGTATGCTCTATTTCTGCTTAGGAGATTTTCAAATTTATTTTTGTTATCAAAGTAATTATTGAAGGTGCTGAATTTATTTTTAAACAGCAAATGTAAAAAACTATTAATTTGATGAAAAGACTGTCATATTAAGCACAAGATATATATGTTTAATAAAATTATTACAGGATACTTTATTTCAAATGATTTTGAGATAAGATATTTGCTGTTACTCTGTCATTTGGTTCAGTTTCCAGTAAGTGATTTTCAAAATATTATTGAATATTTTCTGATATTACAGATTATATTAATGTTTCAAGATTATGACGTCGAACGTTTTGAGAATAGGGAAATGACAACTAATTTTTCAGAAAAATTACAGGACCTAAATATCTTTTTTACACTCAAGTATTTCTTTAAAAAATACCAAAGAATTTTGTCTAATAATAATTTTTTAACAGTTTTTTAACTGTTACAAGCTAGTGAAAAATCTATACATAAAATTATTCATAAAAGTACATTACGTCTCTATATTTTCTTCTAAGTAAAACTTGTGAAGTAATCTTTTATGGTGCTACAAGGCTTTCTTATAAACGAATTATTAGAAATCAAAGTAGTGAATAAATGGTACAGTGTCATAACTTATAATTTCAGAGTAACGGGAAATTTTCCATTGTCGAAGGTAAGATTTAAGTACATATAATGCGAGGCTTAATATCTCTAATCATGCGTGAAATATTCCTCAATTGTGCAAATGTGCTTTAAGTAGTGATAAAAGTTTACGGGTGGATATCAGAAAACGACGCTTAGAAAATTATGGGAAGGAGTGGTCAATTTGGCTGGCACAAGTCACGAGTACTATAAATATTTATCAAGTTGCGAGAAAGATAGTTCTAAAGGTGAGTTGTGTTGTCATATGCAATGACTATTTTTAATCAATATTTTTCTGTTTAAAAACATTATAGCAAAAATGATTTGAGTTTTCAAATTTTATAAGTTGCTATCAAAAAAAGAACTAATTACCGATAATTCAGTTTTGAATCTTTGTAAGAATTTCACGTTCCAAAGAAATTAGTAAAGAAAACCGACTCCTAATATGACCGATGTAAAAGTAAACGTAGCTTTTTATCAAAATTTTAATAAACAGTCGTTAAAATATTTACTTTTAGGCCGACTACGTCAGACGCGATACAACTTTAAATATATAGTCAGTTACAATGATAATAAACGTTCGATCTAGACATCAATTTCCCAGTAATTTACGTCTTTTGCGACCTAAATATATTCGAATGTCGATGTGGCAGTGACAGTAACATAATTTATCCGCATTAGTTAGATAGAAGAAAAAAACGATGTGCTACTGAGTGTATATTTAAAAAAAACTGTCTTAATATTTTAAGATATTACGAAAGTGAGTTGAATAACATTACATATGTTATGATTACAAAAGTTAAAACGATATTCTCGCGTTTTATTACATTGTACACGATAAAATATAAATATTCATAAAACTCCTGAAGATATAAGTAGCGTATAATGGTATTCTTTCAAAAGATTGTGAATTCATCATTTTTAAATCAGTTATTTACCTTCAAAAATAACTGACAAAAGACTGTTGAACTGTATACTTTTTTAAAAAATACCATGAGAATGGTTGTACCATAAAGGTATTCTTTAGCTTCAAATTGATTGACATTTGCACAGACAATCTCTGTTCGAAAATCTTCCAACGGCTTTGAACTCTATTGTATGTATTTTTCTCGATAGATACCATTTTAATGCAGTATAAAAATATACAAAAATACGATATACGTATAAATCGGTATACTGAGAGTCAATTCGTATCTTCATATTGTAATGTTATGCTTTAATCAAGTCGACGATGAACCAGGAACATCTCGGAAGCATACTCTTTCAAAGGAGCTCCCCCCTGACTCCGATATCACGTAGTTTGAAAGCTTTCCACGGACATACATAAAATGAAAACATGTCCTTTTTGTTGAAATTGGCGAAAGAATAAATTATGTCTTGTAAAGAGTAAAGGGTTGTTTTATTTATTTTAATGGTTGTAAAATTCCAAGGTACATCATCCCCTTACGCTGCAGCTTATTATTAAATAATATTATATGAAAGTAGCAACTCCGAATAATTCATAATACCTGAAAGTAGAAACGAAAATTCAAATCGTATCGACACGGATGCAAAAAGAGGAAAGTTAAGCAACAATCCGCAGAGTCTTTGACAAAATGTAAGCAATGTCAGCGTCCGTGCACAAGCGGCTTTTGAACACTGAGACACTATCATGAATTATACAACTTTCGCCAGGCAGCAATTAGATTTAATTTGCCGTGCATATCCGTGCTGCTTCATGTCGCGCTCAAGCTGCAAGCGCGCACATATTGATCTGCGCGCGCGTTCGATCTGCTCCGATGTAAATAGGGTTGAACGCTATGTCTCGCCGAAGAAACCAGTCACACTTTTATACTCGCACTTCGTCGATCTTCGTTTTACGCTCGATGAATTTCATATTGCGATATAATCGTCTGGTTCTAGTTGAGAGGTATCTTTGCGACGGTTCAGGAAATATTACGCTCGGCCGTGTCATAATCTTACGCGATGTTCCCGCGAGATACTCAGTTTGCAGTACGAAAAATAATGGTCGGCGCGTGATCTTAAATGCCTGTTGTGCGTGAAACTTGCATTGGTGCGTGAGTAATACCGAAGAAAAGAAAAGAAGTAGAAATACGGATCAGAAGCCTCGGAAAGCCCGTCTCCTCTCCGAAGCGCAAGCGTCGAAAAGAAGAGAGGACAGATCGACTCTTTACTCTTTCTCTCTCTCTCTGTCTCGCACGAAAAAGGTGCACATCGTCGCCGTGTAAAAGGCATGGTTGCGGTGGGAGGCCAGTCAGTTTGAAAGTGCGAGCAGCTGCGCTCGGAACGCGCGAAAACTGCACGCGCGCGCGCGCGCGACTTTCCTTGCTCGCAGACGCGTCGACGACGTCGCGGACACGAGCGCTCCGACGAGAAGGCCGAATAGAGTGTGCCAGTGCTCAGTGTAGCGCCGCGATCATGTCGCGCTCACGCTGCTGCCTGTGCTACTGCTTCCTGCAGCTGGTCGTCGCACTCGCGGGTGAGAGAAAGAGAAAGAGAGAGAGAGAGACGAGAGCTTCCGGGTGGTCCTCCTCGGTGCTCCATTTGCGCCGATTATTTAATAATTACAATGATGCCTGTGGGAAAAGTCTTACGGCATCGCGCGAGCGTGGGATCGCATCCTCTTGGACTACCATAACACCGAAAATTTTGCCGCTGCCACGCATGGAAAACTTTCTCGCGCCCGTTGACGTGTCGATTCAGCTCGAATATTAATCATTTTAGTAAGAGAGCGAAAGCATCGGCGAGATCAAAACCCGTTCTTAACACACACGTTTATGGATCGATACGACTTTTCTATAGTGGCATTTCTCTCTGCGTCCTCGCGTCATTTTTCTCTTCCCAAAATCACGTATTCAACGCTCGCGCCGTCTACGCGGAAAACTTTCTTTCGGGAAGAATAATGAAGATTCATTTTTTTTGTTCATTCAATTCTTCGTAAATGATTTGGTATCGCATTGATTTGAAAGACTCATTCACTAGAATGTGATTAATATGTACCGAAAATCGCAGCTAATTGCCAAACGTAGTTTTTTTATTAATACTTTTACGTAAGAAATGTATGGGTACAATATATTCCGAAGATTAAATCTCTAGCGTTTTCAGGTCTTACTAATTTATAAATAAATGAATTTGTTATGATGGAAATGTTAGTTATGCTAATGGTATATTGGAAAAAGTTCATTGAATATTCTACGCACGTTCCGTCTTACCACCGTGCATCGACGTCAAAAGTAAAAGTTTAACTCGAGTGACGCACAATGAAAAAAAAAACAGAAACGGGATTCGTATCGACGTAACTATCATGTACCTGTAAATTAAAAATTCCGGGTGCGTACTCTTCAACCCAATCCAAAATATAAATAAATAAAATAAAGCGCCTTGACCCACTGAGAGGCAAGTTCGAGGTCAATGCTTCCGCGGGATAGAAAGTCTACGAGTGGCCTCTCTTGTATATACGTCAATTGTTTTGTGTTATCGTCGATGCGCGACACGCGCCAATCGAAAGGCGATTTTCGCAGCGCGCGAGAAGCAAATTTTGACGCGGCGGCCTCTAGTTTTTCTCCTGCACGGCTGCATCTTTCCATTTTTAAAATGCCAAATCACGCGCGGTAACGAAACTCTCCTCGCCTCGAATTGAAGGAAAACGCCGTTGTTACGATCTTTGATATTTTTGACGTTGACAGAGGTACGTTGACTCATTCGCGGAAAAATTATGCAACGGTTTATTTGCATTTCTTTGTTTCCTCTCGGATGCTCGCGATAAACCTCGTCGAGCCGACGTTTTCACTTTTACACTGCGCGTCGCTCGTAAAATCGGCACTTCGCTGCGCGGACAAAACAGCTTGCTGCCGCGCGAAGTTTATTCGGGCGGTAAAAAGAGAAAAGCCAATTTCTCCCCGATAATCCCGATGGCGCTTGTCGGGCAAAAATATGTTAACAGGCGTTATTGGCCAAATGGAAAGTTTCTTGACAATTATGCAGTCTGATTTGTGGGTGTGTTGAAAGGCGAAACGAGCAAAGAGTCCGAGGAGGCGCCTTGTCTGAGCGACATGCAGTTCTACCGGAACCCAAAGACAGCGGCTCAAGCGTTGTGGACAGCCACGGAATGCTCCAAGTATTACCTCTGCCTCGGTGAGTGTCAACGCTGCTTTCCCAACGTTTTAATTGGCATCGGCGCGCCGAGTGTCCGAATTCCGAAAGTCATTCCGACGACACGCTAATCGAACAATCGCCCGGGCAATCCGTAACGACATAACTAGGCTCGTGTAAAGGCGCGCGCGAGTGTCGCAAGGCGTCCGCGTGTGATCGCGTGCGTTCGCGGCAAAGCACGCGTCCGATTATACAATGATGACACGATCCCGAGCGCAAAGCCAACGTGCGACTCATCTTCTCGTTTCGCCAGCACGTCTGCAATTGTGGCGCGCGAGACTGACAATACGGTCGCTCGCGCGTACGACGTGTGTGTTATTGCGACGTCGCGTCTCGTTCTTGCTCGTCGTTAATTAGCTGCGACGTTCGCAGGGAGCTCGGCGGCACGCCAAGTTCTCCTGCGACCGATTGCGCATCCGTTTCCGTGGCGATATCGAACGCTCGTCTCTTTTGCCGGGTCGATGGATTTCCATCGAGCGCGCGCCTATTTGTTTCGATGCGATCCACGGCTGGTCGAGCGCGCTGCCGTAGTTACCGGAGAACGAGAGGAAATCGCGATCGAATAACTCCATTGTAGCTGGCGCGCGACGATCGTGTACCGATAGCCCGTACGCGCGAGCGCGCGTGAGCGCAAAGCTTTCGCATCGTGAAAGTAATTCGGGCTACTCGTGCACACGTGAAAGGCATGCTTCGAGGCATCTCGTAACTGACGCAAGACGCGTCCTTTTGCTTTTCCCTCTTCAACGCCATTATCTAACGGAGCGCCGTGGTCGCTTTGGCAGACGACGAGGTGTTCGAATTCAAGTGCTCGCAGGGCTTGCTGTTCGACGTGGCGCGCCAGATTTGCGACTTCAAAGCCAACGTCGACAACTGCGACCTGGTCTTGGGTAAGCGCGACAGGGCGCGTGATCGCGCGCCGTTTCTTCCGCCAATTGGTGTAGAGTTGGAAAATAAAGATCATTTCAGAGCAAGACTCGACGACGCCGGCGGCCAGGCAGAACGCAAGCTGCGAGGACGGAAGCTTGGCTTGCGCCGACGGTAACTGCCTGTCGTCGGCGCTCTTCTGCGACGGGAATGCCGACTGCCCCGACAACTCGGACGAAGCGAATTGCGGTGAGAACGGCCACTGCAGTCGTTAATATTACTAGCAGCCGCGAGCTTATCCCACGCGTCTATCTTCCACGCCGAACCGTTACAAAGAAATACCTTTGATCCACATTCGCTGAAAGCTAAACGAGGCCCGGTCGGACGTTAAGCCAGATGTGCATGTTCGCAGACGAAACCCAGATAGACGTGAACGGCGCGTTGCCGTGCAACAGAACCCGATGCGAGCTGCCAGACTGTTGGTGCTCGGCGGATGGTACGGAAATACCAGGCAATCTCACGGCTCCTGAAATACCCCAGATGATCATGGTCACGTTCGAGGATGCCGTTAACCCTGAGAATTTCGACTACTTTCTGAGTAAGCGGAGACGACGATCATTGTCGTTGCCTAAGAGCTGCGATCGATTACAGCCTTTCTCTCTCTTTTCAGAGTTGCTCACCGAGGATAGGAAAAATCCTAATGGATGCCCGATACACGCTACTTTCTTCATCAGCCATCAGTACACAAGTTACAGGGATATTCAACACCTGTGGAATCTTGGTCATGAAATTGCCATACACTCGGTGACGTACGTTGGAATGTTCTCGTCGTGGTGGTTTTTTAACGTTATGCAATTCTAATCTAATTGCTGGTATATAGGCACAGAGGACCGGAAGATTGGTGGATGAAAAACGCAACGGTCGAGGATTGGTTCGACGAGATGGTCGGTGAGGCTAATATCATCAATAGATTTGCTGGGGTTCGATTGAACGACATTAAAGGTGCGTAACTGAATGTACAAAATGAAGACAGAATCAATATCCATGAAATTCGTATAGGTCTGAGAGTTCCTTTCCTACGAGTTGGATGGAATCGTCAATTTCTCATGATGTCGGAATTTGGTTTTGTATACGACTCGAGTATCATAGCACCACCTTCGAATCCACCGATATGGCCATACACCCTTGATTACCAAGTTCCTTACGGATGTTCGGCCGTTGGACAGACTTGCCCGACGAAAGCTTACAAAGGGCTTTGGGAAATTCCACTAAACCCACTGGTTGTCGAGGTAGATAATTTTATACACTTTTCTTGTGTTACACAATTAATATGGGTAAAGTTTCATATAGACGCAATTATTGAAATTGCATGGAAAACGCTTCGAGGTTGATATTATTTTCACAACAAGAAAATTGATGTATAATAAGTGTAATTTTTATACGTAAGTGATATGTGATACAGGTGAAAAACATGTATGATAATTGTAGGATCGAAGTTGTGCAACGCTTGAAGCCTGTTCTTTGAATCTCACTGACGACGATATTTACGGAGCACTGATGAACAACTTCAAAATGCATTACTCAAGTAACCGAGCACCGTTGGGATTACATTTCCAAGCCTCGTGGATCCAATCGCCTACCAATTTTCTCGCTCTGTCGGTATGCACCTTTCATTATTATACAGTTGCGTGTCGTTTGTTTTTACGAATGTGATGTAGCATACTGCTTTTCAGAAATTCATCGACGACGTTCTACGGTTTCCTGACGCCTATTTTGTTACAAATCAACAAGTGCTTGAATGGATGAGAAATCCAACGAGCCTTGACAAACTGCGTGCTTTCAAGCCATGGCTATGCTTCGATAAAAAATTCGACGCCTACGAAATCGTCTGCGATGAACCAAACTCGTGCAAGTTGCCAAGTAAGGTGTTGACAACTCACAGGTATCTGACTACCTGCTTCGATTGTCCCAAACAATATCCTTGGCTGCGCAACGAGTTTGGAAACGATTAAGTCGTAAATAACTAATAAATTGTTTTTTTTGTTGACCATTATACAAATTTTTAAATACATTTTATACTACTTTTAACTAGTGTGATTATACATTGATAGTATTAAATTGACTGAATGTTTTATATTTAGATGTAGAAACACTACTGTTGATTGAGTATCGACTATCTATTATCAAATGTAAAAAAACAAAAATTTCAGCGATGCAGATCTAACAATTTAACTAATAGAAAAATAAACTATTCTGTTTTAGTATTAATATTTTTACTAATGAATTTTAATATCTTATTTTTCTTAGTGTATTTATATACATTTTTCTCGAGCAATTCTTCCATAATTAAATATAGATATAAAAAAATGTTGATGAAGGTCAGAAAAAGAATGTCACTTAATACAAATCTCCCCTTTAATAACAAATGGATTTGGAATGGGCTCTACACTGTTAATTGAACAGATGAGAACTGACGTTGGTCCACATTTCTCAAGTCCAAATGTTCTAGTATTTTAATTAAGCTCGTAGAGATCATCTAAATACAAATAATTAGGCTCTCTTAACAAGCTATAAATATAAACTACCAAATTATGTGTTCTCCAAACTGTATTTACTTTTACAAATAATTAAAAATATTATCTTTGCAATTGTTACTTTCCTCTTTCAAAGTAAAATTAATTAGAATAAAAACTTATTTATGTTCTTAAAGTATAGACAATGTTTTAAACACAAATGAAAGAAACAATATTTAAATTATTACAAATTAAGTTTATTTCATCTTATGCTATAAATTCATAGGGTATGGGAGCCAAAAGTTGCGGCTTTTCCTTACCAGACACAATATGTGCCGGTCTTGGTTGAGCAGGTTGTCTTTTAAGAGACACCTGTGCTTTGATTTCTTTGGCCTCCTTACGGAGTCTTTCATTCTCCTTAACCCTTGTCAAGAAGTCTTCTCTACACTTTGAATGATTAACATGTTCAATTCTAACATTGATTCTCTTCGCAATGATGCGTCCACGCACTCTCTTGTTGACAATGATGCCCAAAGCATGTTGGGTGACATTGAATACCCTTCCAGTCTTGCCATGATAGACTTTGTAGGGCATACCCTTTTGTACCGCACCATTACCTTTAATATCAACAATGTCACCTACTTTATATACTTTCATGTACGTAGACAAGGGTATGACTCCATGTCTACGGAATTTTCGCGAGAAGAGGTCTCGCGTTCCTCTACGGTAACCCTTGGAATTGGTCATTTCGGATAACTCACCTAGAAAATATTATAATAGTACTTTAATTTCTATGTAACAAAGACTTGAATCTCACTAGTTAGGTTAGATTTGTTATAACAAAAAAATGAATAATTAAATAGGTTTTTCCATGGCATATTTTGATAAAATGATTAAATCTAAATAAATAAAATCTAATTGCGGAGTGAAATTTGCATTAGTTTGATAATTTTATGTAGAAATAAAAACCAATACCAAACGCACGTGTTGTCTTAAGATTTGACACAATATGACTCACATTTTTACTATTAACAAGGTACGATTTATACCAGAAATTTTATTTAAAAAACTGTTTGATTTTTATTTGGTTAATGCTCGCGATATTTTAAGCTTTTCTAATAAAAACAATAAAATATTTAAAAAAAGCGATAAAACTTACGTTTCTTAACCAAAGCGTAAGGAAAAAGAAGTTGATGCGATCAGATATAGATCGAAATGGCCGTCGTCCGTTTCGTTTCGTTTTAATGGCTGTGGGTACTGGGTACATACCTGAGGACTCCGATGCGCCACAATTCAAATTTGAGAGATAAAATTTGAAATTCAAAAGTATTTTAAAGTTTTTTGTATTTTAAATTTGTCTTTTTGTTTTAGGTCGTGATCTAAATTTTTTAAGTTGGTTAAGATTGATGAGTTTTGAGATGAAATTAGTTTTAGTATGAATTTATCAGCTAGATGTTGAAGTCTTTCTTTGATGTAGAAGGTTTTGGATTCAGCATGTAGGACATTTATTGGTGTAGAAATTCTACATCCTAGAGATTGTCTTATTCCACTGTTTTGAATTTTTTGTATTTTCATAAGAAGAGTTGAGTTATTTATGTGTGTTAGGTAGAGGCTGTATTCTATGGTGCTTCTAATAATAACTGAATAAATTTTTAGTAATATTTGTGGGTGGCTGCCCCACCATGTTCCTCTAAGTACTTTAATTATGTTTAGTAGTTTTAAGCTTTTTCCTATTATGTAGTTTGCGTGATCATTCCAATGAAGATTGTAGTCAATATACAGTCCTAAATATTTGACTTTTTTTGATGGGTATATGGGAGTGTTATTTATTAGTAGAGAGTAATTTTTAATAGCAGAATAGGGAGCTTTTGTGAAGATAATAAATATTGTTTTTTCAGCTGAAAGAGTTAATTTTAATTGTTGGAAGAAGTTGATTATGAGTTCAAGAGTGTTTTCTAATATGTTTATTGATTGTTTGATATCTGGAATAGAAGTATATATAATAGTGTTATCTGCGTATTGGATTAATTTTACGTTGGGAGGTATGATTTGTGAGAGTTCATTTACATATAGATTATATAGCAGGGAGCTTAATACAGATCCTTGAGGAACTCCTATACTTTTGGAATGTGGTCCAAACAGATAATTGCCGATTTTGAAGAGAAGAGATCTATTGGTAATTAGATGTATCATATTGTCCAGGCGAGATATCGATCAAATTCTACAATAATAATAAAAATTAAGTGTTCTTTTTTCATTGAAATAATAATTCTTTATTTGTTATTAAAATGTAATCGTAAAAGCGATGGGTATTTGACTTGAATCAATCAAAATTATGGTAATATTTAACAATTTTTGTAATCTAATTAAATTAGCAATTTCTAAGAATAAAATGATCGTTACGTTTTGCTTAAAAAATATTCTGTTTTCCATGACATGTAGCGTTTACACTAGATTGGCAATTCTTCTCGCGGCTCTTCTTAATATATCAACTCGTCCTCACCGAAATATATTTCCATTATCTTCGTAGCCCACTCCCTTCTCATTTGATTCGGATATATTAAATAATGAGAATAATTCACGACTTTAAAACAAGATAATTGCTGGATCAAAGTTGTGCTGCATTTAAAATCTGTTCTCTGAATTTCACCAACGACGATATTTATGGAGAACTAATAAAAAAATTTCAAACTACAGTACTCGAATAATCTAGCATCTTCGAGATTACATTTCCAAGCGTCGTGAATTAAATCACCTATCAATGTCCTCGTTCTTTCGATTTGCACCTTTCATTGTTACATTTGAGCTTAATTAATTTTTGAATTTGATATATCAAACTACTTTCCTAAAATTCATCCATGAATGCTTCAAGGATGAGGAATCTAAACTTCATGTTTTCAAGCTGTGGCTATGCTTTGATAGTAAGTTCAGTATTGATGAAATCGTCTGTGATGAATCAAACTCTTGTATATTACCAGCCAAAGATATTACTTCGATTTCTCTGAGTAATGTCTTTGACAACAAGATTGTAAATCAATTGATTTTTTTTCTTATTGCCTAATACAAACTTTTAATTACATTTATACCACTTAAAATTAGTGTGATGATCAATTACAACAAGGGTATTAAATTCACTAAGTGTTTTGTATTTAGATGTAGAAATAACTTTTGTTGATAGAGAATCAACTATTATCAAATGTAAAGAAACAAAAATTGCAGCATTGCAGATTTAATAATTTAACTAAGAGAAAAATAAACTATTCCATTCTGGTATCAATATTTTTACTTATGAATTTTGATATCTTATTTTTCTTATTATACCTATGTACATTTTCTTCAAATAATCCTCATAATAATTAAATGTAGATATAAAAAAATGTCAATGAATGTCAGAAAAAGAATGTCATTCAGCACAAATCACCCTTCTTGTGCAACAAATGGATTCGGAATGGACTCCATACCATCAACTGGACAAATAAGAACAACTGATGTACCTCGACATACAACAAGCCCAAGTGCTCGAGTGTCTTGATTAAGCTTGTACGGATCATCAGGATCTACAAAAATGATAAATAAATACTCTCATGCATTAAATATATATAATGTAGTTTTAGCACAAACCTCTGAGATATTCTGTTGTATTATCCAGTACAAGATTAAGCAAAGGATCATATCCTTTAAGGATACCTGAGGCTTCCCTTCCACCAGCAAACTTGACTCTGATGTTCTTTTCTAAATACTTTGACAAGTCTAATATACTTTCTTTCCTTTTCTTCTCTTTTTGATCGGCTTGGGAGCCTTGCTAAAAAACAATGAAGATGAATTAAAAATCACGTGGAAAGTTTTAATTTATGCAAAAATATTTTAGGTTAGCTTTCACAAAATGTTCGTAATTTACCTGGGGTTTCCTTTCCTAAAACAGAAAAAAATGAGAACAGTGAATCTTCTGTATTATCAACATGTGAAAGCGCTTATTTTACAAAATTTACGTTACTTACAGACATATTTTGTTTTGAAATTTCGTGAGTGTTCGAAGTGACGACCCGTCGCGCATACAAGACACTATACACAATCAACAATGAGTGATATGAGATGAGCACTAAGCACACGAAGCGCGTGCGCGTATTTTACAACAATAATGTTTGTAGCTACTATATATACGTTTGAAATTTTTTGACATTATATCAGTGTCTCATGGTAAAACTCATGACCATTTTAATAATCACAATCATGCAAGAATACTTTTCTTATATCAACAGGGATAAAATAAAAGTAAAACGAAGTTTCATAAAAGCTTTTATTCATTTTTTTACTCGTGTTATAAAAAAATACATGCTAGTACACGATGACGTGCGTAGTACCATGAATCTTGAATTCTGCATCTTTCAACAATTATGTATTAATCGTGTTTTCTTTTTCATTTTTTTTATTCTGTTATTCTGTTTATTATCAAAGCTCAATGCGATTCGATTGTTTTTCCAACGAAAGTTTCAAGTTCATTTGAACTTTAAAACGAGTACGCCGGCCTGAATAAAAATTCTTGTGCGCTACTTCTTTCGTGCATCGAGTGTACAATAAATTGCTTATAGTACTGTCACTAAGTTGAGCTATTTCATAAAAAACAGTGTAACCATTAAAATAAACTCAGTTATTGCGACAAAAAACTTACACTCTATGGAGGCAAATAAATGAAAAAAAGACACACAAAAATGATGTACTAGGCCCAATCAATCGTCAGCTGGTTCGTTTTAAAATCCAATGGAATCGCAGCACAAGAGCTCTCGACTAACGACTATTGCACCGACAACGCAAAGGAAATGTCACAATAAAATGCTGCTGACTATTTCACGGGCGATGCCCTTGCTCGCACATCGTACCGAACGCTTCTCGGATTTTCTAGCGTGCGTTCGCTTCATCATTTGCAGTGCGGATTAATTATACAAATACTAAACCTGCAAAAACGCGTGGGGTTGGCGCGCGCGCGTCGCCTATCGCCTTTTCATTACTCACATCTCGCGCGATGATGCTCGACTATTAAAAATTGCTTTGCCCACGTTTTAAAATCGCCGCGACGTGACTTTTGATCGGCATGTCACGCATGCTCACTTTTTCATTTTGTTTAAAAACCTAGTTTCCTTTGTTTCCTGCCTCTACTATTTGTCGTCCCCCTCTTCTTTTGTATACGACTAGAAATCTATAAGTTTATTTGTCCTCGAACGGCTGGGTGGCTGCTCAATGGATGGACCGTTATTTTGTTTTTGTTTCCGAACCTCGCGCAAAAGAGTTCTGTCGCAACGTTTATTATTAGGGTTCTTGCGCTAGTTTGTCGACGGCTTATCGAGTATACATCAGTTACGGCATATTGGGTGAATCTGCAGTAGTGTGGATGTGTCTTTGTGTCTGTGCATTTTAAAAAGTGATATATTCGAGCAATCAACTCCACCTCGTTACGCTTATATCCTATACGATTATATGAACAATTTTTTTTTCTACCGAACATTTGTTTCCACGTGACAGAATATCGCTTATTGCGCTGCTCTTATCGAATAAAAGCAGAAAAACACTCTGGTCCAGTATCTCGTTGAAATGCGTGAAGAACTCACATTCGATAATGAACTGATCCACCAAGCTTTCGCTAATTGTCACTATGGACCAGTGCATTTCTCCGAACAACAATTAGAGTAAATAACGCGGATAGAAAATGACGTGGATCAATACATATGTCGGCATAGCGCGAACTGTTTTTCAACGAACGCAGACAAGTTACATAGTCGGATTAACAATTCAATACAGACTTGAAATGTAGCTGAATAGGGAAGAAGATATTATGTAAAAATCTTGGTTTTTACGCGCGAAAAACGAGACGAATCCAATCGCACAATCACGCCACGATCATCGTTGTCGTCGCAAATACAACGGAGTTACATAAAAGCAACAGTTTCAGAGTCTTCGACAGGAAATAAAAAAACATAAGGTGATCAAGCGTTTTTGTTCGATGCTCCGGTAGATATATGATGAAGCCTATCGTTCGTTGTTCCTCAGTTTATTTTTTATCAACGACGCCAATATGCTCGACTTACTCGCATGGGTAATTCACAATTAGATATGCGCTGCTTCTTTTTGCCGAATAACCCAATAACCCAATAATCGAACAAACACTTCGTTTTGCCTACGAGTCATTATTATGTACACTTGTGCGACGACCCGCTTATGTTGGCGGTATTCGCGAGAGACCTCGGTTGAATCTTTTGCGTTTACTGCTCGCGTCGTCGTTTTATCGAAACACGAATGATCCTTTGTCTAGCTGTCGCGCGAAAAATATCTCACTCTCTCGTTAGAAATATATTTCTTTTCCCCGTGTGAACGCGTTGTGCTCAAATTAATCGACTACCTATGACGCAATTTCATGTTTGACCGCGCGTTCCAGTGGTTCGGCAGCAGCCTTCCAATGGGACTGCGATTGCTACGGAATTCGGCATTTTTGTAATACGTCCTCTTAAAACTACGCGCAAACGAAACGTGCTTTGTGTACCTTGGTGCCGAAAGCTAAAGAACAATCGGCCCGTTCGTCATCGGATGGACGCGGCGAGCGTACAGCAATGACTTGTCGATATTAAAAAAAAAAAGAAAAAAAAGAAGTCCTCGTAAAAATCTACAGTTGGCTGTGGGGAGACTGAACAACACACTCAATCTCACACTCGAGGGACTAAATCCAGCGAGGTATTTGTCGGCATTGCGCCCGAGGACAATCCACACTACCGCGCCGGCCTGTCCATGGAGAAGAATCGTGGTCGAGAGCACGCATACACGGACTGTCGCGAAGCATGAAATTGCTGTGCGAACTGAAAATTCACAAAGCGGAAGTGATCGATATGCCGGCATGGATCGACGAGCGAAGCCTCCTCGGCAACGCCGGTGGTCAGATATCGCAATCATGCGCGGGCTGAATGTCGCGCGCTAGACGCGAGCTCGGGGAGCGAGGCAGACAGCAGCATACGGCGACGGCGTCGCTCATCGCTCGTAACCGCGTCTAGCCCAAACGACACAGAACCCTCAGACAATTTCTGGCGCGTTCTCATCCTGCTCGGCCAGCAGCAGCGGCACAGCTTGCTGCCTGTTGGCCGCGTCGCTGTCCCGATGATACTGGTGGTACTGGTGGTGCAAGTGGTGGAACGTCGAGGGGCCGCTGGTTCCCGACGGCGTGGTGGGCGCCGAGCGCGACAGCCACGACCGCGTGTTGCGCGTCGGCAGACCCGCTCCCACCGAGATGTAGGTCTTGCCACGCGTGCGCTTCGTCCGGGCACTGTTGGCCGACTGCTGCGTCGGCGGTTCGTCGGTCGACGGACTACTCGAGCGCTGACTCAGGCCCAAAGAGAACAGAGCTTGCGGTCGGTTCTGCTGAGCGGGCGGCAGGTCCGGCAGCTGTTGGATCTTGTCCAGGAGCTCGCGAAGCTGCAATTTCATTATTTTTGTTTCTTATATGATAGCAATACATTTTTCAATTGGAGTATATCTTGCTTTACTTTGGAACTAATAGATCGTTTAAAATAATGGACAGTAGAAAAATAGTTAAAGCGATCGATTGTTTCAAACATAACGTCATCGAATCTACAATAAGGTTGTCAAACAAGGATCAGATTGGGTGGCAATTAATGTACGCTCGCAAATAATAATCAGGTCATCGATAATTAGATTCGATTTATCTACGTGCTCTCAATGCTAAATACACGCAAACATACGCAACTGCTAAAGCTGAATAGTTACAGTTGCACGAATGCAATTACAACCAAGCTAAAACGAGCAACTTTGATAAATTTTCACATACCGACTCTGAAGGAATCTTTGTGTATGTTGTTTGTTTGAAAGCACAATTATAATGTATATCGTGATTATCTTTGAAAAGCATATATACAAGTATGTGAATCATGCGACTAAAAAAAAAACCATCGCGAATCGCAAAAATTGATTCAAATCGTAAAAAACGTGTGTTCATCCAAAAGTGTCAGCTGCAAAAAAAGAAGTCATAAATACTTTGTTACCAAAATAGTAATCACCGAGAGAACGAAAAACATCGCTTGAGCATCGCGAAAAACAGTGTTGCCGCGTGTGGACAAACGAATGGATGTATCGCGCGGTTAGAGAAATGGTGAAAGAGAAATAACTGACCTCTATCGTTGGGCTGGTCGCTCTAGGCGGCGACAGCGGCGACTGAGCCGCGAGACTGGATACGTCCGAGGTGGTGCGATGATTCGCCAGCGAACCGAGGGAACCTTCGCCGAAGTTCGTTGGTCGCTCGCGTGCTCCACCCACGGCTTCGCCCTGCAACGATGCGATACGAGTGAATTCCTCGGTGGAAACCGAATCGAGACGCGAGCTTGATTGATTCGCTCGACGAGAAAGGTGCGAGAATGATTCAAGACGCGGGCCAAAAATCAGACAATCCTGGCGAATAATTGAGCGCACGATTCGTCGTTTCATTCTGTTAATAGTAGATTCAACGATTGCACGGTTGTCATGCTCTTCGTCACCCAAAAGATTCCAAAACCCCACGTGTGGATGTCTACGAGTGAATGCTCCGCGACGCGGAAGTCGACTCTGCGTAACGCGACTTTAGCTGAGGCAAAGAAAGGGCAAGCGATTCTGACCAACGTGCTGCCGCCACCAGTGCCGGCAGTCGACAGTTCGTCAATGCTGTTGTTGCAGGAGTAAGGCGGCGGGATGATGGTGTTGGCATCGTTGACCACGTTGCACATGAAGCTCGAGCTCAACGAGTCCAGAGTGCTCGCGTGCGACAGCGTCCTGAAGTAACGCATCACCAGACCCGAGGCGCCTTTGCCGAAGCCATCGTCGTAACCGATCACCAGTGGATACAGGTCGGGCTTGGCTGTCACCTACGAATCACATACCGTTTCCTTTTCAATCTGTTACTAAAAATATGATTATTAATCGATGCTTTCACTCGTCACATCTAGTGAAACGCGCATTTTTCATTAATGTTTTGTGTGTTTGAAACGATGTTTTCTTTTCAAGGCATTCGCAATTTGTTTGGACCAAGGCTGGGGTCACAGTATTATATATCAAGTCTGTGCCAAACATACCCGACGTTTCTCTTCAAACCGTCATATTTTCTCGTTTACAATTGCCCGTAAGGTTCAGCCAATTTACGAGTATTCAATGGCTCGAAAATCTAATAAGCCGCCTGTAAATCTCAATCGCTTAATGCCTCGTAAATCAAGATAGAACGCGCACATGACAGACCCGACGAGTAATTATGCCGCGAAAGTAGGCACCAGCCATAAAACGGCTCAAATTTCGTTATCAGGTCCACGCGCATTGTTCCTACCTAACTTTCTCCACTTTACTCTATCCTTGAAATAACAAAGTGACCTAGGAAGATGGAAAGACAAAAGATATGAATAATACATTGTTGCACTATAGCAGAGAGATCAATCCGCTTCTTCGCTGGGCGAGCGACGTCGGCTTCTCCGCTCGAACGCGTTTAAGTACTTGTACGCGCGCACCGATCCGCAAAGCTGCAATATCTGTCTGCGTACGGCACACCCGTTTTTTCGAGTTTTCAATATACATATTTTATTGTAATGCTCATTTCTCACCTAACTACATCTTCGCCCACGAATCCCAAGTACACGAAAAAAAAAATTTTTAGAATATTAAATGTTAATGCTTTGTTAAGAAATAAACATGAAATCTTCTATAGCCAATTGTAAATATATCTTACATCATAGGGTATTAGCATACGATATTTCGAAATGTGCAACTGGCGTGTACAATAAAAGAATCGCGTCTGAACTTGGCAGCATACAGTGCCAAATCGTAAACTGCAAATGGTAAAGTTGAAAATGACGTAGCGAAACTGATCACACTTGGTTGCAAACACCGAGTAGCACCTTCTCGGTTTTACACAGCTAAGTTTCTTCCGCTTTCTCTATTCGATGAAAGCACAAGGTCACTCGTTCTCAAAGCTTTTCATAGAAAAGGTTCGAAATGAAAGGTGAATAATGTAATAATGTATAACAGTACGGCGTCGAGCCAAAAGCCGTCGGCATTGCGAGAGACGCGAAAGCGAATGGACAACAAGGGAGAGTTGACGACGAGTAAGAAGCGACTGCTCGCTTAACCTCATTGTAGGGTGGCGGCATTGCCTGCCCGACGGAGCTGCAGCGGCTGTAGTGCGGTGGCAGGTAGCACGAGCCCGTGGAGGCGCGATCGGAGATGGTGCCCTCCTCCATCATGTACGCCTGTCGCCTGCGACACAGCCAGCAGGCGCAGCCGCACGATATCAGCAGACCCGCCAGCACCGCGATCCTGCGTGCGTGTATACGCGCGATCAGTCCAACTGGCCACTGTTCATACGGGTCATCGTCGTCGTTCACTCACCACAAGTACCAATAGTAGAAGAAGACGAACTTGAACATGCTCACGGCGGAACTGCCAATCTGGGGAAACGCTGAGTAGCTGCAACAGCCGAGGCTGCAACACTCCTTGGGGAAGCTGCACCTGCGTCAACGAGCAGCGTCGACAATTGACGACAAGCGATTGGTGGGTGCGCGGATGCCGTATACTTACACGTGACCTCCATCGCAGAGCTTTGCCGAGACCTTCAACAAGCAAATACGATTATGAGAGACCGACGGAAGCTCGGAGCGATGCTGTGCGTCTGCGTGCGCCGGACCGCGGCAACGGGCGCTTGTGTAGTTGCGCAACGACGGAAAAGCGACAGCGCAGAGAGGTAAACACGGGCGCGAACGGCGAGGAAGCCGCCCTCGGGGCGCAAGCCCGGGCCGCCGGGGAAGCGCGCGCGCACAGACACACGCGGACGCACAGCGAGAGCGACGCGTAGCATTTACGTTCTGGTCGAGGTCCATGTCGAGCTCCATGCTCTCATCGTCGTGGTCGGGAGCTTGCGAACAGCAGTGCCACGGCGGAGGGACGATCGACCCGTGAGGCGACTGTCGCATCGCGGCGGACCAGCCAGTCGCCGTCGCGCCCGCGCGTGCACGCAGCCTCCCCCCCCCCCCCCCCCCCCCCCTCCTCCTCCCCACGCAGTGACGCGCGCGAATTGCGCCCTCGACCACGGCGGCTCGTCGGTTAGTACGCCTGCGTACACCTTTTCCGCGCGTCCGAGCTCCGGCTACTGGCTTGTCAGTAGGTACTTGCGACGAGTCGGCCGCTGCCAAACCGTTTTCCTCGCGAGCGCTCGTCGGAATGCAAGGGCTAGTTTTGCATCTTACGAACTTTACCCGACGATGAGATTGCGCTACCTATTGCCCAATAAACAACGACTACCTCGCGAGTTTCCATCCTGAAACGCGAGCCGAGTGCAGCCTCATTGAATTCCGTCACATCCGCTTGAATATTCATCCGCGTGAATCCGCTGCAAAGCCTATCTCGAAGGAAATCGAAAATCCTTGCGACTGCGCACGCGTGCCCCCAGAAAGTAGGAGCCCTCTCGATGCGCAATCGCAAAGGCCGATCGCGCACCCGGAAGTACGTACATATAGGCGGATTTCTACACATATATATACGTGGCGCGTAATCTAGCTCGTGCGGCTGCGACGAGGCCCGCGCTCTATTGATCGGCACGGTGGCACGCGCGCGGGCACACCTAACACGCCCGCACGGACGAACGGAGCGACGACGTGCCTAAGTCCACGCGACAAACGCGACGGATAACTCACCTGGGCGCTGGAGAAGAGATAAGCGAGCGGCAGGACCGGCAAGCTACGGAGCTTGCGGAGCCGCGGCATCGCCGCACAGCCACGAGACGGACGATTCACTTGGCACCTGTCTCGCCCGCGCGATTCTGCGCGCCAGCGGCCCGCCACTCTCCGCCTGCCTGCCAGCCGATTGATCGGTAATTCGATCGCAGGCTGCAGCTCGATTAACGCTGCACGGCCGACCGATAGGGGTCGTGCTTTCTTCTTCTCTGGCTTCGATGCCATTGGCTAGTGGCTTTTCCCTTTCTTGTTTGTTTTTTTGAATGAGCAGAACACGCGCTTGAGACTATGTGGAATGATCGATCTTCGTAACGTACGTCAGTGCGTAGAACGCGTCTAAATGAATACGAATAGGCTATTTATCGCAATCGTAGCTCTGCTCGTAACTCCTTGCTGACCGGAAGTTGTGAGAAAAACACGCACGAGATTACAAATCAAATTCATAATATCGAGCAATGTTTTGTCATCAATGCCACTCGCCTGCTCGACATCCTTGGTTGCGACGACTTGCAAAGAGTAAAAGATGAAGAGCTCAATCGATCACTTTATCACAAACTACAATGCTGGCGCAAAACTTCTGCACTCGCCTCTACCATTCACTTTCATTTGCGGAGCCTACCGTACTTCTCTCCAAGATGCTTGAATTCAAATAGTTATAACAATTGATTTTTGTTTTAATTTAAATGCATGCTTCTAACTTTCCATTGTCAAAAACTTGGACGAAAAGAAAGAAAGCTTTCCAAATTAGTACTTTAACGATGTTAATGTTACATTTATTATGTTCGACAGAGTAGGCTATCATGTCATCTCCTTTTCCGATAGATTAGAAATATCACATTTTTTCTTAGATTCAGTGAACGAAAGTGAAAATTTGAATAAACGCATCAGGTTTGTTACGTGCGCACAGCATATCAAAGGAAACAATACCAATTAAACAATTAACAAAATACGCGGATTAAACAATTATCTACAACTTCAACCCTGGCCAACATGTAAATTTAAGATTCGATGATCGCGACGCTCATTTCGTTAATTTTCTCACTATTAGCTTTAACTTATCACAGTAAATTAGAATCATTTAATTTCTTTTATATAGTAATAGATAATAGCAGTATAAAAATGATTATAGAGCTACCTCAATACTACCCTATTCAGTCAAAGTAAGAGGATAGTTATCTTTGCTGAAGTCTTCGTCGGTAAGGGGAATCAGTTGTTGCTGAATGGATGAGATCAATGTCATTGACGAATCTGGAAGAATTGTATTTCTCGTCTCAAACTACAACTTGCTCGTTACTATCGCTGAACTTGCAGATACGGCCACCGTACCTTGCCTACGTCTACAAATGTTTTTCGCACGGTCGCTTGAATCTTACCTTTTGTCCTTCATATACGTGATATATATGCATGTTATATTTACCCAATAACGCAGTGAGAATCCAGCGTTCATTGATAATTGAGCCACCGTAGAAATGTGTTGGTACCGAGTCGTACTTAGTGCGGATAAGCTCAATGAATCGTTTACATTTTTCTGCATTGCATCTTCGCACATATCTCTAGATTAGTCCAACCAATTTCATTGGGGTGGCCTCATTTAAAAGGGATATTTTCAATATATCCCTGATGGTAAATTAGATTATCCCATTTCATCATTGACTCGATAAAATGAAAACTTAAAATAAATTATTCTTGTTTATTTTAAGGTCAAATGATAACATTTTTATAGAAACTTCGATATTTTTAGTATAAATTTACGAATGACGAAAACTAATAATCTTGTAAAAAAGATTATCCATTTCATCCATATAACTCGGCAATACCTGATTGCACAATATTATTATTATTTTTTATATATCTTTATTACACCGAATTCATAAATTTCCAATCGTTTTTTAATTCATTCGATAGATATACCTGGATTTTACAATTAAGAAACAAAAGTTTAAAATATATAAAAAATATACAAATAAAATGAATTAGACAGTAATGAAACATTGTCTCCTGTAGTACAAATTCGATTTCATTTCATTTAGGTTATTTAGGTATAGCTGAATATGTGTATAAGCTCATCGTTTATTAATTATTACCACATAATAAATAATTTATTTATTAATTGAAATAGTTTAAAGTTATCTGCACTGAAATTTATATTTTGTATTTTTTGACATTTAAATGCTTATATATACCCACAGTAATTATTAATATGTTTTCAAATTTCTTTATTTTAATAAACTTATCAACATATTTCAATATTTCACAGTAAAATACTTTATTGATTTTTCAAATATCAAGCAGCTTCTTTCATAAAGTAATTAGTAGTATGGCCAATCAGTTTAATCTTATAAGCAGTATGTATCAACAGATTCATTGGATCGACATTGCCGATTGCTTCTTCCCACGATGAGTTTTCTTTTCTTGTTAATCAACCTTAACAAGAATTTTTAATGTTACTGTGATTATTTGATAAAAATATTAATTTCGAATTAGAAAGTTTTCTATAACAGAATGAAATATAAAATTTAAAAAGTACTCTACTTCACTCTGTCAAATTTTTTTTACGCAATTGAACTTTGTAATTTTGCATTAGAGAAAACGTATAAAAAACAATTATGATGAATGCCCTCTTAGATTAATCATAATATTAATGTAATTAAAAAGCACAAACTGAAGGCAAATTTTCAACGATAAAAATATCAAAATCGAATATTTACGTTTAGTGTTCGTTTCTTGATTTTGCTGGCATAATCCAGACAACTATGGATCTTGCCATCTAGGTGATTCGGTGACAAGTCCACGGTCATTTAAAGCTCACTGACGTTGCAGATTTCGTGGATTTCGTAATCCATGAGGATTACATAAATACGGAGTACAGTAAAAATTAAACACACAATTATATGGGAATTCCGTGAGATCTCGAGAATTCTATTAAAAAAATTAATTGTTATTTAAAATGTATACATAGATTTTCATGATCGTTAAAATTGTTTAGTGACATGTGCTGATATAAACTTGAGTAAAAGATATAAATAACGTTACATACATTATCAGATTTCAGTTAATTGTGCATACAATATTAATTTATCCGGTAATGACGTAATCATCAGAGAAAGTTTTTAAATAAAAATAGCTCAACACAGTCATGTTACACTGTAGTAAGTAATAATACAAACTTTTTTATCATCCTTTGTCGTATCCTCTTCTGTTGTATCCTCCTCTGTTTTTTCGTCCTTTGTCGTATCCTCCTCTGTTTTTTCGTCCTTTGCTTTATCGTCTTTTACTTTATCGTCCTTTGGTTCATCAACCTTTGGTGTATCGTCATTTGGTTTATTGTTTTCAATGAATTGAGACTCTTGTCCTTGAGTTTTATCCGACATCTTGCTTTGCCTATAAATTTCCAACAGGTCGAAAAATCTACACAGTGAAGTTTAGTCTGCAGAATGCTAAACAGATCACTCGTTTTAGGCAGTTGCGACTGAACCGAATGAATGCGTTCCGCCGCTTCGCCTTGAGCCTTTATACCACATCGATCCAACCCCTCTTCTCTGGAATTTCTCTTTCACTGGGCCTGCGATTAGGCCTTGTTATCCTCCCTTAGCGGTGAAAACTATGGTCAACTCAAGTAGATTAGCGTAGGAACCAGTAAGAAGTGCTAGCGAGTCTTCGCCTACGACTTCGATCTAACTACTAACCAGTCAGCGCTGGCGACAGAATTGTCAGCAATTATGCCGAGGCCCTGAAGCCGTAGGCGGAGCACCTGCTGACATCTCTTACTGGCCCTTACGCTAATCTACTTGAGTTGACCATAGTTTTCACCGCTAAAGGAGGATAATAATTGCTCCGCCTACGGTTTCGGGACTTCGGTCTAATTGCTGAACATTCTATCAACGATGCCGACAACAATTTCTTAATTAATTTACCGAAATATTAATAGTCATAATAATCCTTCATAATATTAAGTTTATTTAAAATATTATAATAACATAACAAAATAACATTTGTAAATTAACATTACAGTCATCGTGGGTTCTATAAATTACTTCGTTATATGTAATTGACTAATGATTTTAAATTCTGTGGATCATTCGATGTATGATTTCATGATATATGATTTCATTATTTTCAATTCACATGTGCCAGAAGAAGGCATGGCTAAAACAATCGTCATCGTCAACATTTATATAGCAGCTGCCTCAATAAACTAGAAATATTGATTTTGCCTTTTGAAGTTTCCAACGTGCAGCGATGAAAGCAACAAAGATAGATGCTTATAGAAGAGCAAATTTATGAACAAGATTTTCCGACTAAAACTTATTCGAGGGATGAGGCGTACAGCTATGTCGGAGTGACATTTCGGGTTGCGAAAAGAGAAAGTGGTCGCCAGTAAATCAGGTATAGAAATGAGACAGAAAGAGAGAGAGAGAGAGAGCGGCAAGTCCATGCAAACAAATTAGTCTTTAACTTTGCGTTCGCATTTCTCGTGTCTACTGACTAATTCGATTATGTTTTTAAAAACAAGAATAAATATGGTTATTTACTACGACATATTCTGTATTTATTTTGATGTCAAAAACTTGTTGGCTGAAAATTTAAATACTGATATTCCAGTAGCTTAATCATTTCAATGACAGATAAGAGGATTAACGCAAAGCGGTCACCTAAGCACTGGACGTCCCGCTTTGTAGGACCATTTCGCAGTTGATCTTACCTTATACATGCCCCAAAAAGTATTAGTCAAGAAATTATGCAAATAAATAAATACTTCAATTAGTAATTTTCCTTGAAGTTATTATAAAGCAGTCACTTCTATATAACAAAATAGTCGTTTTTGTTTTTGAATTATGAATCACGCGGACTTGTTTAACCAAATCTGTCTAGTCAGTAAGGCAAAAAATTTCGGATACAAAGTCAAACCCCACTGAAAATAAGTATACATATTTTGAACGGAAGTGTTCGCGTTATTTTATTTATAATATGCGTGTATTCTTTATTCATTAAAATTTTAGGAAACAGTCAACCTTTGAGTATAAAATTTGTACCGATTTCGTCCAAATTTGGTTAAGAATTTATACAAAACGTGTAATAAACTTATAAAAATTTGGTTTAGATTTTTTCTGATAAAAATGGGTTAGGTACACGGTAAACCCATGTGTTTGAATTTAAACGTTTAATATGACGTCACCCATAAGAAATACATTGTCCCCAATTGTAAACACTTCTAAACGTTTAAATTCAGCGACAATGTATTTCTTATGGGTGACGTCACAATTGCACACTTAAAACGTTTAAATTTAAACACATAATATTTTAAGGTTTTGCCGTGTACGAATTTTATACGGGTATCGCACAAGATTTGTAGAGATTTTATATATAATCTTGTATAAATTTTATACATATTCAAAATTAGTATATTTATTTTCGGCCTTCTTGCTACGAAAAGAAAGTATACCCGTTACAGGAAGTAAAATGACAAGCTCATACCTAGTGTTTGTCATCCTCGGCTTCGCCTCGGGTATCAATTTACGCCAGTTATGGACTTGCTAATACTTTACTTCTGTAAACATGTAATGTACTATCCCAGTGAGAAGGCTTATTTGTTCGCATGAACTTGCCGCTCCCTCTCTTATGCATTGCTACCGAACACTTTTTCTTTTTGCTACCTGAATGATCTCTCCATCTCATCCGTGCGTCCTACCTCGGATAATTTTTAGTCGGAAAAACTTATATATAGACTTTCTCTTCTATAAGCGGTTAGTTTCGTTGGTCCCAGTAAGCACACCAAATATGATCCGGTGTGTTGGCACCAGGGAAATATCGGGGAAATACATAAACAGAAAAGGGGAGACGATCTTAGGTTGTATACCTCGTTAAGCCTTATCAACTTATCTATAAAAACATTGCCTATGGAAAGCGTCAAGGGAAATTATTGTAGAAATAAAACAATTTCCCATAGCAATTAGCGTTTTGTTGCTATTCTCTGCTAGAAAAGGGCCACTGGTTCTTATTCAAAATCATTCATATCGAATGGAAATCAATTGTATTCAATGGAATTAATGGATCAATGATTCAGTGACGATTGGAAATAAATCATTTTCAATCATAACTAACAGCAATCGTAACATACAATAAGAATTTCCATTCATATTAATCATAATGAATTGTTGTAAACAATACTTTAAATAAAAACCAATTCAATTGTCTATTATTGAATTATATTTTATAAATTTTAACGAACTTATAAAGGAATAATTGTCTAATCGTATTTAATCGAAAGGTTTTTTTATGGATTTTAATGAATATTGAGTGGGAGCTATATATCTAATCGTATCTGATGTAATCATATTTTATGAATTGTAACAATTATTTTAAAAATTAATTCTTAATAAATTGTACTTCTTCGAACAACATTTTTAATACCATCTAATAATTCTTTTAACAATGAAAATTTAATTTTACTTAATTGAACAGTTTTCTATCCAATCTTAATGATACTTAATAGATTAGATTTTTATGAATTTTAATTTCTAATTAATAATGGATATATCGATTTCTTTAATTTTATTATATTTAAAAAATTGAAAGGCAATTGTAATGAACTAGTTGTGTTTTTTTAACTTTTATGTTAACCTTCTGTACAAATATATAAAGTTACCTCAAAATAAGCTTAGGGACCATGATAGAAAAAAAATTAATACATATATGTAAAAATCATATGTCCAGATATATCTGGACATATGATTTTTCTTTTTTCCAGAATCTGCAATCAAAAATACATTTTTTTCAAAATAAACATATTTAACATAGAAATAACCCTGAGTTTGACTGATGGCATCGAATGAACTGAGATACGAACTGAATGATGTATATCTTTAAAACTATAGAATTATTATTCATCTACTCTCAAACGACTCTTTTTCAAAATTTGACCTTTAACCCTGCTAAAAATACTCGATTAAAACCGATTTGAAAATTCAATAATTAGTTTAAATTAGGTATCTTAATATGGTATTTTTCTATTTACAATTATTAAAATAATATTAAATCCGATTAACCCATTAACGACCAAAGAGGTCAGTTTTTGAACATATTTTTGATCGCAAAATTCATTTGTAAAACGAAACAATAAATTGATCCAGGGTACCATACCATATGTTTTTAGGTGTGCTGAATCTAAATCCGGGATCAAAATTCAAAAATTTTTGTTATATAATTAAATATGGCCGGTTTTTTATAAAAAAATAGGGAAATTTTGAAAAAAAAAAATTTTTTTGGAATTTTTTTTTCTACCATAACACATGTCAATATCGAAATCTTTTTTCAACCATGAGTGCACAAATTGTTGAACTTTAACAGAAAATTTTTATATTTAAAGTTTTTTTTCCAAAATGGCGGAAAAAATGCCAAAATCTGGAAAAAAAATGCGTTTTAGGTTACTATTTTTTTCTCAAAAACGATGAGGTTAAGGAAAAAGTTTTATATAACAAAAATGTCTTATGATTTGTCAAGGAACACTAAAATTTTTTCAAATTTTTTAAAAATTCTTTTTAATTTTTTAAAAAATTACAGAATTGAAAATTTCAAAAAAATTTCGAAAAATTCTGGAAAAATTAGAGAGTATTCTTTGACTAATTCTAAGACATTTTTGATCTTATAAATTTTTTCCGAAAGCCTATAGTTTTAGAGAAAAAAATTCTCAAACAATTGTGGAAATTCTATTCAACCGTTTCAACTTTTGGAATTTCATAAGATAAGTTGGGGTATAAACGTACCTAAGTTTAATTTATCAAGAGGTTCTAAATAAAGTATTGCGTGAGTACCTCTAAAGTGTGACTACTTTCAGGTTATATTTATATTTTACTCTTAGCGTAACCCAGAGACAACAGCGTCGACGTAGTAAAATCATGTCTCCTTCGAGGTGCTTGTTTATAGTGAGTCCCCTTGCCTCTTACTCTATGGGGTGTTTGTTATAGTGAGTCCCCTTGCCTCTCACTCCTCGGGGTGCTTTTTTATAGTGAGTCCCCTCGCCTCTTACTCTACGAGGTGCTTTTTTATAGTGAGTTTCCTGGTCTCTCACTGTAATCAGACATGCTTTGCTTTCATACATGCACTGCAAAAAAACAAATTGCACTTCTCACAGTACACATATGTTCTTATTGGACAAATGGAACACTTGTTCTGTTTCTTTTTTCGAATTGTTGTATGCTTTTCCTTATTTTTTTCAGCATCATGAATGTAACTTTTCGCTATTGACATTGCAAATTCTTTAGTTCCAACTTTTTTTTTACTATCAGCAGCAGCATTGAATATTACAACTGCATTTGTAATTGCTGCTTGGATAAGTCTAATGAAAACCACCCACGTCCACTTCTTTGAACGAATACTTGGCAACAAATTGTTACAGTGGCCGTCGTGTACATCAACTCCACCCATGGACTGATTATATAGATGAAAAGCTTGCGGAACTGGTATATCGACTTTTTTTTTCGATCGAACTGTATCTCTTTGCTGATGATAATCGAGTGACCCCTGCAGCTGTAGATAGTATTAATACTGGCTTTGAATCCATAACCGTGATGTAATTTATTCCAGAGTTTTTTTCATGCTTTACTTCATATGTTCCACGTGGAGCCTTTTTATGAATGACATTTTTTACTGGGACACGATTGTCTCTAACAGTTCCAGTACA